ACATTACGGATGCGGACAAGATTACAAAGAGATTATAATCTATGATAACCACATATAGTTTTTCTAGAAGGATATAGCTTCCACTTGAATTTAGTAGGAAGCGTCAAACTCTGAACAGTTGTGAATTTTGGATGATTGGAGAGAAAAACAAAGAGCTTGATTATAGTCGAAAAACAAAATTAAGAAATGATGCAAAAAAGATTGAGAAATTATAAAATCAATCAATGGGCCAAAGGTTAGGCATTGGTCTGCTAATCGAAGGGCTATTTTAGTATAAAATGTGACTCGTAATTCATAATAGTGTGTTTATGTCGCTTCTTACATCTATTTAAAATTTGTGGATAAGAAACTTCTCTACCTAATTAGCTCGATTAGTCATTAGATTTAGTGCCATCACATGAAATATTGTTTCATTTTTCAAATTTTTTTGAGCCGATTTTGATAAATGGAACTAGTGTCGAAAAGAAGCTTTGGACAGCCTTTATGATCTGTTAGGTCTATTATGTTGGTGAAATTACAAGTGATTGAAAAGCACTTTCCAGTTCTTAAACATTCAAATAAAGCTTAAGCTCCTCGCCACACAATCGTCACCGTGCAATTAGCGTCGTAGTTAAACTAAAAGTATATATATTAATTAGATAGTGCTCATCTCCTTTCAAAAAAAATAATCCACGTCAATTTTTAAAATTTATAACATTTTTAGAACAAATATGAAAATTCAATATGGATTATTTTTCAAGACATAGATAATATTTTAATACAATAAATATGAAATATGTCTTTTATTTTGGATGAATAGAGTATGAAATATCAATTCAAAGCCTTTATATATCCACAACAACCAGCAGATAGTATTGTCTTATTAAATTATATTGATCGATCAATAACTGAAATGACAGATCTTCTTTAATTGCTTTATTGCGTTGTGCATAAATCCAAACTGCATTTGTACCGGATAACAAATTAATCTCGATTGTCATCATTTCAGAACGCACTAACGAAACAAAAATGATGCAACACTTAGGCAAACCAGTCATATCAAGTACTCTCTATCTCATAAAAATTATCTTATATTATAAATTAGAAATTACATAAGTGTAAATTATAATTTATAATATAAATTATTTTTGTGAGATTGAAGAAAAATTACTTAACATTGCGATTAATGGTGAGAAAATGCAAGCTAAGATAATCTGTCGTGATTTCTATTTTGATGAGGGGTTACAAATAAGCGTATACACATTAAAAGTACTGAAATTACTCTCAATCAATCAACTCTTTCTATATAGAAACAATAATCAGTTGTAGAGTTTTCTTAAGAGACAGTGATCATCAAATATTATTCTGTGTGTGTGTGTGTGTGTGATTATTGAATTTCCGCCAACGAATTATCACCTCATCGAGAACTATAAATATCTTAATCGATCGGAAAAGGTTGGTTCTTCAAGTATTTCGGTTATTATTTCCGAAATATCTTTTGAACGTTATTACGGAAGAGGAAACATCAAAGATTTATTTTCTTCGAAAAGAGCCGGGAAATTGGAGTTAACAGCATGCTTGTGGAATCTCGTTGGGATGTACGGCTAAACTACTCTTTTGCTTTATTTCGAGCTAAATTTCCAATCCAACAACTCATTTTCCCGTTGAATGAACCATATATCCCTATTGTAACTCACATTTCCGGTTTCCAAAAATACGGCTGACCTAAAAGTGAAAAAATGGGCAATTCACTAATATGTCTGTCGTATGCATAATAATCCTTAATTTTGTCCTAAAATGACTTGGGACGGATGGAGTACAACAATGAAGAAAGACAGAAGGAGTAACATGGTCTGATTAATTATCCCAAAGGGAGTAATATTCACCCAACAAAAGATTAAAAGTAAACTTTTATCGTAATGACATGATAACTACGTACTCATCATAACAATTTTTTCCCTGATTTAATCATCTTTATTGCATTTACAAATAGTAATGATCAAAAATAAAATTAATCTTCCCCAACTTTCCACCATGAAAGGATAGGGGAAATAAATCTACTCATATCTTTTAACCTTTTTATTGTGTTTTAATTTAGTTTTAATAAACAGTTTGTAGACTATAATCTACAATATGGCGGCAACATATTTATCGATATTTGTAGGTATAGAGGCGGCATCCTTGTTGATGTTTGTTAGTATGGCGGCGATTTTATCGGTGATGTATGTTGATACGGCAGCGACGACTTCATTGAAGGTGTTCGTCGGTTTGGTAGGCATGGTCCAAGAAAATTAAGTCATAGTAGATCTAATTATTATTATGTTTACGATTTGGGGGTTTCAACCGAAAGTTAGTGTTGTAACCTTGGCCGGATTAAAAGTCTGGCACGTAATATAACCATTATTTTATTGGGGTAAATCAATATAGGTTTATCCATGTTATGAAATATAACAATGGCATTGTAACTTGTGTTGTTATGGTTGTATTTTACTTTTATCAATCGATTCTAGACGATTTTTAGTAAATTAATAAATTTATTTTTATTTCTTAAAAAATAGTAATGATCAAGTAATTGTGATATCTTTGTTGCCTTTGAACAGAACATGATATTCCTTCTGTTTCAAAATAATTGTTCAATCTGAGATTTAACTTTTAGTACAATTTAAACTAAAAATGGAAATTTAAACTGCACAATAATTTTGGAAAGAATGGAATGTAATTTTACAAGGTACTCTAATCAAAACTCAATCGATCGATCAACCACCTAGATGCCACGGAAAAGGTAGAAAAAAAAAAGAAGAAGATTGCAAGTAATCCAGATTAATTGTTAAGGTGCAATGAACATCGATCAGCTGGCGATAATCTTGAAGACAGAATGTAACTATTTGTGACGTGAATTAATTAGCAATGTACATTCCAGTTGAAAACAATGAACTTGGGAACAATTATATCTAATCTAAACTCCCCATTAAACAGTAAAAATTCGGTTTTAGAGAATTTGTAATTGCAATAGCTGACTATTAAGAAATTATAGCCCAGACAGCTAATTTAGTGTTCCGTGTAGAAAACATTTCAGAATACTTTTTCATTTCTATTTTAAAAAAATTGTACATTGAAAAATTAATAATCTGGTGAAAATATTAAAAAAGAGTAAGATATAAGGGTTGGCCAATGGTAAATTAAATTAAATCGTTCTCTAGCAAATTATACATGTCGTGTCATACTAGGATTGGCCAATAGCTGTGGTTAATTGATACGCAATCCGAAAAGTTGTTGACTGTGACGCGTTCTTCACTAGGAAAAAGTAGTTAGTAATTGAATCCAGTTTAGTGTAGAAACGTTATCGTTAGTCGTGACCATTTTTTCTAAAGGAAATTAACTACATGGATATCTATATCTCATGAATGGGCATTAAGGTGTCACTTTAATCAGTTTAAGTTTTGCTACTAGTAATTAGGAAAAATAATACTACTTTCAACGGATACACATATGTTTTAATTTTTCTCATAAAACATGTAACAAGCCCTAAAACTAGACCGCAATTTCAAACGTCCATATATAATGAATCTTCTCTCCCGTCTGGGACAAAACTCATGTTCTTTCTTGAGTTAGAACATGACATCTAGCAATACCTTTTTCTTTCTGTGTGTATTTTTTTTTTTTTAGAAGGAAAGAGATTCTTTGTTGTTTTTTCCTTTATCTTTATCTTCTTTTCTTTTTTTGAGTAACATGAAACCAAAGAAAAGTGTGAGACATTTTTTTGGGACATATATATATGCTATTCAGTGTTGATAATCGTGAATAATTTTTTACGCCGATGGTAGGCATCCCGATGATGAGTAACTAAAATCCAGGACACTCTGATACTATTGCTGTAATAATCGTTTTTTTGGAATATTGTCAAAATCACCTTGGGTTCCCATTTTAAAACCAATTGGCAATGAGTGGGGTGGTCTTTGGCACTTATAAACGGATGACATATCTTTCACGATACCGATGTAAGATTCTTTGTCCCAACACTTTCCCTCAAGTCCAATGGGGTATTTGGCCTATTGAGGTTGCACAATACAACATAATTCACCAGATAAACTGTTGGGTCAGTCCACAACTTTGGATATATTGTCGGGTCAGTCAACAAGCAGGTCCAATGGGGTATTTGGCCTATTGGAGTTGCACAGCACAACATAATTCATCATATATAGTGCTGGGTCAGTCCACAATTTCGGATATACTGCCGGGTCAGTATACAAGCCCACACACATAGGTCCATAAGTTGTCACATGTCCATAGATCGTAGCTCTGATACCATGTCAAAGTCACTTTGGGCTCCCATCTCAAAACCAATTAGCAATGAATAGGGTGGCTTTTGGCACTTATAAACAGGTGACATATCCTTCACGACACCGATGTGGAATGCATGAACACTGGAGGACGTAATTTTTTATAAATTACAAGTTAGTTTCAGGTTGGAGTCAGTTGCGTCGTCCTCCCAATAGCTTATATAAAAAGGCTTTACTCACATCTTTCAGATCCCAGTCCAGCAGCCTAGCTGGCTACTTCTCATCCAAGTTGAATAAATTTGCAAAAATGAATGTACGTAATTCTCGTCTGCCCACAAAGCCCAGTTTGGAAGTTGCAACCATTCGCACGTACGAGCTGTAATAGATTTACAACTTTTTCTTCTCATTCCTTTTTTTCCATTAGTTGCGATATTCATGTAAGTATACTAATGAAACCATCAAATTCGGATTTTTGAGGTAAAAATATTGGGATGGAATCACGGAATTAATTAATTCCGACATTTCTCAAATCTAAGTAAAGTTACATTACACATTATTAGTTTTACAGATACCGGCCATACCGTCAAATTTTAACAAAACCCGTCGCATTTTTTAAGGTAAAATCTAGTAAACCTGGTTGTTACCATTCCGATTGTCACAAATTATTAGTAGGTGACGAAAATTAACAACACAAAACAACGGGCAAAGTTCTTAGTGATCCAGCCTTATAACTTTTTTTTTGTTCTTTCATTTATGATAATGAATTAACATTTTTTTTCCCCATTTAAGGACTTGGACATCAAGTAGAGTACAGTAATGTAAAATTCATACGGTATGTGTGTGTGTTAACTCTAAAGGTAATAATATATACCGAACGAGAAGCCAGGCGGTGTGACACCACTCCATGTCAATATTTTGCAACATTGTGAGCCATTCATTATTTACTCACAAAGAAAAAGATTTTGCACGATAAATGCCATAGCAGTGTAAAATATGTAAATAGAAAATTATTTATACGTCAATTTAATTAATTAGGAACATGTAATGTGATGATGGATGTGATGTTTATTCAAGTTTACAACTAGACAAAGTTAAGATAAGGGATCATGCATGTTAATAAGCTCCCGACTAGACATATCCCATAATCAATCTTAATTTCCTCGAATTATGTATTAATATTTGAAGTAACATAATTAAATTTATGTTTCAAATGAAAGTTAGGTCAAAAGCTCATCAAGGATGATGAAGCTGTTTAATTAGAAGCTTAATAAACTGGGGACAAAAAAAAAAAAAGTTAACCCTGCCTACCTCTATAAATTCAAGTCCTCTTCCATTATCTTCCTTCCCAAATCCACATCTACCCATCAAAAAACTCTCCTCCAAAAATATCTACCCCTTCTCTATCTCTCCTCTTCTTCTTCATCTTTATCTCTCTCTTTGCTTTCACAAACGCATAAAAAGAAAAAAAAAATGGATAAGAAACCATGCAACTCTCAAGAAGTTGAAGTAAGAAAAGGCCCATGGACAATGGAAGAAGATTTAATATTGATAAACTATATCGCGAATCACGGCGAAGGCGTCTGGAATTCACTAGCAAGATCTGCTGGTAAATACCTCTTTATTGTTTGATGACATGATTCTTAGCTTGTACGACCGGATATTTTGCAAAAAGAAATAATTAACCATCTCCTACCATGGTGTAGAAGGACCCTAAATAATTTGTTGAACTTGTTTGGTTGTTCTTGTAGGTCTCAAACGTACCGGAAAAAGTTGTCGTCTCCGTTGGTTGAATTACCTTCGACCTGACGTGAGGAGGGGAAATATAACACCTGAAGAGCAGCTATTGATCATGGAGCTGCATGCCAAATGGGGTAACAGGTGAGTTCCCCGTTAGGGTTTTTTGCGAAATGATAACCAAAAAAAAAATGTTTCATTTCTTCTCCCCCAAGTATTTTGAGTCTGGATTTGATGTTTTTCTGGACCAAATCTGAGCCACAAACCAGATCTCTTCCAACCCCCAAGATTTTGGGCTCGTGGTTGTGCAATCAACAGCCACCAGCCCATAGCTACTTTATGGACTTAGATTTGGAGAGAGAAGATGTTTATCATTGGCAGATGTTCTTCAATTTCAACGTGCACTTATAACTCGTGGCCCTTAATTGAGTTCTATTTCAAGATCCATAATCACTTTGATAGAACTTTCTACTTTGAAACCATCACCAACAACACACACTTTTTGATACTGAAAATCACATTTATTTGATCAATAACCTATGTTTTGGTGAATTTCTTAATTTACAACTATGGATCAAGATACCCTAAAAAAAAAAAAAGGGTCAAGATGGATTATGGTTCATATCCATGAGTCAAGGTGGGAAAGTTGCTTTTAGAAATTTGAAAGATTAATCTCCCTTCATTTGGATTGAAAAAAAAAAAGTCAAATTTATTTTTTTGGAAAAGATGATGAAAACATTATAATCATAAAAAGTAGTTCTTCCTAAATTATAGGATATGACGGTTTTAAAGAAGAAAACAGTTTAATTTTGTTATCAAGAAAAATAAGTAGGATGAGATGGATGTTCGGCGGCGCCGTTTTGTACTACATGTGTACCGTAACAAAGTGCAGCGGAATAAATTCTACCTCAAGAGCATAGCTATCATTCGTCTATATAGCACGTTGTAAAACTCAGGACATGATTACGGTATTTTTCTATTTTAAGGTAAAACCTTTTCAGTTGGTCACATGTTAATCTTCTAGGAAAGTAGTATCAAAGTCATCAACTCACCTTTCACAGGAAAAGGAAAAAACAAACACACTTTTACTTAAAATGGAAAGAAAAGCTCCCACTTGCGTTGCTTGGAGATGACAGCTACCATATTGTTTAGCCCTTTTAAGGCAAAGGTCAATGGTCGATTTGTAGCATCATTTTTTCCACCAAGTCATCTATCCTTCCAATTAATTTGATTTTGATCAGTTTGATCCACATGTTGAATCCCAACTCTGCCCTTTGTTATCTTCTGCGCTTAGCTGGTAAACAATGAGAAAATGTGCATAAATTTTGTCCTTACTTTATAGACGGACTATAGCGTATTTTTTCCACAATGGAATCAGCATGCTAGCTTCAGTGAGAATGTTGAGCTAAGAAAACATCGGAAATTGAATAAAATGACCATCTCTTTCGAGCAAACTAAACACATACAAAAATCTAATGGTAATGAGGATGCATGAAATATAGTATACCTTCTTCTTGTTGATAGCTGCACCAAATGCATGCATTTTGCGAAATGGAAGAAGGCATTTTGTACGTAGTAGAAATGTCCCTCTTTTCCGTTTGGTTTTGTAGACATTGTAGGTGGTGGCTAGGGTGCCTCCGGTGGCCTGAGATTTTATGTTTCTTTCACGTTTATCATAACTCTAAAAAAGGGTAAAGTACTTGACTCTTGTCACTCATTTATATATTCTTGATCGGGTCAGGTATATGTTTCTTCTTTTAAGTTTGTTGGGAAGTGGATATTGGTCTATTATGAGTCCACGTATGATAGAATCTATTAATGTGTTTGTGTTACCTTTAATTAAAAATTGAAATGCTCAATGCCTTCAAGCTTCAACCACAGAACATGGAGAATTGATTTTGAGCCACAAAAATTCCGCACTTAGTAATTTTAATTTCAATTTTTAGACCTTTTTCTTTTTTTCTAAATGACTGATGATCAATCTAAGCAATCTACGAATGAAAAAAATGTGCGGTCCATATCTTGCATGCATGACAGATTAAAATCATCATGTAAATATTTAATTTGCCCTGAAAAGTGTATATATATAGTAGTCATCATTTTCCTGTCGTATCCAAGACTTGATTGTCTGCGGTTAATAGTTAATACTCGGTTTAATTGAACTAATTACTTCTAGCTAGGTGATTAAGTAATACTACAACAACCTAATTAGTTCATGATGTTAGGTGGTCGAAAATTGCGAAGCATCTGCCAGGGAGAACCGATAACGAAATAAAGAACTATTGGAGGACCAGAATTCAGAAGCACATAAAGCAGGCGGAAACCTTCACCGGACAAAGCTCGGACCACATGATGAACGATGGAGGAAGCACAGCTCAAATGTCCACCTGCAGCACCTCAGATGCCATGGACGCTTATTCTCCACCTTCATACTCTGCAAATATTAATATGGATAATAATTACCAAAACCCTTTTCCCACTGAATCATCTGACAGCCTTTGGAGCATGGAGGATCTCTGGTCAATGCAGTTAATCAACGGAGATTAAATCATGTTATCAATCAAAGCGCCATTTCTCAAGCACTAAATCAATATAAGTTGGCTTGCAAACCATGGATCTCTAGTCCCTACGTACGAGCTCTGGTAAATATGCGTTTCTGCATCATTTTACTACCACTCATATTAGTTTGGTTAAGGTTAAATAGGAGTTAAAGCTTGATTATTAATGCCTATATATGTTAGTTACCAATATATATATTAAATATTTCAATGCAGTCAAATTATGTACGATTATGAACTCAAAATTCTGTCTATAAATGAAGTTAACTAATGTTTTCAGTTATCCGTTGTGTATGTAATGGCAGAGAGCTCATATGTATACATAACATATGCATGTGGATTTAGGATCGATGCATCCATGCATGCATGAATATGTAGTTATTCAGTTAAGGTGTAAAATTCAATACTATAAAGAAGAGGATGTAAAGTTGTAGACAGAATGAACTGTCAAAATTGCGGGGATTGTGGATCTACATGGAAGCTTCACGATACGGAAAAAGATCAACTGACTGTTATGAACAAACAAATACCGAACCCAAGTCACAGGTTATCGAAACGTGGAAAGGAAGTGCAGTTTGTTTTAGGCAAATTCAATCTTTGCTTTCCCTCATTTAGCCTTCTTTGAGCATGGCTTCGCATTTACGAAGGTCGACGTAAACCTAACTTCTATTGTTCCAATCAGGAAGTCTTCACATGCATCCCGTTCATATTATATAATCTTCTTAGACTGACTTTTTTTTTTTTTCCTTCTCTAATTTCTTAGACTTTTTCTCCACTGTTAGACATTATAATTACATGATGACCAAATCTATATGGGTTCATTAACGTCGTGATTACGGTGTTAATAGTTCTTGTTGCTTATACGCAAGGCGCAAATATATACCCCAAAAAAATAGTGCCCTTCACAACACGATTTATGCTCACATATTGTTCTGACATTTCCACCGTTCTGTTTAGTGTTTAACCTCTTCGAACTGGCTAGCTTTAGGCCAGGGTCCAAACTACACTCCTTTCTTTATCAATTTTCTTAAAACAATATTTAAAGCATTGACTGGAGTAATACTACGAGGAGATGATTATATAGGCGGAGGAGGGTATTAAAAGAGAGCGAGGCAAAGAGGTGTATTAAATTTAAACAAAACGTGGCCTATATCCTAGCTAGGAAAGAGATTTTGGGAGTGGGCTTTCGTTGTACCAAATCAACAACGATAGAAACAGACGTTAATTTTGGGCCGCATGTTTTTATTTCCGCACATGTTTTTAGTGCGCAAAATCTTCCACCCCCAGCAAACGGCACAACTTCCACGTGAAACTCATAAACATAAATCACATGTGGAGTCGGGAATGGGGGATTGAAAGTAATGCAAAGCGATCCTCATACATTTATGGTCATCAAGCATACCATGAATGTCTTATACTAGCGTCATATATCAGTGCGTGTGTTCAAAAGCTCAAAACCATCGTGCTATTTGTTGTATTTCAAAACAATTATTTTGAAATGGAAATCATAAATTTTGCATTGGTTGAAGGAAAAGGAAATTGCAGCAGAAAAATTCCAGCTTCCACGTGGGCTATTTGATATAGGTCGACCGTTCTCTTTAATTGGCCCACTGCAGCTCTTTTGGGCTTTAAACAAAGAGCATGGAAATGGGCCAAAATTCATTAGGTTTGAATCCAGTATGTAATGAACTAGATGGAGTACCACCACCCAGAGTCCAAGATAAGACGAGTTGAGTAATTGAATGCATTAAGGCGTTGTGCTTATGGGGCTGAATCTATCCCATGGATTGGATAATTCTCATGGTTGCCTTACTACTGCGCTTCCCAATGTTTATTCTCCCCATTGGTCGGTTTTATGGTACGGTCCCACAGATACATGAATTGCCCCATACCACATGTTTTTAACTTAGTTGGATCGGATTAATTCAAGGGTGATATGTGTGTCTCGCTTAACCTTATTCCATGTTCAGATACTAGAAAAGTAATAATCAGAAGAAATTGAAAAAATGAAGTACCATGACATTTCACTGCTATCCATCAAGTAAAACCGTACAACAAAATTATAATCACGCAGGGAAATGATCTTTTCAATGCAACAAGGAAAATGACAAAGAAATGATACCAAATTTACGTGGGAAGGCAAGGAAGGAACCAAATTTACCAACAAAACTTAACAGCAGCAGAAAATCCAAAATAATCAAACACATCGGTGGGCCCAACTTTGTTCATCCTCTTCCAAGCCAAAAGCCCAAAGGTCCTCATTCTTCCGCCAATCTAATCCATTTATCCGTTAAGGCAGTGGCAGGGGATGGATGGAATAATGGATTACTTTAGGGGTATAACCGTAAAAAAGAAAGAAAGAATCGTATCAGCAGGGCGGGCCCAGCAGCTCTCCCAAAGTCCCACGTTAAGGATGAGGAAATTGTAAACTAATGGGCTACGCAGTACAGCCAAAGTCAAGAAGAGAGACTATTAGAATTCATTTTAGAGCAAAGACTCAAAATTACTCTCAATTGCTCCATCCATCCATCATCATCATCAACAACTGAACAGAGCTTATATTTAAGCTTTTCTGTTCAACAATTCGTTTCCAACTCCCATGATTTCATCCCACTTTTCAACGGGAAACCCCGAATTTTATACGATATACTAGTTCATACCTTCTTTTCATTCTTTGGGTCGCCCTTTTCAATCCCTCTTTTTTTGTAGAAGGGGGAATTAATTAAGATTACGAATGGGAAGAGCGTTTGTGTATGTAATACTGGGAGGGGGAGTGGCAGCTGGCTATGCAGCTCACGAATTTGTGAAAAGAGGTGTTTCTCAAGGCGAACTTTGCATCATTTCCGAGGAGCCAGTAATGTTTCCCACTCTTTTTTCTTATCTACTTCCGTTTTTCATTCTTGTTCGGTTGTTTCCCGGAATTTCGTATCATTTTCTCGAAGCGGTTCTTTTCATTCTTTTGAATTGGAGCACGTTTCAGGACGGAATTGTGGATGGTTTTTGTCTCAATTTTTCCCTTTGGATGGTTGTTAGTGTTCGGTATTGAATTCAGTGGGTTTAATTTTGGTGTTATTACTGTTTAAGTAGTTATATTTATCATAGAAATGTATTATTATTGGTGGTCCTATGGATGCATGTCTGGTAGGAGATAAGCATGCTGTATATTTAATTCGTGTGTCAAGATTTCTTTTGCTTTGTAATCAACATGTATTGGATGGTATGTAATGTTCGATTAGTTTGGAGTTGCATAAGAATTGAGCTCTACTTGTATCGAGAATTTTAATGAACAATATGCTGTTTCTGTCCTTTGCAAATTAGGCTTGTAGTTAATTTGTCTCTTATCACGTTTTAAGACCCTTCCCTATTCGATAAAATTCTGACCATAACATGAAATTATGTGGATACTGTGTAGGTTGCTCCCTATGAAAGACCTGCATTGAGCAAAGGTTTTCTACTCCCAGAAGGTATGTATATTTCATGTCGTTTTTTCCTGTTCAGTTACGCCATTTCAAGACTGGCCGATAGCATCAATTTTTAGCTGGGAAAGATGATCAAACTTCATCATGACTGTAATTTTCCAATCCTGAAACAACTTTTGTTTGCTTGATGAAATGGATGCCTCAGGAATCAATCAGTTCCTGAAATTTTTTGGAACTTCTAATTTCTTGGAATGTGTTGGTTTTGAGTGTTGAACTCTTTATGTCTGTACTTTTCTTATATGTGAGGGTTAAGGGAGGCAGATGATGGGTGGGCAAACACGTGTGGCAATATTATGAGGGCAACCCCTTTGTAGGTTACGGTTATTCTGGAACATTGCCATGAATCTCACTGCCCATTTTTTCTAACATCCACTTGGGAATGTGATATGTAATTGGAAGTTTCTTAGGTATATCTTACCCCCACACCTGTGCATTCATTTATACTTTTCCTGCATAATTGTAGAGAGACTTGTTTGTTTTGTGCTTGTGCTAAATAGCAAACATCAGGGCTGTGAATATTGCTTCCTTTGATTGTCTTGTATTGTTACTGTATGGAAATACTATTCTTCTGGTTTTTGTTCTAATTTTTTAGAATGATCTAATTTTTAGCTTACCTACATGCAGCTCCTGCACGACTGCCTTCCTTCCACTGCTGCGTAGGCACAAATGAAGAAAGATTAACTCCAAAATGGTATAAAGAGCATGGTAATTAGCACTTGAGTCTTTTTGAAATTGTTTCTTATGAATTCCCAGATTCTACTGCAATATATGTGATATCTTAGATGTGATGCCTCTATTTTGTTGTGTAAATACATAAATATTCTCTGCTCGCTTTTTTTCTAGTTCAATAATTGAAAATGAATTTCCCTTGCGAGGATGTAAATTTTTTGAGCTGGACAGAACCAGTACATAAACTGAAAACTGCATTTTTGCGGTTCAACTTTACCTTCTGCGGAATTGTAGCTAAGTGTTCTTAAGCCCTGGCATGATTAGATGTCGATGCCCTGCCTTTGTTTATATTCTTTTTCAATGGCGACATTTTACTGATGTGAAGGCCAATCGTGTTAATGTATTGACATGGGTATAAGGAATAATGCTAATGTACATCGATGTGTTCTTTTAGGTATTGAGTTGATTCTTGGAACACGGGTTAAGTCTGCAGATGTGAGGCGGAAGACACTTATGACTGCAACTGGAGAAACAATAAGCTACAAATTTCTCATTGTTGCTACAGGTGCTCGGGTATGATTGCTAAATCTTGATGTTTCTAATATGTTTACGTATTTCATTCTGGTACTTCAACATTGTTCCTCTAAAAGATGGAATGTTTAAATCAAGCATCTTTCTCTGCTTTCTATTACATTCTCAAACAGAAAACGAGAGGTGTATAATGACTATATTCTTCGTGTGTATCTAGTTCTTCGTTGAAAAGTTTATGGTGGTCTCTGAAATTTTGTACCCGGAAGTGAGTTTCTGTTTCAGTGGTGCAGTAAATATATGGAATTTTTGTGCCTAAATGGGTTCAACTATCATATTATGCTGGCTGTAATATGGATACTGAACCGAAATAATGTAGTAATGTGCATCCCAAACTTGGCAACTGTATCAATTTTACTTACCTAATTTACTAGAGTTTTGGCATATGTGGATGCAGGCTTTGAAGCTTGAAGAGTTTGGAGTGACTGGATCAGATGCTGAAAATGTGTGTTATTTGAGGGATTTAGCTGATGCAACTAGGCTTGTAAACGTGATGCAGTCTTCTAAAGATGGGAATGCTGTTGTCATTGGTGGAGGATATATAGGAATGGAATGTGCTGCTTCTTTGGTCATAAACAATATAAATGTCACCATGGTCTTCCCAGAGGCTCATTGTAGTAAGACTTCTATTTGATATGAGTTTTTCTGGGGGTATTCTGTTTCATGGGTTTCTTCTGTGCTGACCAGGATATTCATACATTTTGTTTTCCTGATCACTGATACATTATTTTGTTGTAGTGGGCCGTTTGTTTACACCCAAGATTGCAAGTTACTATGAAGAATTTTACCAGTCTAAGGGAGTGAAGTTTATCAAAGGAACTGTCTTGACATCATTCGATTTGAACTCTGATGGGAAGGTAATAAGTTGTTACATGTACCACTTAAGTTGGAATACTAGTGGATTATATGATTATGAATCAGGAAGGATAAGTGATTTAATAACTTGACATATTCTTGAAGTCAATAGTGTCTTTTCAAGTACATTGCCCTTGAGGCTATGCTAATATTCTTATTTGTATGTTATTAGGTGCTATGATCAAATTTTCTCATTAGTATCGCCCATTAAATCTTGAGCAATAGTACTGAAAAAAGGTTCTTTATTCAGGTCACTGCAGTTAATCTAAGAGATGGGAGCAAGCTTCCCGCTGATATGGTTGTGATTGGGATTGGGATCCGTGCAAACACCAGTCTGTTTGAAGGACAGCTGACATTAGAGAAAGGTGGCATTAAGGTGAATGGAAAGATGCAATCGAGCAACACTTCAGTCTATGCAGTAGGGGATGTTGCAGCATTTCCTGTGAAAGTATTTGGTGAAACACGCAGGCTGGAGCATGTAGATTCTGCCCGAAAGTCAGCTAGGCATGCAGTCGCTGCCATCATGCAACCTGAAACAACTGGCGAATTTGACTACTTGCCATTCTTCTATTCCCGCGTCTTTACATTATCTTGGCAGTTTTATGGCGACAATGTGGGGGAAGCAGTTCATTTTGGGGATTTCACCGGCAAAACTTTTGGTGCTTATTGGATAAATAAGGGTCATCTCATCGGATCATTCCTTGAAGGTGGAACTAAGGAGGAGTATGAGGCTATAGCAAAGATCACAAGGCTTAAACCTGAAATTCAAGACCTTAGTGAGCTAGAGAAGCAGGGTTTGGGATTTGCCTTGACAGAGAGTGAAAAGTTGTCATTACCACCGACATCACCTGTGCCTGCTGCTAGTAGTTCTAGTCTCGTGGTCGCAGAAAAACCGTTGCACCCTTGGCATGCTGCAGCTGGTGTGATTTTAGCTGCATCAGTAGCAGCCTTCGCATACTGGTATGGAAAAAAGCGTCGAAGGTGGTAGAAAATGTGCCGGTGACATTCTTTCTACCGATGTTCATATAGTGTAGTTCCCGTGTTGTACTGCACCCTTATGGGGGAGTTTAAAACTTCTGTTTACACGCAGAAAATGGTCTCATGTTATACATATGAACTCGAACTCAATGTTGTTCAATAATAGATGTTACTGCTTTGATCAGTGAATCCAGTTGCAACTAGCTATTTTTGTGCTTTCACAGCTGGGACACAATGTACCTAGCCAAATCTTGGAGAGACATAATAAGTCTCGTGTATGAGAAAGCCATAGTTTGTGTAGGGCGTATATTTTTTTTGATATTGTCCCTAATTGATGAATATACAAGAGAGCGAACAGTCTAGGGCTTCCTGTACGCATCAAAGCTGAGGTCTGAGGTTAACCAAAAAAGAAAAAAAGGAGGAAAGTTTCTGAGCCAGACAAGAGATCTGGAATTAAATGGGTAGATTATGAAAACGAAGGATAAATTACAAATATTAAATAGTATAATTCTCAAAAATAGACCATCTGGGCATTTGGTCTAGTGGTATGATTCTCGCTTTGGGTGCGAGAGGTCCCGAGTTCGATTCTCGGAATGCCCCCTAATAATTCATGGACCAGAATTTTTTGGGCCCAGTCCAAGACGGACCGTTTTCAGCCCATTATTTCCTATCAATTTTTTTATCAAGCCCATTTCGTTATGTAAAGCCCATTGGGCTCATTTTTGTTATCCACTTGGAGAGAGAAATAGAGAAACGGCGCGGAAGGCTGGAGTCTCGACGCTTACAAATTCCTCATTCATTAGCATTTTTACCTTAGCCAAAAACGCAACGTACGCTTACACCCCCTTATCCTATCTTCTTCTTCTTCTCCTTCTCCCCTTTCATCCTCCGCTAAGAGAAAAAGGAAAATGGCTTCTGCTCTCTCTTCAACTCTAACTCTCCGGTTGCCTGCTAATTCCAAGCCTTTCACGGCTGCTTCCACCCCGCTCAAACAATCTGTAAACTTCCCATTTCGCCAAACCCCAATTCCACTCCGCCACACTGGCTCCAACTTGGTCCGCGCTGTTGCCGCGGACGCCCCGGAGAAGGTCGTACAATTGGGGGATGAGATTTCCAATCTAACCCTAGCCGAGGCCCAGAAACTCGTTGAGTATCTCCAGGATAAGTTGGGAGTCACAGCTGCTTCTTTTGCCCCTGTCGCCGTCGCCGCTCCCGTCGACGGCGCTGCCGGTGGTGCTGCTCCGGTCGTCGAGGAGAAGACGGAGTTTGACGTGGTTATCGATGAGGTGCCCAGCAATGCCAGGATTGCAGCGATCAAGGCGATTAGGGCCTTGACGAGTTTAGCCTTGAAAGAAGCTAAGGAGGCAATTGAAGGATTGCCCAAGAAATTCAAGGAAGGAGTTAGCAAGGATGAGGCTGAAGACGCCAAGAAGCAACTCGAAGAAGCCGGCTGTAAAGTCTCCATTGTTTAATTAAAACCCCCTGTTGTCGCTTAGATGAAACACTGTTAAGGAACAATTTTTTTTGCATTTTATTTTAGCATTATTGTTATGTTTTTGCGCATTTTGGTGATGATGAAGATGGTTGCTTCATTTTGCTAAATTAGTAGTTTCCAAGAGAAAATGGATATATTTATGTTCATTCGCAACCCGTTCAGATTTTTTGTTATTGTCCTCACAGTTGAAGATAATTGAATAAACACTAAACAGGATTAGGTATTTCCACATTACTAAGATTTTAAGGAAGATCGTTTATTTTATTTCACCAGTATTCACATTTGACAACCCCAAAATGAGCAGGTGACAGTCGTAAATATAGTCGGAGGAGCTCGTACACTAAAAAAGATGCTAAGCTCATTTTGTTCAGAAAAGCAGTCTTTTAACGTCTTGCAAGTTGCAACGTTCTGATTAATCTGAATCTAAATTACTTTGGCAACAAATTCTGATAGTTACACAGCCCACAGATGTTACAAGAAAGACGCGCCGTCGTAGAGAGCTGCTACTACTACATGGTAGAACAAAATTGAAGAAGAAAATGGAATACCATAAACTACACATGAAATCATAATTACAATATCAGAATAATCATATTACAACAGGTATGGTGACAAAGGCATCTCACAATTTGAGTGCCAAGATAATATTCACAGGAATGGTAACCAAAAAATTACAATGCACCTGCTGCAGATGCCGAAACTCACCCAGCAACGAATGGAAAAATATTAGATGGCCAATAATCCCCCCTCCCCTAATAAGATACAGGCTGTTCTCAAGAGCTTTCGTCTTTCTTCAGTACTGAATTGAGTTTCTTTTCAAGCTGCACAACGGACACAAATGTAAGCATCCACCTCGAACGGGAATAACACAAAGTCATGCGCATATAAAATGTTCTTCCAGAGATACCTTCAGACAACTTTACATAATGAGCAAAGCAAATTTTTGTTTCCAACTAGCAACTGGGAAAACATACCTGGGCATTTTTCAATTTTTGCCTCTGAAGCTCTTCCACCAAACCCCCAACGCTATATGATTCAAAACAAGGTTTCAGCTCAACGTGAAACAAAATATCATATTCTAATGTCAATGGTTAGATTGATTACCTCTGCTGCAATTGAATCACCTGCGACTGAAGCTCTCTTTCCCTGGAAGTTGTAGCGGGTATCTGCATATAGCCAGATGGATAATGTCAATGAAAACATGATTCACTATCTGCAACAGAGAGTTTACTGGCTCACAAACCCCAAGCTGCCATCACACACCCAATAAGAAAAGACCAAAATGATAAAACTAAAACACACCACCGAGCAGTTACTTAACCAGGCAAACATTTTGTCAAAAGGTAATAAATAGTTAAATACCTGCAGTATATCATTGGCACCTGTCTCAACAGATTCCACCGGCCCTGCAGATATAATATAGCCAATAATCAATCACACAGCAGCGAGTACGAAATGCACTAAAGCAGCAACAAAGAAACAGACTGAAGATTTCATTGATATAAAAATGAACATAGCCAAAATAACACATTACCAGAGGATTGCTCCACATATTTGATCAGTTTAATCAGCTCTTCCTGAAAACAGTAATCTTAGCCATAAGACAAAAGCTAACACAGAGCTCAACACATTTAGCAATGAAAAGATCTTTACCCTCTGCATGCTATTCTGTTGAAGAATACACTGCAATGATGGAAGAATGGAAGCAGAGAGGCTTGAGTGGCTAGGTATGGGTGAACCTCCCGAAACACCACCAAAAAAGGAGTTGATAGGCCCCTGTTTTCAGAAAAACAAGGCAGCATTTATAAAGGAAAGGAACAACAAGACCACTGTGATTCTACTTTGCTTAAAGCATGACTAAAATGCAATCCAGTTAAACACAATAAGCTAACAGTAATTCAACCAATCTTGAAACAAGCACTGGGGGACTTACATCTCCAGCAGTCACTTTGAAACGCCCCTTTCTTTGTACAACAGCACCTTCCGACAAATCATCTCCTGCCAAAGTAAACCTCCCATAATAAATGAAACATTACAAAACACTAGAGACCAATCAAAGCAAGAATAGACATCTAATCAAGTCATAGGAAAGAGTCACTGAACTCGGAATAGAAACATTAAAAAAAAAAAAATGCACAAAGCACACCTGCTGTATTACTAACTATCTCTTTCTTTTGGCGATATTGCAATGGACCACTATGATTACGTTCTGGCGTATATTTTGGTTGCAAATATTCCCTTCAGTAATTCAGAATCACAGACAATGAGTCAGAACACAATATCAATACAGTACATTCGCAAGCACGACGATGCAAGTTATGCTTATGTAATAGATCTATAAAAGAAAGTTAATTAGAATAAAGGAACTTTAAAGGCACCGCTAAATTTTCAAAATTGTAGCTGCACTCCTACTCACAGGCTTCCACCGAGTATGCTGCACAATTTAGACTCCAGTTTGATACTAAGAGGGTAATCCCACTAAAGATTTTTTGATTCTCTTTGAGGAAGCACAAACAGCCCATTTTACTTCAGGAGAAGGATGCAAATATTCAACTAATCATGCCAAATGGTCTACTTGTATGTAGGAAGAAATAACGCACTAAATAGTCATAAGAATGATAAATTTCACAATTATAACTTTGACAAAATAAATCTAAATTTTATAAAGAAAATAGGAAACAGAGAACATAATATATACCTGTCCCCATCACCCAAGAATTTTTTTGGAGAGAGAACATTATCCTGCATAAGTGAAGAGCTAAACGGCTTTTTATGCCCTGCAACAGCGGCACGCGGCAAGGAACTATTTTGCCCTGCATTCTCACCATCATCCTTTCTTGATTCTAGATTCTCAACTTTCCGTAAGGACTGGACTTGAGGATGTTCAATATCAGACTGAATAGCATCATTAGAATGTGGACTACCGGTACCTGAATCATCCTCGCATACATCAAAACAACCTCTGCACAAAGAGAACGACAAAACAAATTGGTGAACCCCCGCATGCCCAAAAAGCTAAACCCTTAAAACAGAGAAGCACAACTTCCTGACAACGAAGACAATTTGCCAGTAAAAAGTTGTAGAAGTCAGTAACACACAATCAAGTACACAAGCTCCCGATATGCATTTACTAATCATTGCAGTATGAGCAGCACACAATTACAAAGCTCACCGAAATGGAGTTACTTAATCTTGCAGAACCAACACCACACAATCACAAGACAACATTAAGTCAAGGTGCCAGAAAGAGATTTGGCTTAATACAGGATGCAACAAGAAGTATAGACAACTATACTGCCACTAATCAAAACAAGAGAAACCAAAAAAATGCTAAGAGAACCACAGTGAAAGTTCTAGCATAATCCATACTTGAGTGCCTGAAGAGGTTTCATCGGAAATGCAGCAAGTGAATCCTCCAGATCATGAATATCATTGATGCTTCCCTGCAAGATTTACAATCACAGGTTGCAGAGAGAAAAATTTAAATGGCAAAACACAAGAGGAACAAACACAGCCAACTGAAATTAGCTGCAATTAATACAATTCTATACCTCCATATGACCTCCAGAATTTGAGGAGGGCCTATCAGGGGATGGCAGCCTATCAGGCTCAGGAGATTGACTCTCAGAGGGAGAAGCAATATCATTATTTCCATCCCTTGGCTTCCCACTCGTGCTTGGAACATCAGCATTTGAAACAACATCAGAATCGGGAATCTGAAAGAAATATCAAACCCAGAATGAACAACACAAAATCAAATCTCCAGAACCAAAAAGGAATCACAAAAATGAACCAAAAACTGTCACATACAAGAGCAGCTTGATTCTTCAAATCTTCAAGATTAAAATTCCAGGCACTTATTCCTCGGATATATTCTTGCTGCACAAAAAACAAACTGAGGTTAGATTCCCCAAAAATGCATTTTTACGGCAACCAAAAGTTGGGATCAGAAGAGTTTGATTCTTGTTCATTTTTCCCATTTACGTAGCACAAAATGCATAATAACGACGACATAAGAACTTTGATTGCAAATATAATGCACAGAAAAGCATATTTGTAAGCACAACATCACCATTGGCGCACTTTTTGAAAATCAAAAATTTCATCAGCATGTGTTTCAATATTATCAAGCTTGTCACAACTTTCTAGATGCGTGCACAACTATGGCAATAAGAAAAGAGAAAGAGAACTTCTTTGCACCCTCCATTTGTTTGGAAAGTTTTTCCTTTTCTCAAAGGAAAAAAAAAACGGAGCACCTTTATCATTTAATAGTTACTTCCTCCAAACCTGCTAAGTTTATTTTAATTCCAAATATCTCATTGACTGAGATATACACAGATTGGAGTACAAAAGCAATGATGCATGTTGCAACACCAAAGCACAACAAGAAGGAAAGTTGACATGGTAGCACAGAGACGTTTGCATCAAATGTATGACATAGAGTCCAAAAGGTATATTCAACCTGCGATAAATGCTCCTTGTCCTCATAAAGTGACTTGTTCTGCACCAAAAAATCTGCTTCTTTTGCCTGAAAAAGAACTCAAAACAGGAAAGTTACCAACTAACTTCTATCTTGAGGAATTCAGAATGGAAAAAAGGCATGCTATCTCTATGGGAGTTCAGGAACTTAAAGGGCATAGTTGAGATCAGCACAAGACCTTAAGCATCCTAAAACGATCACCTAAAGGAGGAAGTCCTTCAAGAATAGTACGAGTCAAATACTCATTTGACTTGGCATGTTTGAAAAAAGGGTGCTTCAAAAGCTTCTCCGAAGATGGCCGTTTCTTCGGATCCTTGACCAAGCAAGCAGCAACTATTTCTCTGAATGACTGTAAAAGGCACAAAACTTTCAGAAGGATGGCCAAATCCTACATTAAAATTTGCTCAATAAAAAAACTAACCTTTGAAAACCTCTTGTCTCTTTCATAGTCCAAACCTGGAGGTGCATTCTGCAATGTCATTAGAAGAACCTATATCCAGGAGAGAGCGAGAGAGGGCAGTTATAAAAAATGATGAGCAGAAAAGAAAGAAAATCAGAAGGATGCAATGGTTTCTCTTCTAAGCTAACCAACCTTCATTGGAGGGTATTTTGAAAATGGAGCATGGCCATGTGCAAGTTCAAGTGCAGTTATCCCAAAGGACCATATGTCTGCTCTGTTTAACCAAAGCAGTGTTAGTCACAACATTACAACGAATGAGACCGAAAAAGACAAAAGTAGAGAAGCAACTTTATAACGCCAAAAGAGCAAAACAAAATGAAAACAATATTTTAAAAAATACTGACTTAAAATCGTATCCATGCAGTTGTTGCATTACTTCAGGGGCCATCCTGAAACATTCAGGTAAAGTTAAAATGAATTTTATGGAATAATATATATAATGCCACATCAATAGCGCTTGCATTGGCACATGATAACTTACCAGCACGGAGTTCCTACAAAAGTGTTCCTTGAACGTTGCCTATCACCAGTGTCAAACATGCATGCAGCAACTCCGAAATCCGCTAACTTGATGGTGCCATTGGTATCAATCAATATGTTCCCCGCCTGCAAATGTAACCCGTATTAACAATCATGAGGACATTGATTCCCCAAACAAGTGAGAACGATACAAGTCATAGTTTAAGGGAGCAAATTCATTGTACAAAAGAGACACATACTTGACATACATTCTTTATAGGACAATAGTAATCCAGAAGGGGATAAAAACAGAGAATGAAAGTGAAATCAATAAATCCATGTGTCGTCCCATTATAAATGGGAAAAGAAAAATAATCTTCAACTGGCTGCAAGCTCAAGCAAAGAATTACTCTAGAAGGAAGTATGGCTGGTTGTATAGGACATCTTCAGTTACAAAATCATGTCACAACAATACAGTTCGAAAAATGCAGTCTATAATTCTTCCTTCTTTTTTTTTTTTTTTTGGGTAGGAAATCAGATGCGAAATATACCTTAACATCTCTGTGGATGTGTCCCTGGGCATGAAGATAAACAAGAGCTTTAAGGACTTCACGCAATAATGTAGCAATAACAGGTTCTTCAAAACCATCAGGATAAGCAGTTTTGATGATGTGAAGGCAAGAGCCACCAGCCATGTATGGCATGACAACCCAAAGGTGATGACCCGTAGTAAATGAGCAGTAGGCACGCAACACATTTGGATGGTCAATCAAACACATGGTTTGCACCTCTCGGCGGATACCATCCTAATGAAAGACAAAAAACAACTGATTAGCAGGCAGATGGCTTCTCACTAAAGCAATATCACTCTTGAAGAATTGTAACAGCTACAATATCCCACGCGTAACATAAAAAGCCTCTGTTTAATACGAAGAAAAAGATTCTCGGAATCCTACACGTGGCAACTAATAACTTTACATTCAACACATGGAAGCAGCTTGGTTTTGTCTTCCAAGGGGCGGAGACATAAAAATCCGCATCAGAAACTTAGGTTCAAATCGATGCCACCCTAACCCAATAATGAACAGATGTGATGGAAAATCAAAGTGAATGCATTTTTAACTGAACACAGTGGACAGGCAACAAGTGGAAACATTTTCGGAATAATAATAACCCACACACGACAAGCTTTCATCCTATTGTCCACGTGGCAACTAATAACTTTACAAGTTCAACGCTTGGAAGGAAATTGGTTCCGTCTTCCAAAAGGCAGAGACAAAAATATCTGCATCAGAAATTAATGCCACCCTACCCCAACAATAAACAGATGTGATGGAAAATCAAAGTGAATGCATTTTTAACTGAACACAGTGGACAGGCAACAAGTGGAAACATTTTCGAGGTAATAACTAACATACGACAAGCTTTCATCCCATTGTACGCCATTTAAGTCATCTTACCAAATCATTATTACACTTCTCGAGATCAAGAACCTTAATAGCAACGACCTCATTAAGAGGAATGCAGAGCGCCCGATATACGGTTGCACTGACACCCTCTCCGACTTCTTCGTACAACTTGTAGTCTTTTGCATCAACAGGAAACTTCCTCTCAGCCATCCTTGCCATTGCTACTAACAACTATATCACAACACTAGACCTGATTTACAATAATTTGTACAAACAAAAAAGCTAATAATATTGATGCAGGAGGACGTCAACAGTATACGAGGTTTCTTCCAATAATGTAACATCTTTCTTATAATGTATACACAAGCTCATGTGGCTTTGACAATCTGGCCGATAACTGCTAGCTAGAACCCTCCCATTCAGAAACTGTGGATAAATTTCCAGTGAAGAATGCATGTTCTATCGGAAAAAATTATCCAGTAAATGCAGACATTGACCCCACGTACGCTCAAACCTCCCCGACCAGAGGTATACAGCGGGTCTAATAATCACTAAGCCAAAGTTAAGAACTTCAATCAGTTATCTTGTAAATTGCACAGCATTTAGGTTAGCTACTTCAGACTTGAACAGAGTATCTGGTAACCTGCAAACCAAAGAGATTGACTATTAGCTTCCGAAACCTGAGATGAGAAGACGAATAAGCTAGAAAGAACAAATAAGCAGGAACACAACTTTCCCTCATCCAAGTAATCATTTCTCAAATTTAAAATGTGGAGACACATGAAAATGTAACCCTTTGATGGTTGGGCTAAGCAAGTGATCATAAATTCTAAACGAAATAGATGTTCGAAATCATTAACAATTCAAGATCCAAATGACAAAAACAATCAATTCAAACAAGCGGCAGGTCCAGAAACTGCTTAGTGGATACCCGAAATATCTCCATTGTCAAATCACCAATTGAACAATTTCTAAATTAACTAAAATAGAAAGACATGTCAATGCAGGTACTTCAGGTTCCCCAGTCTTTCAGGCGAGTCTTAATTCTAGTCAATCCATGTCTGCCACACTAAATTCACGGTTATGCTACACAAATACATTTTTTTTTTTTTAAAAAAAAAAAGGAAAATACAGAGAGATAAAGAGTCTCACTCGATGCAATCCAATCATTCCATCACTTACGAAGAAAACAACACCGACGACCAAAAGAAAAAAAGCAAAACAAACAAAAACAGGGAAATTGTGAAGAAATTATGCACCTAGGGTTTTGATTGATTAGGTGGGAGATTTAACCGGGATAACAGCCCAGTTAAATCACTCCGGGGGGATCAGAATGAAATGAAAACCCTAGGTATGAAACCTGGTCGAGTTTCCAGGTGATATGCAATGGGGGAAAAAAAGAAAAGCCTTTCGACTAGTCCGCCATAGACGATGCAAAAAAAAAAAAAAGGGAGAGAATCGACAGATAGTATTACTCCTTTCCCTGCCTGTCGTCTACTGTTTTACGCGATCGAATCTGCGCCGTCAATTTTACAAATTAAAAACATTACTATTTTTTATGAAAATTCCATATAATACTACTATTTCTTGATAATTATCTCTGAGTTGTATCGCGCGGGGGATAGGATAATTGTGTTGGCACATGGGGGTAGTTATTATGGGTTATTTTCTCAACTTAGAAATATTGATTCCAGTATTAAAAAAAAATCTTGGTGACTTTTTTTTTCTCTTTTGAGGTGTAACGTATCCTGTTTCTGGGCTTTTTGTTACTGATAGTAGCCAATCTATGTATAATCTATCTATAATCTTCTATAATAATAATTTTCATTATAACAAAAATCAATTTTTGTCCAAAATTTCAAATGCCATATTATCTTTAAAAATCTCTTAATCCAAAACCAAAAAATAATCAACAAAGAAAAAAAGAAAAATAATTGGACAAGGAATCATTTATTTTCCAAAAAAAGAAAAAAAAAAACAAATCCAACCATCGCTTCCTATCCATTTGATTAACCTATCCTAAAAAGTAGTAACAAATTATATCTAAACAGTTCAGAATAAGCCGTTCCTGCTTCTATTCCTTTCTTAACACTCTTGAATCACAAATTCACGTTTCAACTCCTTGTCTCCATTTTGCATTCATCATCGCTTCACATTCATGATTTCACAATTTTACAAAATCTAAATTTCATTCTCTACTCGACGAAAATTTCATTATCTACTCTCTTTTCATTCTCAATACTATTGATGTCTTATTCTCTCAATATATTTGTAAAAACGACAACCGAAAAAACCGTCTCGAAGTTCATAGCAACAAAACCATTGATGATGTCAAACCCCGAGAATCAAGACAAAGACGGAGTTCCCTGAGACTATCAAAGACTTGTCTTGAGTGGAAAACCGCAGGAGAACTCCCGTACCTATGAAATCGATATTGGGTATTAAATCACGTGTTTCTTCTGTTATAATCGTATTGTTTTTTTTTTTTCTTCCTTTTCTTAACAATATACTTATTCGCCTATATCTCAACTCCAAGAATATTTGATTCCTTTTTTTCTATGTTAGGTATTTTAGAACAACATTGTACATAGTGATTCGTCTATAATCACGCCCAATCTGAGCATTATCGTTGCGGAAAATCAACAGCAGTGGATTGATTGGAAGTTGAAAATATTGAAAAAAGATCTCAAAATCTTGACCGTCAAAATATACTGAAAATCTTTTCTTACGAGAATATTTCAATTTTTGCAAGGAATTAATTTGAAGAAAATCTATCCATCAACATTTTCCTATCGGAATATTTCAATTTTTGCAAGGAATTAGTTTGAAGAAAATCTATCCACCATTCTCACAGTCAAAATATATTAAAAACCTTTTCTTTCTTTCCTTTTTTTTTTTTTCCATTCTTATCATATTTTTCCTTTTCTCTTTATTTTTCATTTAAGTTACCTCATCACAATTGTACTTAGTACATATTAATAATGTTATAAAGTAGTACGTAATTATCATTTATTTCCATTCGATCACACAACAAAACAATATATCATGGTGTTGTACTCCTGTTCCAAATGATTGTTCCTTAAAAATCTAAATTAGATACTCATTTGAGAAGAAAAAATATTATTTTACGATATTTTTTGTTTATCCATTTCGAAATTATTTATATAAAAAAAAAGATATTAATAATTTTTAAACCCGTGCAAACGCACGGGTCCAAAATCTAGTATATATCATCGTAAATTCATAATGACCACTAACCAGTCTTTATTGAAAAAGATTTTCCATAAAATATTATGGCGGTTTAATTAACTCAAGTATAATTAAGTAAGTTGGTTGAATCTTGAAACGTTATTCCGACGCTAAAATCTCAGAACAGTTTATCGTGCATATTTTCTTTATCTCAAGATTATTGTTCAATTTAGCTTTTCAATTTTAGTATAAAATAATTTAAAAAATAAACGTTTAATATAATAATTTTAGGACGAAAAAGTATATTTTATAGCGAAATTTACACTTTTTCGAGCGCAAAGAAATGGAAGGGAAATGAATGCGTGAGACTAAAATGGGCCGAGAAGCGTTACAGAGCACACAGAGAGAAATTGAATTGGGCCATACCACAGAGGTGAAATGATGATGGGTAGCAGTAGTACGTTCAGACGAGGTTTACAGTTTACTGACTCTTCTCTTAATCTGGTTTAGTTGTGGTGATTGGGAGATTACGACAATCTAATCAAAAACCCACTGCTGTCGACGAGGTTGGCCCAGATACGTGGACAACACGTTCCACCCCATCACAAGTCTTTCCAAACTCCATCTGTCCATCACGACAAGACCCACGCACTCAAACAGTCTTCCTACTTAGTCAACACTTATGAATACTGGTACTACTTCCTACTGCTGTCTACTACTACCTTCCAGTCTCCGACCACATCATCTGATCTTCCCGGTTCATTTTCACTTTGTCATTAACTTTATTATTTTTTTCTTCATTTTTGTCTAGTAATTAATCCTTACTTTTCATCAGTTATTTGTTTGTAGATTAATAATTTTGTTAACGAGACTCATATTTATTCCTTCCTCTGAACTCAATTATTACTAATAAATGAATAGAAATTTGAACTAATTTTGGTATTAATTTATATCTTATAATTAAAATCTATTTAATTACTTCTAGATGGCGGGAATTTAGCATGGTAAATAAACGAAACTTATCACAGTGTGGATAATTAAGGACGTGATTTTGTTATTTTGGTGATATATTTTACAATGCAATTATTGTGCCTTACTTGTCCCGAACTCCAAATAGTCTTGTGACACTGGTCACGATTTATTCTCATTAGTCAATAGAAGTCTAGAAGGACACTATAGGACTAATAGTATATACTGGTAGATTTTGCTTCCAACAACTCTGCTCCAAAGCTCGAACCTTTTTTCCTTTTTATTATCGCCCCCACTTACGGATCTTTCTCTTAAGTCTTATACACACTCGTTTGGCATTTCCGTCTGCGCTTCTTTATGACAGAGGAGTTTTTTCCGTTGAAGGGATAACGTTTTCTTGTATTAGTTAATGCTTATTTATCTCCATTAAGGTAACTGGTGTGAAGAGTGAACCCCCTTTGTCGAGAAAAATTCTCTGGAAACAAGCAAGAAATTTCCCGAACTTGTGATGGAAGTAAAGAATTTTAAGTAAAGAAACCCAACTGGGTTTTCTGATTTTTCGGGCTCTTTGATGTGTACATAAGATGGGGATGTGTCTGATTTTTGGAATTTCCGTTTCTTTTGTTCCAATAATAAGAGAATGAAAAGTCACTTTGGAAAATGTGTAACGCCTTCTGCATAATTCTCCTCAGCTTTGACTGTGATTAATAAAGGTTCTGTCTTTCTGGTGTGTTATACTGTTAGTTATTTCGAGGGCCTTCAAAACTTGGTTCTTTTTGTTTTTCTCTTCCCGGAGTTGTTTCAAACGGAAGAGTGGCAGAGCAATGGCCGTCGGTGGACGGAGGCGGCGGATACGTTTCAGCAAGCTCTATAGTTTTTCATGCTTTAAGTCTTCGTTCAAGGATGAGCACCGCCAAATTGGGCACAGAGGTTTTTCTAGAGTTGTTTATTGCAATGAACCGGACAACCCAGAACAGATTCAGCTGAGATATAGGAACAATTACGTTTCCACCACAAAGTACACCGCCCTAAATTTCGTTCCAAAGTCTTTGTTCGAGCAATTCAGGAGAGTTGCCAATGTCTATTTTCTGGTTGTGGCTTGTGTGTCTTTCAGTCCATTGGCACCAGTCAAAGCTACCACTATATTAGCTCCTCTTCTGGTGGTAATTGGAGTCACAATGCTTAAAGAAGGGATCGAAGACTGGAGGCGGAGGCAACAGGTATTCTTCTTTCCTTCCCCTGTATATATGTTTCTTCTTGCTAATTAGTATGAATTCTGCTGTTGATTCTGTCTTGGGAATTTCTTTGTTTCCTTTTTCTTTTTTTCTTTTTTTTGTTGTTTTGTGGAGGGGGTGTTGAGGGGCATTGGTGAGTGATAAGGTGCCGGTGCTTTTAGAAGAAAGCTTTTGTTGTTGCTGTAAATTTAGGATTTTTGTTGATCATCCCCATAATGTGCACAATTATGCTAATTCGATCTGGTACCATCATTTCTTCTCTAATAGCTTGCTTATTATTAGGATATTGAGGCCAATAATAGAAAGGTTGAAGTGTATGATAGAAATGGAAGATTTGAATCCACTAGGTGGAAGAATTTACGAGTTGGCAATCTTGTTAAGGTTTACAAGGATGAATATTTTCCGGCTGATCTGTTACTTTTGTCATCGAGCTATGAAGACGGGGTTTGCTATGTTGAGACTTCCAATCTCGACGGAGAAACTAATCTGAAGGTAAAGCATGCCTTGGATATCACAACCCCACTGCGTGATGACAATTCTGTGCAAAACTTTAGAGCAGTGATCAAGTGTGAAGACCCAAATGAGGATCTTTATTCATTTATTGGAACTTTGGAATATAATGGCAAGCATCCTCTGTCCGTTCAACAAATTCTTTTAAGAGATTCTAAGCTTCGAAATACGGATTATGTTTATGGTGTGGTTGTCTTCACTGGTCATGATACAAAAGTTATGCAAAATGCCACGGATCCTCCATCTAAAAGGAGTAAAATTGAGAGGAGAATGGATAAAATAGTATACACTCTTTTCATTACCTTGATTGTCATTTCTTCAGTTGGTTCTGTGTTCTTTGGTATTGAGACCAAGAGTGATGTTCGTGATGGGGAATTAAAAAGGTGGTATCTTCGACCTGACCGTACAATAATCCTTTTTGATCCCCGAAGAGTTTCAGTTGCTTCATTTTTCCATTTCCTGACTGACCTTATGCTATATCAGTATTTGATACCAATTTCGCTTTATGTATCAATTGAGATTGTAAAGGTGTTACAGACTATATTTGTTAATCAAGATCGGGAAATGTATTATGAAGAAGCAGATAAGCCAGCACGTGCAAGGACATCTAATTTGAACGAAGAACTAGGTCAAGTTGATGCTATCCTTTCTGACAAGACAGGTACTTTAACGTGTAACTCTATGGAGTTTGTCAAGTGTTCTATAGCAGGCACAGCCTACGGCCGTGGATTGACCGAAGTAGAGAGGGCTCTTGCACATAGAGAAGGGGATGGAGTTTCTGAAATCAATGATTCTTCTTTAGATGCACAGGGGTTTGAGAAGGAAACAACAAATTATGTTGGGTCAATCAAAGGTTTTAACTTCAAAGATGAACGTATAATGAACGGTCGATGGGTTAAAGAACCCCATTCTGATGTCATACAGAAATTTTTTCGAGTTTTAGCACTCTGCCATACTGCCATTCCTGACGTCAATGAAGAATCGGGTGAAATTTCTTATGAAGCTGAGTCACCAGATGAGGCGGCCTTCGTTGTTGCTGCGAGAGAACTTGGTTTTCAGTTTTATGAAAGAACACAAACGAGTATTTCAGTGCATGAGTTAGACCATGAAACTGGGGAAAGGATTGACAGGTAAACTCTAGCTAAATTTTTGTATGATTTGTAGCTAACATTTATTGACCATACATAAGTGCATGTTCATTGACCATTCTTCCGTATGAGCTACACTTTATATGATCTGCAAACCAAATCACTTTCAAATAACACCGATCCTTCTCTCTCTGTTGATCCAAACTTACGTTCTGCTGCACGGGAACTTCCAAACTGTTTTGCTAGGCAGCAAGTATTTGGCATAAAAATGAGTTGCTTGAGAATATTGTTCACAACTAATTAGTAACATGGATTTGTTTCAACCGACAGAGGAACAAATTATGATGATTTTGTACTTCTCATTTCAGGTCATACGAGCTTCTTCATGTCCTAGAGTTCAGCAGTGCCAGGAAAAGAATGTCAGTAATTGTCAGAAATCCAGAGAACCAGTTGTTACTTCTTTGCAAGGGTGCGGACAGGTGTGCCTTTTATATGGTTAAATGACGATAACAAATTACTCAATATTTTGGCTAGTAGTTAATATATTAACGGCTGCTTATCCGTGGTTTTGTCCAGCGTAATGTTTGAGAGGCTCTCTCAAGAAGGGCGGTGTTTTGAAGATGAAACAAAAGCTCATATTCAGAAGTATGCAGAAGCTGGTTTACGGACTCTAGTAATTGCATATCGAGAACTTAATGAAGAAGAATACAGTTCATGGGAGCAGGAGTTTGTGAAGGCTCTAACTTCTGTGACCGCAGACCGAGACGCCTTGGTGGATGCAATTGCCGACAAGATTGAGAGAGATTTGATTCTCCTGGGTGCTACCGCTGTTGAGGACAAACTTCAGAAAGGGGTCAATTTCAAATTACTTTTTACATCATGTAGTGATAGTAAAACTTGTATGCATAGCAATTTATTTTACTTTTATTGTTGTTACTATCATTTTATCAAAAGTGCATTCACCAATTTCATTCTTTAAATGCCATGTTCATTGGAAAGGGGTGAAAATTTTAGGCGATCATCATAATCTAGACTAATACAAATTTATTCTCTGTTGTGAAGGTTCCTGAATGCATTGAGAAACTTGCAAATGCTGGCATTAGGATTTGGGTCTTAACTGGTGATAAAATGGAGACTGCAATCAACATTGGGTATCAGTGGCTAGTTTAATACTTAGAGATTTGTTAATCGTACATTTAGCCCAGGAGAAGGTATCTTATTTGGATGCATATTTCCTGCAGGTATGCTTGTAGATTACTGAGGCAGGGTATGAAACAGATCCTTATTACTTTAGATTCACCTCATGTGAAAGATTTGGAAAAAAGTGGGGATAAAGAAGCTCTTTCCAAGGTATGACATTTTTTACTTCATATCTTAGTAATTTATTTCAGGCATGAAATATAATTTGTTTGCTTTCATTAGGCTTCAATGGGAAGCATAAGGAAGCAAATAAGAGAAGGAAATTTACAAGTCAGGTCAGCTAAAGAAAGTTCTAGCTTGTTTGGTTTGATAATTGATGGACAATCGCTGTCCTTTGCTCTTGATCAAGATCTGGAGAACTCATTTCTGGAGCTTGCATTGAAGTGTGCATCTGTTATATGCTGTCGCTCCACGCCTAAGCAAAAGGCTTTAGTAAGTTTATCATCATTTTTGTTTCTGAACTTTCTGAAGTTTTTTGTTGGTAAATTTGTAACTTTCTGCTTACAAGATTGTTGCTTGATCAGCTTGAAGAACTTGTTCAGGTTTTGTTTGCTTCCAAGTAATCTGACCAAAACTGTTGAAGATATGCAGGTAACCAGGTTGGTGAAAAAAGGGACAGGGAAGACGACATTAGCAATTGGTGATGGTGCAAACGATGTAGGCATGCTTCATGAAGCTGATATTGGAGTTGGCATAAGTGGTGTTGAAGGCATGCAAGTAAGATTTGTCAAAACTATTACTTATCGTCCATCCTCTTTGTATTAGTTCATCCAGTTGCTAACTCTAACGTTACCTGATTTTATTCACTTGCTGGTTTCTTTCGGTGCTTGAATTTCATGCATAGACTGAATTTCATCTTAATGTTAATTAGGCTGTGATGTCAAGCGACTTTGCAATTGCTCAATTTCGCTTTCTTGAGCGGCTGTTGTTAGTCCATGGTCACTGGTGCTACAGGAGGATATCAATGATGGTAAGGATATTCTTTGTTGTGTTCTATATTCTCTTAAGGAATTTGTTTGCTAGTCAGGTTGTTTCGTCAAGTATAAACATTATTCTGTCCATAACATTGGAGTCAATGCCTATACTTTATCTGCCGTAGGAAAGAAACCATACTGACCCCCCTTCCAGCTGAGGTTGCTATTACCATCATAGATTTATTTCCATCTTGTGAAAAATTACTGCAGGAAAAGATAAATCTTTGTGACAATTGTTTTCTGCAAGGGTGAGGGATATGACAACGGAAAAATATTGGAACGCTGTCTCTCTTTGTCGCATACTTTCTGGATTTTTCTTATTCTAATTTTTTTTTTTTTATAAAAATGCAGATATGTTACTTCTTTTACAAGAACATTGCATTTGGTTTCACCTTATTTTGGTTTGAAGCTTACGCTTCTTTCTCGGGTAGAGCTGCTTACAATGACTGGTATATGTCAGTCTACAATGTATTCTTCACTTCACTTCCTGTTATTGCGCTGGGAGTCTTTGATCAGGACGTTTCTGCAAGGTTTTGTCTTAAGGTAACAAGCAAATTTAAGTTCGATAAATTAATTCAAACATTCACTTTCCTAAGGTTTAAGTCACATATACAGAAATAAAGGTATCAGAAAGCTTCGATTACTTTGCTAAAGTATTTCTGATGACCACTTTTAACTGAGTGTGCTAACTTGATAACATTGAATTTGAGGATTTGGCAAAGAAAGGCAACATGACAATGGTGTTGTTACTGCGGTATGCTTTTACTTCAACTTGTTTCTCATTCATAGTATATTGTTGTACAGTATCCTGAACTATATCAAGAAGGGGTGCAGAACGTCCTTTTCAGATGGCCACGCATTCTTGGTTGGATGTTTAATGGGTTTCTATGCTCCATGATTATATTCTTCCTTTGCTCAAGCTCTGCCCTGGTTCAGGCTTTTCGTAGAGATGGTAAAGTGGCAGACTATGGAGAGTTTGGAGTTGTTATGTATACTAGCGTGGTTTGGACTGTGAACTGCCAAATGGCATTGTCTATCAATTATTTCACCTGGATCCAGCATTTATTCATCTGGGGTAGCATTGCCCTATGGTATGTCTTCCTTGTCGTCTATGGTTCTACGACGCCAACTTTCTCAACGACAGCATATAAGGTGTTTGTGGAGGCCTGTGCGCCGAGTCTGTTCTACTGGATATCAACCCCTGTTGTTGTGGTTGCTGCTCTCTTACCATATTTCTCATACAGAGCGTTCCAATTTAGGTTTAAACCAATGTATCATGAAATTATTCAAAGGCGGCGACATGAAGGCGAGACAGTGGATTCCGAGGAATCACAAGAGGAACGTCAAAACGAGAGATAGAGAAACGTAGGTAAAAGGTGTAGCTGGAGGAGTAGGCTTTTTTTTTTTTTTTGGAGGCAGGATGGGGAACAGATTATAGAAAAAGAAAATAGTTTGTGAGAAGAAATTGTTGTCCTTTTGGAATACTTATTCTTGAAGGAAACATCCCGCGCGTGTGAATTGATTTCAAAAGCTTTTGTAGGCCCAGCTAGATTAAGCGAGCTGTATAGAAAATAGATTTGTGTAGCTATTTTGCATTTCATATGGTTAACATAACATGCAGTTCACGAATGAATAACTAACTCGCCTTTCACTTTTCCTGGATATACAGGCATTTTGAATACTCCAATATAGCTTCGCGAAACATGTTCTTTTTGTAACCGGAACGGTCCGATGTTGTTTTCCATGATACTAGATCTTCTACATCAAGGCCGATAAAGAAGGGGATGGGGAAAAACGGAATTGGCTATTTGTGATGGTTTCAAATTATCTTCATGGAGCTGATGTTGGTAGAAGTAGCTAAACTGTAATTTTGAACATAAACTGCAGTTTCATTCATATCCATGGGTCAAACTTGTTTGTTACCTTGGGATTTGTATTATTTAAGAGCATCAACTGTGGTTGACTTCAACTTGTTTCCCAATTAATCCTGTATTACATTTGGATTACATCCACTCGGTTATAGAGGACAAGTTTCAAGAGTCTACAGCGCATGGCATTTATTTAAGGAGTTCCAGAATATCCTTCTCCAATTGAATCAGCCATTTTTTGTTGTTGAATTGGGTTATCCAACAACCTTTGGAGAATGGCAAGGCGAACACACTTGTTTGTGCTCACAACACTTCTTTTGATTTCTGCATATTGGATTAAGTTTGGTGGCGGTGCAGCTGTGGAGGATGACAAACTGGTTGGGAATGGCACAAAAATAGCAGTAAAAAACAGGCGGCTCTTCCAATCACCATCAGTTCGGAACTCAGATGGAAGCCTCATCAAGAACAATACGGCCGCCGTTAAGGCGGCAACAAGTCCAGTAATACCATGGGGCTCCAGATTTTGCCATTGCCTCTTCTGCTTCTGTTTGTGTTGTGGTACTTGTATCTGTGACGGTTGCCATACGCCTTGTTAGGATATACACTTATTTTGTGATAATAAAGGAAGGACAGCCTTCTGGGTTTTGTTTGTACGAGAAACGAAATTATGAATACTGTTGTTATTGTCACATTTCTGTTACTATGGTCGGATCTATAAGATGAAATCGGGGCGTTCTCAATCCGTGAGTTTGCGCTTTCTTTCTTTTGCCAATTGAACTTAGGAATCTCCAAATATAATCCGATTAGTTCTGGGACATCATGTGCTAATTGTTTTTGTGGGTAAATAAACCAGATTATACACAATTGACGTGATTAGTTTTTTTTTTTTTTTTTTTTTTTGACTTCCCCCAAATTAAGTGGTTGTTCTAGAAGATGAAATCCAAGAATCCATAATGAAAGCTAGCGAGCTAATTATTGGAGTGAAACTCACATGTTATTCATTCCAAGGATCGATTGTGTCAATTATTGAATCAGACTTTATAATTGAAGGACTAAATTCAAAACAGTTCAATAACACAACAAATTAATTGATGCTGAGCGAGAAGAACGGGGTGCATGTGTGTGATTCATTCATTCAACCAAAGGGGGAAAAAACCAGCAGAGAAGAAAGATCTTTTAAGGTCACGGAAGCATCTAAAAGACGGCTGCATGTGAAATGACTCCTAATCTTAACAAACTGATCCATGGGCGTTAGCTATTTGCTGAAAATTCACTTTTGGAGGGTATTACCTTTTTTTTAAAAAAAAAAAAACTTGTAACTTGTTTTATCAACTGTCATTCTCTCTAGCTAATTGACATTTTCACACAGTTTCGAAGTGGAAGTACACAATTAAATATGCTGACTTTTTTTTAACGTGTAGGCAAATTCCTTGCTCCTTAATTATAGTTTCTAGATTACTAATAGTATATTGTTATTAGCTTCCAGGACAGTATCGGAATAGAAGCTTCGCTGGTTATTGTCGTATCGCATGCTCAACTTAATTAAGTGGAAGAAATTTGATGTCCTGATTGTGATTTTGTTAGTACAGCATTATTTTATTTGTGCATAGCAGATTACTCCACTGGATCAATTACAACGATTGAAATGTATAGATATCAAAATCATTTCCTTCTGACATTTTTTATTTATTATTTATGTTCCAGGAGTGGTTAATGAAAAATTTGCTTTATAAATGAAATATTTTCTTCGAGCTATGAGGCCAAAAATGATGAAAAGGGGGAGGATATATAGATGAGTTACTTATTCACTCCCTTATAATAATAATAATAATAATAACAAACGAGTTTGATTTAGCATCTTTCTACAATTTGGACATTTTATACATTATCACCAGGCAAAATAAAAAATTGTTACCCCTCCATCCTACAAAATTAGTCCACATTGAATTTTGAATTTTGTAATATTTTTAATATAAATTTAAAAACTCAATACAGACTATTATTATGGGACGGAGACTGCTACAGTTGTTTTATTTATTATTATTTTTTTAAATGTAAAATGAAATGATAAGGTAACATGTGCATCAGTGCATGAGTTGAGAGAGGAGGAATTAAATTCGGAGTGTGTTCCTTTGTGCAGTTGCATCACGAGTTACATCACCTCCCGAATAAATTAAAGAGACTTCAGTTAACGAATTTACTTCTTATAATCTAACCCCCAAAAAAGGTTTTAATTTCTGTCATCAATCACCCAAAGTATCTTGTTTACCAAACTTAATGACAAAGAAGTTACATCACGCATGATAATATGCATATTGATGATATTGATGGAAGCTTCTTCCCCTCTTGTACGTATATGTAACCGCGTCGTACTCCCTACGTGATGAGCAAGCAGCCCTTGATTCTCGGCCCCTCAATTTTCAATCACCTTATTTTTTCCTCCCACAAGAATACTTTACATACAAAAGCGGAGCTTAAAAGGAACGTTATTTTACATTTGTCTGTTCCGGTATATGAAATTTGAAACCAGCTGGTGAATCTTGAGAATCACTAAGATATCGGCAGATTACGTGGGAAACGAATCATTAATTAATTTCGGGGCAAAAACTTTTAAACTGAAACAAAAAGAAAAAAAAGAAAGGGAGAAACCACGTGTGAACTTACGTGTGAGAAAGTGAAAAGTCTTGTGAATCACGAAAAGCACTTTCCTTAACTAATCCTATACTTAATAAACACAGGAAGCCTCCGAAACGTCAACTATCAAAACTTTTTTCCAATTTTGCCCAAAGAAAAAAAAAACAATCAATCTGACTCAGAAGGAGGCACAAAGTTACCAGTTACTACACACCAAAAAATCTTCCATATAAATACACAATCCACCTCCCTCCGTTTCAATCCCAGAGTATTTCAATCTCTTTTAATTACTACAACCTAGCTGGATTTCTTTCTCCCCTTTACTTCTTTAATGACTGATTCGAGTAGGGTCGCAATTATGGCTGAAACCGAAACCCAGGATGAGCTTTCTATGTGCCCTACTTTCAACAGCTATTCTTCTGATAGGCTGGCTGATATCGCCGCCCGGGTCACCGGCGAATTCGACAACTTGAGCGTGCTTCGTGAAGAAAAGGATGATGATGATTGTGGTGATGATGAATTTGAGTTCTCTCTTTTGAGGGATGGTTCTGAAATTTTCTATGACGGCCAATTCGGCCCGGTTTTCCCGGTTTTCAATCGCGATCTTGCCGATGGATTTGGGGATGGTCGATTGGGTACAGAGTGCGGCGATGGTGCGGTGGTTGAGACCGAAATTGGGGTTCCCTTGAGGAAATTGTTTGTTCAAGAAAGGAGGGAAGAAGAAGAACAGGGGAACAACCCTCCGTCGTCTTCTTCATCGGAGGCCGACGAGATGGAGGGCGTGCCTACCGGAACTTATTGCGTGTGGAGGCCGAAGAAATTCGAACCCTCTCCGGCGAGTCTCGGGAAGAAGAGCAATTCCGCTGGATCCGGATCCGGGTCTAAGCGGTGGAAGTTTCTGAATTTATTGCGGCGGAGCAACAGCGAAGGGAAGGACACTTATGTCTTTTTCACACCCAAAAACAGAGAAGTAAAGTCCGGCTCCGGCCGGGACGAATCGCATCGCTCCGGCGAAATTGTGAAGTCTGGCCAGAAGCAAAAGCCCAGAACCTCGACGGAGTTGCCGTGGAACTCGCCTTCTAATCATTCTCAGTCGCCGTTGCGATCGCCAGCTCACGAAGCGTTTTACTTGCATAACAGAGCGATTAAACAAGGCGAAAAGAAGAAATCGTATCTGCCGTACAAGAAAGATCTGGTGGGATTTTTCGCAAATGTGAACGGTTTAAGCCGGACCCTTTCCCCTTTCTAGAAGCTTCTTCGAGAGTCCACTCCCCCCTAAATCGTCCCCATTCCGGCGAATTTCCGGCTCTCTAGCTAAATTATCAGTTCACGCCCATTTTTGTTTGTTTCTTTGTTACTTTTTTGTACTTTTGTTAGATAAGTACATTAGAGTTTCGTATAGGCAAGTTATCCCGGCCCACTCTGATTGGAATGGAAGGTCTTCTTCCAGCCAAAAAAAAAATAGAGGGAAAAGGAAAATCTTGAAGTTAACTTGTACATACTTAGTTGAGTTAATTCCGACGAATGAATGAATGGTCTCTCTGTTTCATTGTCTAAAACTCTTTTAAAATGTATCTTGCAACCAACCCGTAAATAAGAGTGGTTTCGTCCTGCGGTTCTTGCTGATCCAGCTTCAATTTGCGGCAGCTTCTTATGTTTAAGATTAGACTTACGAATTTTGATAACGCAATTGTAAAATGTTTTTGATCTAAAGCAAGAGGACTTAAACATAGGAAGTTGCGTTGCAGTAACATGAGGCGGGAAAAATGGACAAAAATATCAGTCGTTCATGACCATGTATGTTGTTAAGATGGAGGAGTCCTGTAATGTTATGATAAAATAATTAATTGGAATTTAAGATATATAATAATACTTTTTCCTTCGTACCAGAAAAATTATTCACTTGCAATTCTTTTGAGGTAGAAAGAGTATGAAATCCCTACTTCTAGTCTTCTAGAATGACCAACGAAATTTGGGAATTGAGAAGGATGTGAACATCTCACTATTCTTGGGTAGTTGCAATTGGTATCGGACCAAACATTGCAACTTTGGTCAAATACATGCACAGCCTTATTATCTTCTCTCTCTCTCTCTCTCCAGTCTCCAGTTTACATCTCTGTGCATCATTACCAGAAACGTACTACATTTATCATTTCCATCTTTATTATTTGCCGTTCAATGAGGCAGGTCCCGGACTTCCTTCTTCTTTTTTCCTTTTTGGGTCCCAGACTTACTTCAAAGAAGAAGTCGGTAAGGAAATAAATATGGTTGTTGTTCAACTAATTACATACATTTTCAACCAAACTAAATATAAAATTCACTGTACCCGAAAACTAAACAAAATACTGTACTACTTTTTTGCCAAACTACAAACTTTGCCAGCGAAAATGGACCAATCATTTTGTGTATATATACTTTGTTTATTGTAGATTAATTTTTCTTTTTCCAACTGAAAACAGGCTTGGATTGGGCGTGGGGTCTGTGACTTTTCAAATGTTAAACAAATCGAGAATTAGTTGTCGGTTGACTTAATCTGAGAGAGAATTACAATAATAGACGCGCGGGAGGAAACTTCTGCTTAAGACGCCTGATTACTACTGCATTTTTTAAAAATATGGGTTAAAAAGACAAAGTAGTGAGTAAAATACATGTTGGAGATAAATATTGTTACAAAGTTAGTATCTCTTACTACACATGCTGGAAATTCACATTTCACAATCCATAACCAACCAAGCAGCAATTAGACCGCTCAAGTCACCTACCCACAACCTTCTCCTCCGACAAAAACAAGACTAGGGAAGGTGTTAAGCTTCAAATTTTGGGAATATTGGCGGATACATCCCAACGTTTACCCCCTGCAAGTCAAATCATCCCAAATTTTTAGTTAGTGATTATATCCTAAGATTTTTAAAATTGAGCGCAACCATCCATTGACCTAAAACAACACAAAATTGACCAGGTACAACAGATGAAAATTATTATTTTCTCTTTCTATTTCTCCCTCTCTCTTAATTTTTAATATTTTTTAATAAATTTTTTTCAAATTTGGTTATGACCTTATTATGAAGAAGCAATTGATTTTTTATTTTTTTTCTTTATTTTTTAATATCTAAATAATGCATGGTGGATTTTGATTCCACTTGTTTCAAACATAAATTGAAACCCTTACTTATGTTTGAATCTTTTTTCATTGTGTGTTTTTAGATATTTTTTGTATTGAGATTGTAAAAAGGTGTATTAAAAATATAAAAGATATGCTGAAATTGGACATTATTAATAAAATATTATGTGAAAAACCATAAAAAATTCCAAACATATTAAAAACCGAGTGTTTTGTTCAGTAATGATAATGGTATTGGGAGAGATGGGGCGATGGAATGAAATAATTAACTTGACTAAAATAAAAAGAAAAAAAATTAAGAAAAACAATTGGCAAAAGAAGTAAATATCAAACTAAGTAAAATTTATAAAATTAAGTAAAATTTATCTGTTACTCCAGGTTAACAACATGTCATGAGATGGTTGCACTCAATTTTACAAACATTAGGATATAATTACACAATTTTAAAAGTTTAGAATGAATTAACTAGCAGATGATAAACGTTGGAATATATCCGTCAATATTCCCTTCAAATTTTTTCCACATAACTTTTCTTGTCCAACAAAAGAAAATTGAAAAGCGTTGCTGAGCTCCGCGGGCAATGGAAATTTGCCGTTGTTGTGTAACCAGTGCTTTTCGGTGCCTTCTAGATAAATTTCGTTGATATTAGTGGGAATATTGGAGAGCCATAATAATAAGCTAAAGAAGGGGCTTGAAATTGATAGTGTCCATTGACTAATTCCTATGAAGCGATGCGTGTTGTCTATCTAATTCTTTCCGAAGTCATCTGATCTGATTGAGTACACTATCGAGAGTGTAGTGGTGTAGACTTGGACAAACGTTGTACCAGTCTTCAGTAGTCTTGAAAATGACACAATTAAACAGATAATTCAACAACTGAGCCACACCCGTTGTCTTATGGTTCAGTCTTTATTGTTTCTTTGGCAAAGCTCCAGAGTTTATTAATATATTCAATTCATGCAAGTAGGATTCCTTCAAATGTGGCCAACCTTAATATTGTTTTTAACATGAAATTGGAGGTTATCTGGGTATCAACTTTCGATTCATTACAAATTCTATGATGCATTGTATCCATACTTTTCTTAGTTTTCAAACAATTTCAAAACCTAATCTTTAGCATTTGTTTTCTCTTGTATTTTGGACTTCATCGTCATTACCGTCGGGTTTATTAGGTGGATGACAAAGTCGACGACGAAACTATTTTCAACTAATTTTTTTTTTTGAATTTCCATTAACGGTATTAATAAACGAAGGAGGAAAAACATTAATAAATATAAAAAAATTTAAATTCTTTACTTTCCAAAATTTTTTTTGAATTACGAATGAGGTGTTAGTTCAGTGGTAAAGGTCATTAGAGGACATGGTATTACCTTGGCCCATGTCAATTTTGATATAGGCAATGCATTTCGTCACAATAATTTATTTGATATCTTGAGAATGTTGTGTAAAAATGAGACCAAAAAGAAATTATTTCGACCTTCGTCGACTTTGAAGTCGGCTTTTCAAAGAGGACGAAAGAGCCCACGAAACAATTTTTCAAGCAAAAATAAACATTTTCAGACTTTAGATTGGTACAGATAAATCAAATAATAAGACTAAAAGGCATTAAGAAAACCTATCAAAAATGCGATAGTTTTTTTTTTATTTTTTTATTAACTTTAACCCATTTTGCGACACAAATTGCGTGCACCCGTTTTGGGTCGAATGTAGTATAGTCGGAATGGGCAAGCATAGTGACTTCTTGAGGTTCGATATTCTCCCGTTGCCACTCTTCTACATCATCCCCAGCGATGAGCGTCTTCCACACATCTCTATTCACCAGGAAAACACTAACAAAATCACCACATTTATAAGATCGATCCAAAGGCAGCATAGCAGATATATTGCAGATTTTGCCAACTTGGCAGCTTCAATTGCAGGAATCTCATCATCATCATCATCCAACTTATCTTTCAGATAACGAATAGCATGTTTTGAGCCGGATCCAGTTGCACATATTTTCTTCTCGAATGGCTTGTCATCACAACAGTTCTTATCCATCATCCTTTTCGATTTACTATTCACATTGACACACAGTACCGCCTGTTTCATCCCACCCCGCAATAACTACTCCTCCTCCGATACAAACCAAAAAAGTAAACTCCTTCAATGCACGAGCATCAGAGATTCTTCTGCCACAGTTCTTGAGTTCATGCGTTTGGCACGTCTCTTTCAAACCTCCCAACAAACTTTCGCATCCTCCAGAAATCGCGGCAAGCATGTGAGAATTGAGTTCAACAACGTTCCGTATCCAAGACTTAGGAGTGTGGTCAACAGCTATCACAATTTCATCCCGTTGAGAAAACTAAAGTTGTGGATCATCTTTCTTTCTTAGGGAAAGAATCACCAGCATCCTTATCACGGACTATCTCCACTACCAGGAGGGGGCAAATGCGTCTCAGATTCAGAATAAAATCAGTAAATCTCCCAATGATGTCTTGCAAGCTTGAACTGGTGGAGCCCAACCCAATATCATCATCAATGCTGAAGGGATCAGAGGATTCAGATTCACTACAGTCCTCCTCCTATGGTCCCAACTTCAAATCCAACATTCCCAACTCTTGGGAGACCATTGCTTCCACCTTTTCCTTCTCATCAGGTGAGACAATCTTTTCCTTTTTAGGTTGGTTTGAAGCCTAGGGGAGAAATTAATCTTCGTCTTCACTTCTGCCTTTTCAAGGATATCAGCATAGGTTTGGCGTCTTATTCGGGCCTTTTTTTTGGTCTTATCCTTCTTGAGGAGCCTAGGAAAGAGAAAATTTTCTGTCTCCTCCACTTGAAAGTCGTCTGATCCACCGCAGATATCCATCGCTTGTTTACTTCAAGTGGACAAAACTCCGTCAATCGGAACAGAACAAAAAAAATTGCCAAAAGTCTATTCAATCGATACGTATGGATTAATTCTAGCCCTGATTGTTCCGAACTAAAAATAGGAACGCTTCTAGGGGGAATCCAGACAACAACGCGAGTCCTAATTCGAAGAAGAAAATAGTTGTAAACATAATCGGCTCGACGAGGAACAAGGAACAGAGTTTTTTTGTCTCCTTTTAGAGGAAAAGTTCTCTTAATATTACTTTTTTTATTCATGAAACTCGGAGACCTTGCTTAAGGGATCCAAAGTATCTTACCACTTTGGCCAAGGGAGGGAGGGTTGGTAAACAAGGAACAGAGTTGGACGTCAGATCTATTTCAATAAAAAAATAAACATTATTATTCTTGTTTACATTGTCCAATTGAGCTGCTTTGGGCCAGTGGACCGTTTGAAAAGGTAAAAGTATAATTTCATTCTTGGGCTTGAAATAGCTTGTGATCAGTGATCCAATATATCCACATATAAGTCCAATCCCTTCTTCGTCCACATCCAAATATTTGCAACTCTAGTATCCGGGCTCCATGAATGTTGTCATTCTTATTGTACAAAAAGGATTTCAAAAAAATGCCAAACTTGAATAAATTAAGCAAACTCATATCTATTAAGCAAACTCATATCGTTTTCTTTTTTTCTTATTTTGTCAAAAAAAAAAAGTTTCAAAAATTGGCCGATTAATTTTCCATCGTCTCCTAAGCCATACAAATGCACTTTTGTTTGATTGGTTCAACAATTATTTTTGGTATACCATACACATATGATGTTTAAACTAAAAATCCTGATTAATTCAGATTACAAACGTTAAACTAAGAGAATTTCTCCCAACTCAATGGGATTTAGCTAGTGATCCATTATTTATGAATTGTACAAGCATTGATTCCTGCATGCATGCATCGTTGTGAATGTGAAGGAAAGGAGGACCCAAATTGAGCTGCACGGAGGACAGCTAAAATTGTTAATATATATTGCCTTCTTGGCTAAAAATTGAGTCTTCCATATCCATTCACCGTTGTTTCAATGAGTTCTGTCAAATAGACTTTTGGAATTTCAAGTTTCATGATAAAGTAATCAACTATGAAAATCATGGTAGCATAGAACATCCTTTCAGGTCACAAAATGTAATTACCAACCAGATGGCTAATTAAACACAAATATCGTTCATTCTTCTGCACAAATAATTTGTTCGAAGACTCAAATGTCATTTGCGAGATTGATTAATGCGTGCCATAACCGACAAGGTCTAGACTCGATAGTCTATTATATCCTGTAGCCTAAAGTAGTAATAGTAATTAATTAATTTAATGGGTTTACTTGACAATTGACGTTGATGTGGATTAACTTTTCCCATTTTTAATCTCATTAATTAATTAAACGCTTGAATCATGAAGAGGCGGGGTGGGTTGTTCGTTTTTCTTATCTGTGAATCCTTTCTAAATATGTCATCATCAACGAGATGCCCTACACCTATCTGAATTCTGAAATCTCAATGGCTGCCATTAAACTCTTGTGCATTGTATAGATACTTCTCTTTCGGACAATTGCTCTAACGATTTTGACATCGTACCTATAAGGAGATGCCACCAATAATGCACCAATCTTTCTACATTTCTGTAACAGTGCTTTGCGGAGCTTTTAGAACCAATGGGTTTAGGAGTAGTGGATAACTTCAATAGTACCTTAGGAGGGTGGGGGAGAAAAAAAAAAAGAAGGGAAAATCCTCAAATCGACAGTCTGGATTAATTAAAGTCCCTCAAAGAGAGAAAACAATGCATGCAACATGTCTATGGCGAAATCAACAATTCGGATACGGTGGGATTTAATTTGGAGTGATTCTTGAAATTTCTAATGCTATATGAACAATAAATATAGGGGAGAAAGGAAATTAATCGGATTACAATATACAGGTGTTGATACTGTCTGGAAATTCATTTATTGCATATACTACTAGAAAGTTAAATGTGTGTGGATCGAACTCAAGGTACTTATGAAAAATAAACAAATAAATAAATAAAATAAAAGCCTGTCTTTGTTAGCTTAACGATCTAATTAGATGTCTTTTCTCTATAATTATCAACCCAAACAGCCTCCATGTGGCTTTGTTACTGAAGAAAGACATATTTCAACTAAGCTGGATTATTATGTGTTCAATAATTTCACAACTAATTAACTGACATGTAGTTCAATTCCCTTCTTGTGATTAGTTCTAGTCCTACGTACGTGTGCGTAGTTCTTATTTGTAGTTACAAACTAGCTTGTAAATTGGACCATAAGGAACTATATAATTTCCTCGTATACGTTGCTTTCAAATTCCATGCGTCGATTAAAATGTAAAAAAAAGATTTGAAGAAGAAAAGAAAAGCAAAAGGGTTTCATCCATAATTGAATTTCACGAAGCTAGACCACAACATATACTTAAGGTAAAAAGGGAACGTAAGGGAGCGAGTCCCTGGACATCCATTGAAGTGGTTGTAAACTATGGAGCAATTGGGGTGATCTGGTATCGCATTTAGGGCTCGGATCAACGTGGTGGGGATTGGTTATTTATATTAAAAAGACGGACGTGGAGCTATATGGTTGGTGAATGGTGATCCTCAATCATTCCACATTTCATGATTTCCACAGATCTTCTCCTTTCCATTTTCTGTAGCTTAGGGAATAAAAAGTTATCTCCTTGTCTTCATCCCTTGGAAAAATTTGAATTAGGGGGTCTTCAAATTCCGTCCTGCTCCTTGGAGACTTCCAGCTCCAATGGAGGTCCTACGTACCCACCAATTTACAATCAATGTCCCTCTATAAATAGTAGTAGTTCTTCCACCTTATAAATTATTATAATTAAATCTTCCACCAATTAGGATAAAGGTTGTATTTTGTTTATACGAGTTAAAAAAAAAAAAAAGAAGAAAAAAAGTTTACTATCGTGAATGATTGTGCAATCTTTGTCTTAACTTGGCCTAACTGAAAACATCTAAACTACTTAGAACAAAAGCTGGGCCAAACCCGAACACGAGCAGTTGCATTTTACTAATCACAAAAGGATTAGTAATAATAATTAGGAATTTCTTCCATTTGTTCCATTGTAGAAAAGACGTCGCTGCACCAATTTATCAATCTTGAATTTTATGTTTCATGTTATTGTATTCATTCACTTTGACATTCAATTTTTAAATATATTTTAATCATTGATATTTTGTAAAGACGTGTTATAAATCAAATGTGGTTTTGTCACATAAAGAGAGAGCTTTCCGATTGTTGTCCAACTCCAACAAGATGTGGACTAGAGTGGTCCATGAACCCTAAACCCCCCCAAAAAAAAAATAAAAACGAAGGTCGATTCATCACCAATCCACGTCCTTATTTCACACACATTTTTCATAAAACACAAATCACTGTCTATTCTTGTTCAGGAAGTATAACATTATCATTTTACAGTAGATTATCTAACCATTTTTAATCGGTGGTGCTCGTGAAGCCACGTCGTCTTATTGAGCTAGCTTCGGGGCCATGGCTTGGCACTTCTTTGTGTGTTGACCTCCAAACAGAAACAAGAAGTTAATCTTGGGCAAGAAGGCCCAGGGGTAGCAAACCTCGACCCAGATAAAAACTTGTGTGGTTCAGTGCCCACATTTTTTTTAAAAAAAGGTTGGGACCCTATTGAGGAAATTTTAGTCACTGCCGTCACGTACATTGTCGTTTTATTCATTCCCTTTGGTTCTTGGAGGCAGGATGATTGGACTGAATTAATTAACTTCCCTGCATTTCCCCAAGAGGGCCACCTATTTTCTGTTTCTGTTCCGGCTAGCTTCGTTTCCATGTCATGGTGACTGGTGTTGTTGACGAGGACTTACGAAATTTTCGTTTATATATGTTATACCTATGGGTTGAGTTCGAGTCACTCGTAACATTAACAAGTTATTTCTTTCATCTCAAAATTATTGTTTAGGTTAGATTTTCATCTTCAGTGTTAATATGAAAATCTAAATTGGACAATAAATTTAAAACTGAAGGAATAATTGTTATTGTGGATGTGTGTCGATTTCTTAATCATGAGATTTTTTTTTATAGTAATGTGTTACATATTATCCGGTTCATTGAAAAGTTGAAAATGCACCGCTTGTAGACATGCATGCGGGATGCGGATATACAGTGACACACAACAAATTTTCGGAATAGGCCTAAGTTTTCTTACGTTTATGGGGGATTCGGGTAAGTGGATAATATGGGAAGGTAGGCCGGGGGAAAACAAGAAATGAAATTCCCGAAACATCAACACTATTTGTCAACTTTGCCAAAAATTCACCTTCTCATATTCTACCTTTTTTGTGTGTTGTTCTTCAGAAAACAGGGTTTGTACCAAATTACCCGTGTTTGGATTTGCTGACTAGAGTCTGTCGGTGGAAGAATGATGGCTGAACCAAATAATCCGAGCTGCTTTTTCTTTTTTTTCCCTTTTTTCTTTTATTTATATGATTGGTTCTTGATTTTTTTCATATGTGGATAACTTGCACTGAAGATTTGTTGGCAATTACTCCACTCCATCCTAGAATTATTGAATTTCAAAAGAAAATTTGCATTCCAAATTTATGTTGAAATGAACTATGTGATTATAAGCTGGTGATAATTCTTTAAAAAAAAAACTAATATTAAAAACAATAATGCATTGATGCACACCTGCAATTAGTTAATTAGGCCTTGACCAACTGTTGATTAGGCTTATCGACGGTTGTCGCATTGAAGGGGAATTGAATAACTCTATATCTGGAATCGATAATGCAAAATTTTTTGGGAAAAATAATGTGATCCACTCAATCTGATGATTAATAGGAACTGAATTATGAGGGACACGAATGAACTAATCAAACCCCACATCATCAAATTTAAGACTAGCTCGAATCGACCAAGATAATTATCTGTTTTTAAGGCTCCCAACTGTAGTTATCGAAGAGTAAATGTTTGCTGACGTATATATTGAAAATGAATGCTAAAAAATAATCATGCTGGCCATCTCGCAATTTTCATGCATATACGATGAAACCATTGCTTTAAAGTTTAAACTGTTCATGGAAATCATGCATGAATCTTCATCGAATGTCTTAAACGCCAGAAAAAAAAAAAAAAAGGAAACAGAAAATGGTAAGTACGTAGTCATTGTCCACTTTGATGGGGATAAACTCTCCTAACAAGCTATATTGTATAGCTAAGCTAGATTGATATTAACTGGATGAAGGACTACAAGATAGAAGTGCGTAAAGAAATCCATAGGTTTCAAAAATTAATCCTCAGTACAATTTGAATAGACCATGCACGGCAAGAAACTCCAACAAGGACTCGATGTATAATTTCGTCCATCTCAATCATTGTTTAAGAAACCCGACTTTAAAATGGTACAATTTCTTATGGATACTCTAAAACAAAACAGTTTGTGAGTGATTGCTTTTCTCTTCTATGATAATGTAGCCGATTCGAATTCGGATTAATTTCTATAATGATTTCAACGAATTAATAAGTGTTACAAAAATAACATAATGCAGATTATACGAGAAGAATGAGAATTAATCTGAATGTAATACATTATGAGAAAAGGCGAGCGTAACTAGAGTGGGGCGAAACACTAGAATAGGAAGAGAGGTGGCGAGGGGTCCATAGACGGCGTAACATTAGCTGTTTGGAAAGCTAAGCTGTAAAATGGGGCTTTCCATTTGAATGCAGCAGTCTCAATCAATCCCAATTCTACTACCAATTCCCAACTTTCTCTACCCCATTCTTTCTTTGTGTATATAAAAAGGGTGCATATATGTTACGAGTTAATCATACCACACGATCATCTCAAAACAACACCACAACATTACGTACTAAGTTTTACAACCACATGGTCGTCAATATGATCCACTTAAAATATCATGTCATGTTTGTTTTGGTTTTCGTCTTCCTCAATCTTTCCCTGATCAGCGTTTATGGCCGACCCGCCACTTTTCTTCAAGATTTTCGTGTCACGTGGTCCGACTCTCATGTCCGGCAAATCAACGGTGGAAGAGCCATTCAGCTTGTTCTTGATCAAAATTCAGGTACATGTGTATTCACTTTTTATTCATTTATTAGTCTAGTCATCAATATCATAAACATGATCGTGAGCTAATTAATATTATTGTAGGATGTGGATTTGCTTCAAACAAACAGTATCTGTTTGGCCGTTTTAGTATGAAGATCAAGCTCATCCCTGGTGACTCTGCTGGAACAGTCACCGCTTTCTATGTATGAGTTCTTTCTTTTTCTTTTTCCTTTTTTTTTTCTCCCATTGGGCATTATTTAAAACGGTAATTATAGTTTTGGGGCCGGGTCTATAATGTTTTGTTTTATATGCCGACAGATGATTTCGGAGAACTTTAATGTGAGGGACGAATTCGACTTCGAGTTCTTAGGAAATCGGTCGGGACAACCTTACACCATGCAAACCAACATTTACATTAACGGTCAAGGCAACAGAGAACAAAGGATAAACCTTTGGTTTGATCCATCCCAAGCATTTCACACCTACTCCATCCGATGGAGCCATCAGAATGTTGTGTAAGTCACAAACAATATATATTCTCCTCAATCCACATTAATCACTATATATATATATATATATATATATATATACACACACAGACTGATGAACGAAAACAAAAACGCTGTCCAAATTAACAAATGCAGATTCTACGTGGACGAAGTGCCGGTGAGGGTATACAAGAACCACGAAGCCAGAGGGATTCCATTCCCAAAGAGGCAACCCATGGGAGTTTATTCAACATTGTGGGAAGCTGATGACTGGGCAACCAGGGGTGGATTGGAGAAGATTGATTGGAGCAAAGCACCGTTTTACGCTTACTACAGTGACTTCGACATCGAAGGTTGTCCGGTTCCAGGTCCATCCACTTGTCCTTCCAACCCAAACAATTGGTGGGAAGCTGCGAATTACCAACAATTAACGCCTCTTGAAGCCAGGACTTATCATTGGGTACGAGCCACTCATATGATCTATGATTACTGCACCGACAAATCGAGGAACGCTGTGCCCCCACCCGAATGCTTGGCTGGCTTCTAAGTTTAAGACACGCGCCACCCTAAACAAATTCCACACCACTCAAAATATTTCCATGCATGCTTTTGCTTTCATTTATCCATTTTAATTGGTACATACATTTACGTATATATGGATCATTGTATCCAACATTGGTGTTTCTTGTTGTTGTATGTTAATTCTCTTGGACTTAAAAGGTTCAAACAAAGGAGAAGCTGGCCTTTTTGGTTACTTGCGTACGTAAATGGCCCTGATGAGATGGGAAGGCCATGCAAAGTGTATAGTTGGAACGAAAGGAACATTTTGAAGGAATTAATTATACAAGAAGATGTGTGTGTGTGTGTGTGTGTCTGTGAGAGAGAGAGAGAGATTTGTATTTTACGTTGTGAAAGATATGCTTCTTTGTCATATGTTGTATACATGTGTATTTATGTAATTTGTAATTTGTGTACACCCAATAATGCTTTTGGCACATCATTGTGAAATTATTAATTTGAGTCAACTTTTGGTTCTTTTGTTTTTTTTAAAAAAACTATTTGACTAACTATATATTCTTTGGAAGTACTGATCTTTTTACTTATAATATTTCGTTGTCCCGTGCTTCGCATGATTATGAACTAAACAACCTAGTTTTGGGAACTTAGTAACACATGTTATATGATCAACTCAATGAGAGATTGACACTGTGACTGTATTATTAAGGCCAAGAGCTAGGTTTAAATGGTCCACTTAGGGCTTTTACTAACCTTGTCATCATATGCCTCCTCATTTTTATTTTTATTTTCATAATAGAAAAAAGAAAGGTAAAAATAGAAGATTCCTCTTGTCTAATATCTCTCATATATGGTCAAACAATCCCATCCGAGAGGACAATTAGAATAAGGGCTAGTCGATTTTCTTCAGTTAGAATAATCGTACGTTGTATATATTGATATTGAGGGGAAGACAACTCCAAATAATTTCTTGGGAGTATCTGTTTGCAGTTCATTCGGAAAAAAATAGCTTATTCGTTAGTTACATTTTTTAGGGGAAAACTCATTTCGTCTGAATCAAAACACTTCGTTTAGTGGAAATGGATAAATTTAATAAACAAAATTCTTTGTTATTTTTAGTTTGGGACGAAAACAAGATAATCGTAACTAAACTGAAGGAAAATCGCTGCTTTCTCAAGAACTCTTTGTTTAGGACCGCTTTGTCGTATCTTCTTCGGTATAATGTAGTTATCAGTTCATTTAATATATTTGTACTCGTCTTGAAAAGTTTACCCGTACTAGGACACTGGCTTCATTCCAAGCTTCGGATTTTTTTTAACTCTTAGCATTTATTTCAAGCAATGAATAATTGAAGCATACAACCACCTGATTGATGATAGAGCTACAAATGGTTTAATAGGAGAACTGTTGTATTTGTGCTATCCACTTAGCTTTGCGTTATAGTAAGAGCAAAATTACCTTGATCCGCAAAATTTTGGCCCCAGAAAGGATAATGTGCGAGTGCTAAAAAGAATTTATGATAAGAGGTTTTGCCCAACTAGCTAGATCAACAGTGTAAATATTTATCGAGGGAGGGACCCGTTTCCAACAGTTTTTGATCTGTGCTCTAATTAAGAAGCAAAAGCTTAAAGGACCCAGAAATCGTCTGAGTCATTCATTATCCATATCTCTCAGCTGTGAAAATGCTACAGTTGAATGGAAACAATTCCGGTTGGATAGAAGTAACAAAATTGGGTCTCACTTATTTGAATCCAAACAGTTATAAAGCCGTAACTATAATACGATAGTCCTATTTTAAAAGTTACTAGTACTGTATATACTAGTATTTCCCTAGAATAATACTTAGAACTTAGAACTCTAAAACTTGGTTTTAGAAACAAAACAATTACTGTGGAATGGGGGTATAAGACATTAGGGCAAAAGTCAAAAACAGAGTCCGAAATAACATTCGGAGCTGCAGATGATTTCATATATTCCACGAGCTACGCATGCTCAATCATAGGCTGCAATATCAAAAGGATAACCAACCAGTAAATAGAAAAGTTTACATTTTGGTCCTCCATCACGACTATCCCTCAAAACTTATTTGTTGCTTCAATGCTTTTTTGCCTTTAAAAGGTAAATCCTTCCAAACCCTTTTGTGGATCTCCCTTCTGTACTAGTACGATTCCAGTTCCTTTCTGTTCCCATCACTTGGTCCAAAGGCGCTACGATCCATCCCAGACGAGGAATTGATAACACCAAGGAAACAAAATTTCATTTCCCCGCATTCATTCTGACAGCAACAGGACTCGAGCAGTATGGACAATTTCCAAACATAACATCAAATGACCTGCATTTAACAAAAGTATGCAATGTTAACGAATGAATGGAGATCCAAGTTGTTAACTAAAACCCAATGAACAAACTGTACAGCTCATGTCTTATTGTTAAGGATGAGGCAAGAATGAGTGGACTAGTTTAGTCATGTGAGGAAAATAAAAGGAACGGGTCTTCAATGTGCAGGAATAAACTGATAACAATTATAGCCCTTTCAGTAATCATATATTAGAAGCCACATCACAAGTAAAGATTGAACGGTGCAATGTTGATCCCATCCTTATTAACAAAAACAGCCACAGAAATTAAGAGACATGTAAAAATTCCAATGCACCTGCGTGAGGTTGTGATAGAGCGCAGCCAGTCACCAAGACAAACACTATGAAAGGCCCGACTGCAATTATTGTTTTCGCATGTATAATCAGTTGAAGCCCCACTGCTTGAACCAAGTTCGTCATCTATGAGAAAAGCATTGTGTTAATGGTGTGTGCAATATATAACAAATTTGTTTTCTAAAAACCACTAGAATGTATTCTTACCAACGGGCAAATATTGAGCATAACAAACCCCACATTCAGTTTGCTGATCACATTTACTTGCATCAGGAGGTTCATGCAGCTGAATTTTCATTACACTTGCAAGGTTATCAGAGAACGGTTTCTCTTTGTTCCTGTTATAAGTTCAAAGCACACAAATATTATGAGTACCAATGATAGAGACTAGGTACTGGAAGATTGAAAATACTAGCAATAATATAGACTACAAAAGTATCAGAGGAGGTGACATTGTTCAAATGAAACTTTGTAAGTACCATCTTTTGCAATTCTGTAGCCAGATCTTTCTCCAATGGCTAACGTCTGAATCTGAACCCAGAAATCGACATCTGATGGGAAAAAAATTAAAGTGTCAAATTCCAAATGCGTATCCTGAGGACAACATTAAAAAGGAAATCATACATTCATACTCTGGTAAGGATCTTGGATCTTGGGCGTTTAATGATAGCAATAGATAGCAATCATTCCCTAGGAAATTAAAAAGAGTTAGTTTACCTACAAAGTAAAACAAACATTTGTGACTAAATGGTGTAAGTGTGCGGGGTTAAAAAAAAACCTATATGAATTTGACGATACGACACTGCTAAACTTGGATGCTTGGGATCAACCACAGAAAAGCACTTGTCAATCTCATCCAATGCAGACCAGAAGTCCTGGAGCTTCTCTAAATGCTGAAAAAGGAACCGATATTTTGTACACAAGAAATGTGATCATCTAAATGGTGGCTACAAGTACCATAATGTCAAATAATGAAAGCAATAATATTCATGATGAAACAGAGGGGTTTCGACAAAATGATGGAATAAAGAAACAAAGAAGCAAAATGGCAAAGCATACCCGCTGAAATTGCTGCAGTACATCCTTAAGAGTTGAGCTTATGGACCAGTCTAAATTAAAAATTCGTGGGACATCCTGCCCAAAAATAATAGAGAATGCAACCATGTCTTCTCAAGCGCATAAAACAGCTAAAGGAATCAACAAAATCAGAGAAGACAAACCGCAGATACTGAAGGTGGACATTCCGGATAGCTACTATCTATTGTGATCTCCAAAATATGAACTCTTCCTTTCTTGTCTCTGACAAGAAAATAAAAGTAAAAAGGTAGATTGAGCAGCTAAATGTTTAAACTCCAAATCAAAATAGATGTGTATGGATATATGGCCTTACACAATACGAAAACTCAAGTGTTTCAGGTCTTCCTCTATCCTGACCAAACGATCCCATCCAATCTCTTCTATCTATTAAATCAACAAGCGCTATTTTCAGGAAGTCCACATATTGATAACATATATCGCGTAAAAAAGTTCTAGTAAAAAGTTCTCAGTGTAATGCATCATAACTCAATCTACTTATTACATTACACTGTTCAACTCAGACATTTCAATGGAAAGGTGAACTTCACAATATTGTATAAGACTTCCGATTTACCTCAGAGTAAATCCTGCGATAAAAATCAGAAGACTTCCCCAGTTCATTCGCAGGTGCTTGCTCATCATCATGTTCCTGAACCATTCAAAGTTAGCAGGGAAATCTTGCCGCTAAATTGGAGAGTACTCCTTAAAACTTGAAATTACAGCAAAGCAAGCATCAAAATGCACATTGAGTTTTGTTTTACCATGGTAACATCCATATCGAGCTTTATCTCAGTGCGACCAAAGATCAAACATCTCGTGTGCACTTCGACCCGCCCACCTTGTTCAACTATTTAGCCCATAACTACGACATGAGAGTTGCGTTATCATGCTGTGCCATATGAAGCCGTAAAGTTCAAATTGAAGCTGGTTGATTGGGCCTTTTTGGCCACTTCTACGGACTCAGCCTTTTAGGCCTAAAGTAACAGCCCAAATCGATGTGTGATATTTGCGACCTTTTTGACCCAATAAAAAGATTTGGAAACGGAAAAGAATCGGATCCCACTATCACGCAAAATCTACGAGTTCATTCATTATTAATTTTTATTTTCTTTTTCTTTTTTTCTTGAAAAAAAAAAGGAAAAACTGTTTGGAAGAAGGAACTAAATACATGCTGAAGGTATCAAGTTGACACAAATAAGTGACAGATGTCTGAAGGAAAGTGAGTTTTACAACGAGATAAAATCATTGAATGAGCAAATGATTAGTCGAGATATTAATTTTGAACATTAAATTTACGTTGTCGGTGGTTAAAAAAATGGCGTAAAAAAAAAAAAAAAACCAATCACGCTGCAAAGAAATGCATGCAGCTAGGGTAAACATTTTAGGAGTACATATTTTAGTAGAGTTATCATGATGACGGATTGAAGAAAGGGGTCGAAATCAGCGGATGTCGCTGCATGGGAGTAAAATTTTAATACGTAACTTGTTTTTCTACTTTCACCATCATTCCATCACTGTAGACTTTACTTAAATAAAATAGTAATTTGCTAAAATCCAACGTAGATAGAAAAAGATAATAATTTTCACGTATATACGATGTCCATTTTAGCTTTTGCTGTCCTTAATCAGTGTAAAGTAAACCGAAAATGCTAGTATTATTCTCCTATCTATGCAAAGAAATGTTTCTTATTCTCTCTGTCTCAAAATTATAGTCCAGTTTAAGATTTCATTTTTAGTATAATTTAAATTAAAAATAAAAGCTTAAATTGGATAATAATTATAGAACGGAGGGAGTATGTCCTTTTAAGTGTGATACCGACGAGTCAAGAGGAAATATGCATGAGCACGCACTTGATAAGTTGCATGAACTATTCGAATTTCGGAATGTAGTAACTTGTTTTAACTTGTTTCACTTGGTTTCTCCCAACATGAAAAGGACTCGAGACTTCTGTGCTCTGCCTAAAGTACTATCTGAAAATTTTGATTCAGAAAAGAATTTTCATTTGAAAAAATATGAACATTCGTTAATCTTGACGGAGCCAAGAAAACATGCAGTCGGTCAGAACAGCCGGAATTTTGTTTTATTTTTACCCCTTTAATTTTAATATAAATTTTTTAAAAAATTATTTTAACTGCTGCAAAATCAAAATTTTCTTCATATTATCTTTACCATTCAAGAATTTCGACACCGCCACACTGAGTTAATCAACATGACGGACGGAGGAAGAATAATGCCATATACTGGTTTGGAGATTCTCCAAAAGATTCCAACAGGAACTAGTAAAGGTACTTGGCCTAACTAAAAGAAACGAAGAAACTCCCTATCATTTCTTGTTGACTGAAAATGATCAAATAATATTTGTACCGTATGTTACACCAGTTTTGTTTGTTAGCCGGTATTTGGCATAGTCATAAGTCATAACTCATAATCCCCCCTTTTTTACTTTTGCGTATTCTGAAATTATATAGTCTAATTTTAGAGATCATAACTTTCAGTTAGGACAGTTATTTAATATTATGACTTAGCAAATACACTTGTTATGAATCTCGTTTTATGCATCTCTTTCAAGTTCAGCAATGGATCAGCTGTCACTATACGTTGATGGTGGTCTGTGCTGCATATACGTACAATATACGTACGCGTGGTTTATGATTCATCAACTAAATACTGTACATATATTTATTGGCGTTAACTAAATAATAGATGGTGACTGACGTTAATGAGAGTTTTTGGATGATGAATTATACTACTATCTTGCATCGTGTGCTGGTTAATTTGGTGATCCATCAAGAATCATACAGTACATGGATTCATGCTTTATTATTTTCATGTAATTTCAGTGATGGCAACAGGTAAAAGGGAGCTTGCATTGTGAAGCACGTTTGTGTCGATTTAACTTGATCATATTTAAGTGGTTCCTTCGGAAATTTCTCAATTGTTTTCACAAAGTTATATCGTTTCTTTATATTTTTTTGGTCCGATTTTTAACATTCATGTTTTGGTAAAAGTGTATTTTTTTTGTTCTGAAATGAGTACCATGTTTGTTGTATTTTAAGATAATTAATTTAACACAAAAGAATAATCATTGTTATAAGATGAAGGAATAGGTTAGTGATGAACACAACTTTTTTGTGATTTTCACGCCAATTTCATTTTCAGTTTTTTACTCCCTCCGTCCCATAATTATTGTCCACTTTGCCCAAAAAATTTTGTTCCAAAATTATTGTCCAATTTGACTTTTTATGGATCAAGTTACACATTTGTCCTTCGTAAAAAACATTATCCATAAAATCTTAGTGGTTAAACAATTACTTATGTAGGGGTATATCCGGTTGTTTAAGGTAAAATATAGTTAAGTTTAACCAAAAATAAAATATTTCATTTTAGTAAAACTGGACAATAATTATAAGTCGAAGGGAGTATTTTTTATTGGCAAGCCATTTTTTCCTGTGTATTTTTACATAATCATTACACTTTGAGAAATGGCTGGCAATTCATAAGGTGATGTCAGTATAGTTTTTTATAACTAAGCGACACCTACTTATTACTAGCCTTGGATCAAATCGACATCTAAAACACAAACAACTCATTATTTAATGCCGACACGCTATAACTATTACACATATAATTTTTTGAGTGGTATACTAGCTAATAAAAAAAGAAATCTGATTTTTTCCCCCAGAAAATCCCAAAGCTACCTACGTACGTAATATTTGTCCAATGAGCCACACCCAACTACTGAGATCTCAAATTTAAAATTAATTGATTTTTTTTAATGCGTTATTTGTTTATTTTTTAATTAAAAAAAAGTGTGGTAGAAAATGTTCCCAATTAGGACAAGAAAGGGTACAGTTTTGCCTTTTAAGTATGGGAACAAAATAATAAAAGCCCAATGGCCCAAAGCTGAACAAACCCAATACACCAAAAACTCTCTGCCAAAGACAATCCACGTGAGTGGTTGGTCCTATTTTCAGAATTGCTAGCAACCAATTTGTTCACAACATAGATGGCGCTTCATCATTCGCCCAGAGACTTTAAGCGAAAGATCAGATTGATGATGGTATACTTTACCGACATGCTTCCATAATCGGCTCCATTTAATAATACTCCCACCAAAGTCCATTTCTTGTGGCTTAGTTCCTCGGCTTTACGAACGTTAACCAAAAAAAAAAATTGTCTAATTGATATTACGGGGTATCTAATCACTACTACTTTGTTCTTTTCTGACTCATTAATCAACACATCGCACCAATAATTAACGTTAGTATCATCGAATGACCATGTTTATTGTGGGCCATGATTCTAATGATCTTTTGTAGACGTTCCTGACAAGTGCCTCATATCGAATATTATTAATTGAAATTTGCTAGTACCGAATTAAAATTCGATAATTGTGAACATCGATTGGACTGGACTGGTGATCAATTTCATATCAATTTGATAAATTGTTCATGACATCACGAAATGGTATTACTAGTTAAATAAGCGGCGGGAAACACAAACAACGTTGATGAGTGGTTATTGTCGCAATAAAATATAAGCATAATCTAAATTAAAATTATGATTAAGGAAGCACAAGTTTTAGACAAGCCGACAAGTAAACTAAAATCAGACACCTGTCTTATAAGACGTTATTATCGATTTCTTTTATGAAGTTTCGTGTGGGCGCAAGGGATTTGCAAGTGTACCCATGAGGTCCATGACCATCTATTATGGAGTATAATGTGTTTGTGTGCAAAGAGGAGGAACAGCAGAAAGAACCGCACAGAATTTTTCATATTCGGGGAAAAGTTAATTTTGGTGCACAGCTATTTTCGCACTTTCCCTTTCCTCTTCGCTCTATATTAATGTGAAAGATCTTTGCTATCATTTGGAATATCTTTTTGCCTATTTCAAGCCCTTTTTTTAATTAAAAAAAAAGAAAAAAGAAAAATACCATGTACAAGTGTACATCATCACCTCAATAATTTGCAGTGGATTCTCGCCCCCCTTTGATTTTACGTACTGAAATAAAATTATTTTGATATGTACACGGTAAAACAAATTATCTCACCTTGACTACGTAATCATATCATATTGTAACCTATGATAGTGAGTTTTCACTAGTTTTACCCATACGCCAATTTTGTGTTTTACTTACTTCTTTCATCCAGATTAAAAGTTTTATTTAAAATAGAACAATATAACAAATGTACTCCCTCCGTCCCATAATTATTATCCAGTTTGAGTTTTCATTTTTAATTCAAATTTTACTAAAAGTGAAATCTCAAACTGGACAATAATTTTGGGACAGAGGGAGTAATTATTATCTTGGCACGCGTAGGAAGTTTACCAAATTGACAAGCTCGTGAATTTGCTATGCATTTTTTCCTCGACGATATGAAAGATGGGTTGATCATTTTGTCACCAATGATGTTACACTCCCATTGCTTTGCCATAGGGAAGAAAAAGAGAAGGGGGTTAAATTATAATATTCCTGTTTCTCAAGGCCTCAGCTTTATTTCTCAGAATTTTCTTATCAGAATATAAAGGAGTTCATCATTCATTGCACGTCTAACGTCTTTGCCGAAAGTGTTTTGACACCTCCCCTGTTTTCACGCTTTTGCTGATTTCTGCACTGGTCCAGAATACATATGAACTGTTTAACCCTAGTGTGAATGATTTTATCTTGACTCTTGTCCCTGACGGAGATTTGAATCAGCCCACGGTCATAACCATAATTGTGAAAGTGACGGTATTAATGATATGTGTTAGAAGAAGAAAATGGAGAACAAAGACTTCAAATTTCTTAGTGATTCTTTTTCTAAACATGAACAAGAAAAAGGCGAGATGGATGGGAGCATACATTTTTATTTGACACTCTTCAGAATCTAACAAGCCTATATAATTTTATATATAATAAATAACAAGTCTACATTTTATTTTTTTTCCTGAGAAGGGAGGAATAAGGAAAAAGAAAAACTGTAATTCAACGGCCTTGGTTTTGGATACGTTAGGATATTGTTGAACATCCAGAAGGAGTGAAAGAGGATGATGATGATTAGATAAAGACTTGGAAGCGGTATGTGTAACTTCCAGGAAAGTGTGCTCATGATTTTAATTGGTCCACACCCCCAAAGAGCATGAGAGAAGACATTTCTAGGTGAAGCTTTACAACAAAAAAACACACAATATTGAATATAATCTAAATTAGTATATTTTCCTTCTTTTTTTTTTTGAGTGGACCATGAGACCATGATAGATCCTCCCAATGATTCATCTAATGACTTTGTCCATGACCAATCATACTAACGTGTCCTAGAAGAAATACACATCACACACTACACTACATTCCACTGGTTTTTCCCTACTTTTCTTCACTTTTTATAATTTTTCCTTTTGGTTTTTTTGACGACACTTTAAAATTTTTATTTTTTCGTACCCTTTTATGATTTTTATCTGGACCATGAACTCGCGATCGGATAACTTTCTTTTTTATTTGTTTATTCTATTTGTTTGTTGAGTGATGTAGCTACCCTGGGGCATTTAAGGTAATTCCATCTGAATTTTAAGGAATAAAATGACACATATCATATGAATGGGATTTGAACGTACGACCCTTTTTTTTTTTCTTTTTGAGTTTATTATGACATTAATTTCCGGTTTACGCACAATCATATTCCTTGAATCTAGCACGGTTATGCTCAAGGAATCTCCATGATCACACTAATTGGTACGTAAGTGAATAAAGGCCATACTATTTGTATGTCAAGATGCCAAGAATCATGCCTGTTTGACTAACGAATTTTTATATATAAACTTATCAATGATGAGTATCAATCAATTAAGAAGAGCCTTTCATTTTCATACTTTAGTACAGTTTGGTTCATTAATCTTTCGTATACACAGCTTCCACACGAAAATTTAAGGTTGAAATCCTGGTACCTATACGAAATGCACGTCAAACTGAGCTAACGAGCATAGACCGCGAGAACATTTTGAATTTTCCACCCCAAATAATACGAAAAGGTCCTGACTCTTACTGTTTCCAAATCCCAAAAAGTCTTGTTTTCTGACACTTTTCAGTTGAAAATACAGGTTTTTTTTTTTCCAAGTCTAATATCGTGTTGTTCTTGTTGAGCAGTGACGGACTCAAGGGGGTTCAGGGTGGTCGATCGACCTCCGGCTAGTTGGATTTGACCAAATTTTTTGTTAGTAGAGCGTCCGTTATTTGAAATTTTTTCAATTTGATCCTTCGAGACGGTTGAATAATCCTATTTTCGACCCCGCGATTTGAAAATTCTCGTTCCATCACTGTTGTTGAGGGTGTAAACATCATTAGATATTAGAACAACAAAATCTCATATGTTTGAGGAAAAATAACAAATTTGAGAATCAAAATTTGATTGTTGAAGGGAATAAGTAAGTAATGAACAAGTCACGGATATTTCATTGATCATCATCCTGTTATCGTGAACGTTAGCGAGGGAAACACAAATGAGGGGACTTCGTAATTTGGAGGAAGGAAGGGAATGCGAGTTATTAAAGGCTGGAGTGGGGTTTGAAGAAGCGTGAACATCACGTGGGACGTGACCCACCAGTCCCCTTAAAGTTGGGGCATTTCACGCGGCCATCAACACGATCTTCTTCTGTTTCCCATTCAATTTCCTTTTTTTTAAAAAAAATTCTTTAATTATCTCTTCCTAAAAGTGAAATTCAAAAGAAAAATGAATTAACGAGCTAATGATTTTTTGAATTTTCCCAATTCTTTACTTTATCCGCACGCCTCTCTCCTCCATCGCTCATGATTTATAGTATTATTGATTCCTTTTCATGTTTTATTTGATTTGTTGACGATACCATTTCTTTTTTAAAAAAATTAATAAACGTAGATTTCCGGTGGAAAGAAGGTAGAGACAAATACACGTGAGCCAACCCCTTTGCACACCTCCGGATCCACACCCTCTCTCACGCATAGTCACACACACACAGACACAATACATCATCTTCATCTGATCTGATCAATCATCATAACTTCCAACTGATTTTCCATCATTATCCTCTCCTTTTCTTCTTTTTTTTCCTTTTCTTTTGTCTGGTTAATAACACCCAAAAGAGCAACCAAAAGACATTTCCAGTGCGTGCACCTTCCTTCCCCTATTATATTCAAAGTGGTACCAAATTCCAACACCCCAATCAGCTCCCTCCTCCCTCTTTTTTTATTTTTTTTTATTTATTGGATAATTTGGCAGGACAAAAACCAATCCCCCAAATCAACGCTACCTATGTCATGAAAACTTGATTATATTCATCATTGCAACGCTAATTTCGCATGTATCCCATCATTTTTTTTTATCCCCCCGCACTACCAGAAAGTTCAGGACTCTGATATTTTCCGATTTTTTTATTTTTGTAATAATTAAATACTGCAAATATATGAAAAAAAAGGGGGATACATAATTTTAGCAAAAATACCTTTCATATTATATAAATCCATCATCATTTACAAGCAGATATTCCAGAGGACGGGGAAATTGAATAGTGATGATTAGTAAATTTCTACAAGAGATTAACGGATGAACTAACCTTAATTATCAGTACTCACTAGCTCTACCCCTTAACCAAAAAAAGGTGGGTTGAGGGGGGTTGTGATTATACCTGATCAATAATCTGATCATCATATAAACGTAGTATTTTTCTTTTCTTCTCCTTAATTTTCATTCAATCTAACGCTAGCTATATATTTTTCACACAGCTAACATACCTAATACTATATGATCTTCCTAACAAGCAGCAGACGGTTTGGTGAAGGGATTAAAGAAGTGGGGTTTTTGAGAGATGGTGAAGGGATGATGATTCTTGGTGGCAGCATTATCGGTGACCCCACCACCAACCCTTTCGCAGGAAGGACACATGGTCAAGGTAGCCGCCGGCAACTGCATGTACAGTGGCTGTGCTACCTTTAACGCTTTCAGTTCCTGTAGCTCTTTCTGCAGCCTCCTGTTCTCATCCGTCAGCGTTTCACAGCATTTCTTCAGGAATTCACAATCCACTTCCGTCTGCTTCAGCTTTGTCCTGTAGCCCCAGCCATCCCACAAATCAGAAATCAGAAATCGTGCACACAGTCACACACCAAACAAATGATTCACAATTGATGGATGTTTAATTTACCTGGCTCTTCTATTCTGGAACCAAACTTCAACTTGTCGTGGCCTTAAATTGAGTTCTCTTGCCAAGTCTTGCTTTTGCTTCTGCAAATTCAAGGACTATTAAGTAACAAATTAAAAAGAGAAAAATTTCAATCGGTAAAATGATCATCCAAAATCATATATCAAAAAACAGGGGAGGGGAGAAAGAAAAATAAAATAAAAAGTAAAGTAATTACCGGATTCAGAGTGCTGTGTTGCTTAAAGCTTTCCTCCAAGAGAGCAGACTGAGCTTTAGTGAGCCGAAGTTTTTTCCTTCCATTGGCGCCATCATCATCTTCATCGCTCACTCTTGAAGAAACTCTCTCTATCTCAGCATCTTCACTGCAAATCTCTCTTTCCCTCTTCACGCTCACGTTTGAAAACGACGACGCAGCGCTGTCTTGACGGTGCAAGTCATCCACGACGGCGGCGGCAGCCGGAGGATGTACGGCTACAGCTGCTGCGGCGACGGCGGTGTGAGGGTCACCGGCAGCTTCCAACTTCTTGGCAATTACTCTATCGAACGCCTCACCGGAAAGGCTCAGAGTCAGGGACGGCTCAAAGTTTGATGATTCCGACTTGATGGAAGATAGCTTCTTGGGTTTCTGAATATCAATCGTTGTTGAGGATGGCCCTAAACCAAGTACCAGGCCTGGAGTGCATATATCATCAAATCCCATTGATTGTTATTAATTTTCTCAAGGGAGGAATTTGAAGGTTGAAGAGAGAGTAAAAATGGGTTGTAAGAGGGAGGAGGAAGGATGTTGTTTGTTGTATGGTGTGTGTTTTATATTAGGGGAGAAATGAATTTGGTTGATTGTTGATTGTGAATAAAAAGGCAAAAAGAGAGAGGCAGGCTTGGGTGAGAAAATTTGCGGAATATGATGGGGAGGATGGAATGAAAAATATAGGACTTTGTTTGAGTTTGTAGGGTAGGGGGGGTAGGGTGGGAGGTGGGGTGGAGTTGGATTGCCAATCTATCTGGTTTGTCTTATGATTATTATTTATTTATTAATTTATTTTAAATACATATCAAAAGGAATTAGTAATGAGTATTGAAATTGAAACGAATATAGTGTGGAGAAGACTCTCTATTTTCATTTGTTTATTTTAAAAGAATATATGGTGTGGAGGAATTATGAAAAGTCTCTTTTATTTCTCTCTTTTCTTAGGTTGACCATTCGAAGTTTTTTTTTTTTTTTTTAAAACCCACTGTGTTAAGTCCACATTAATGACCAAGCCGAGGAAGCTACTCATATTTGATCGCCTTTACTTCTTCTTTCATCGTCTAGAACCTGCATGATATATATTTGATCTTCTTCTTTTTTTTTTCCTTTCTGTTTTCTGGTTTTCAGATTTCAGCACCAACTCAGCAAATAAAAAATGTGGAAATAATGATAATTCAAAAGACAAAAAAAAAATTGGTCTTAATTTTTCTGAAAATGCATTCAAAAATATTATTTTATGTAAAAGATAGTATCTGACTATTGTTAATTATTTTGCCATAAAATTTCCACAATCGGTACCTTCCTCTGGTCTTGTATCAAATTATTGATAACTGAAGACAGTCAACAATGGCCTGATTGTACCAAGACTAAAAGAGGGCAACAATGAGGGGAAAAAAAAGAAAAAAAGAAGAACCCCACTGAAAAAATAATTTAATCAACATAATAATGCGAAGAAAAACGTGGAGTTAACACGAGAGAAACGAATAAAAATCAAACCAGGATGATTAGTCTGCCACTCTGCCGTTTGCAACCCAAAACGTAAACACACCGAAATTCACTGTGCTACCACTAGCAGCATTAGACTTTTATATCACTGAGGAAAAAGAAGTCCTTTTTAATAAGTAAATTCAATTCAGAGACAATAATGAGATGGTAAGTTCAATAATTAGCCAACTTGCGAAAGACGTGAGGGTGAAATGTGATGTACATTCATTGTACTCCTCCTAATTTAATCACTGTACGCTTTTTTTTTTTTCTTCTTTTCTTTTTCCATTTTTTCATAAACATTTTTGTTTATATATTAGTCTAAATTTACGGTTTTGGTAATCTAAATTCAAGTCGGATATATATATTTTTTTTTTCCGGGAGACACAGCAAAGATGCTATAGAAGATCATAACATAGGTTGTCTCAAATGCAAACTTTGATTAGAACATTAATGGAATTTGTAGGGCTTCTTTTTTGGCACAAAAGAGAGGAGGAAGGGGCGTTGATCTTCATGTTCGGGATATCCATGCAAGACTACGTAGGCGCTGTTTAGTCATAAGTAACAGACCACATGTTATGTCCCTCGTAATTATCATGACTATATGTGTTACCTTGTAATGTCCCTCCATTACAATTATTATTATGTAAACAGTTTTACTTTTATTGTGGACCAACGTAATAAAATTATTAAGTCTAAACTTTTATACAACCCCCTTATTTTCTCATATTTCATTTGAAAATGTATGCCACATTTTTTCTATCATTATAAATTTGTGCTTTGCATCTCCCAGTTTGTTACTTTAAATATTCGCTCGATTCAAATCGTTAAACACATCTAACTTCGCAGCTTCGCTTGTGTTAGCTTCTTTTTCTTAAAAAAAAAAATGTTTTGTTGTTCAAAAGATTAGAAGTTCAATACAAATCAAAATATTTTTGGAATGTCAATTTTCTTTCCTTTTTTTTTGGGGGTGGAGGGGTGTAAATTGTGTACGTGTTTGCTAGCCCTTTTAATGGTTTATGGTTTGGTATTGATTTATTCTCATTAAAAGCAAAACTCTCAAAGAAACCATTAACATTGGAGAGAAAGTTACACACTTTCACGTCCGCTTATTATTGATGCGGGTTGATACATATATATAAAAGTACAAAGAAAAAAGTTTTTCATCTTACGTATTTTACAGTTAGTGTGTGCATTAATTCTATTAATTGAAATTATAAGCAACACATATAGTTGAGAAAAGATGGATATAGATTAGGATGTGCACCATCATCACCAATTCACCTTCCCATAAATGTCTACATATTTCTCCCTTGGATGTGTAGGATAGAGAAATTAAAAGGATGGGAGGTGGAAAGCAAAATAGGTACGACATATATTAAAAAGTGAGGTCTTGTATGGATGATAGTTTATTTTAGTTTTTGGTTTAAGTTTTAGATATGATTTAAAATGTGTTTTGAGAGAAAATTTAAAAAAATTGTTTGAATAGTATTTTAATTAAAATAATATTATTTTTTACCACCACCTCCACCACCCACCTCCGCCACCGGGCCGCCTTCTGCCGCCGCCGGACCACCGCAGGTTGGTGACTGGCAGTCAGATTCTAACCAACTCACTAGAAGTTGGCCGAAATCCGACCGGCGGTGGTTCGACGGCAGCGAATGGTGGTTCAGCGGCGGAAGTGGGTGGTGGTGGTGGTGGATAAAATTGTATTAAAATAATTTTTGAATTATTTTTTAAAAAGTGAGTTAAAATGTTGTGTGAAAAGTGTATTGGGTTTTATGCTTAAAAAAAAAAAATAAGACAAAAAGATAAAATGAGAGGCATCCAAACAAAGCCGAGTTTTCTAAGGTCGTCATGATATGGAATAAAAATAGTCGTTTACAAAATAATAATTTTATTTAATGTATTTCAAATTTATTTTTACAAATAAAACCCTAATTATATTTCGAATAAGCATAAAAAGTATTAAGAAACAGATTTTTGCGAAAGCACGATAGACATATTTTAATAGAGAGATTGTGTGTGATTGAACATATGAAGGGAATAATTCTTGGATATAATGATGCCAAAATATAAAAATTTGAGGAACAAGAATCCGGAACTTTCGCTTAACTAGAAAGTTGAGGTAAGAGTTGTTTCGTTGGTTGGGGGACCCTACGGGGACGAAGTATATAATCCGTGCACTTTACAAACCAACCCAATAATGCAATGTCGGCTGGGGTGATTAGGAGTTTGGTCACCCACAAAGCATGATTGAAAACCCCAAATCATTTAATTCTATTACCCAATTAAGGTAACGTTTTAATATAGTATCCACCTCCCTCCCTGAACTTGCTTCGAAGCATACTACTACTATGTCTGTTCTTGGAATTATTATTATTTCAGATGGCACGTCTACTCCTCCTACTCACTCCCACCAATTATATATCCCAAAGGTGGATGTTGCGCTCGGTTTCCACCAACTCATAATTGTTGCCTGAGTTTATGCAATGTGTAGAAATCGAAATTGGATCAAATTGACATGTTTGATCGAATATTCCTTTTACCATGAAATCGTCCCGCTTCAAATTTATATTAGGCTTCGTGGAAAATATGATAAGTATCACGTATAATTTTGTAGGATTGTCGTATGTCATACGATTCATATTCAACTAACCAGATTGCTTTTATGCGTTAAGGTTGATATTTATGGAAGAAGTTAAATTTTCGATAGTAGAATGGTCTTTATTAGTAAGTTAAGACGAGAATTTGCTGAGTGATTGAGCTTAACAATGCATTGTTGTGTAGTAATAGTGTATTGTATTTATGTGTAAGATATAGCGTTTCTCGAATTGAACTACTACATAATTAGTTCACTTGACGTAAATGAGGCCCGCACGTGTAACGGCTAAACGAGAGTTGGTTAATTTGGCAGAACTTCATTTAGATGGGTACTATGGATTCCTGTGCACGTTGCTTCTATGAGTATCGTTCGTTAGTTTGCATGATTGGATTTTGTTGGATATAATAATAATTTTTTTGTGTTCCAAAAAAATAAAATAGAATACAATCTAACAGCTAAAATTATGTCTCTTTAATCGAGTTATTTTTTCCCTTGTCAACCGTCTTCTCTTCCCTATCCAGAGCAAACTACAATCGCAATCACCATTTCTCAAAGCTCAATTATAGTTAGTAGCATATAATACAATATTAATACCAAGGAATTAAAAAATTAAATCGTGCCACATCGCCACATTTCTGAATATCACCATATTAACGAATACGTGCTACGTGCTATATTTTAGAATTTTTTTTGCGCCCCGATTACATTAGACAAATTGTTTTATTCCAGTTTGCGTGATTCTTTTCCTCTCAACAGCTAACCAAAATTCGTCAGGGATTGCATCAATATCTGTCAGATTTCCGCTTTTTTTTTTTTAACACAAATAATTACATCTTAGAATTAAAAGCACCTAGTAGTGTAATATAATAATGGTGGACTATAGTGGAAGCCTATAGCCATAACAACTTGACAAAGTTGACTTTGAAACAGAAACTAACGAATAATTCATGGTTTGGCGGCATTATTTAGTATTTACTGGTGATGATTGGGAAACCATTGATGGGATTAGATTAATAATCATTAATCCAAATATAATCCGTCATCAAACCTAATCCATTCAATCCAACCACGTAGAATAAAGGAACTTGCAAAAATCTCACGTGATTGGTGATGATACACAACCTTTGTTAAGTATTCTGCAATCCAACGTTTGAACATCTTGTTTGTTTATTACGTATCCTAAATTATCCTCTCTTTTTTCTTCAATTACTAATTTATACTACTACTTAAGAAAATAATTAAAAAGTAAAGGTGGACTTTATGAAAGAAAAGGAACAAAAGTCAAAAACCCAATCTTACGATGTGGGAGAAATGGATCGAAAGGAGAGGACAGGTGGGGGGCCACTAATGATTTTGCATAATGGGCATTTGATTCAGTGGGGGTGAAGAGGAGGAGATTGATGATTATAGAGCGTAGAAATTGGGGGGTTGATATTTACTTGATAGTCACATAAAATCGTTGATGGAGGGTGAAGAATTTTCTGAGGGGATAAGGTTTATTTTTTGTTCATGTCCTTTAGTAGTTCCTGTCTTTACGGCCAGCCGACCAATGTTGATTACAATTGTTATTGTTCAAATTATTTGCGCCCCTTTTCACCTGTTATTTCTCACTTCTTTTTTTTTTTTTTTCCACTTTTGGTTTGTTGCCGGGCAGCTATCTCACTACTATTTTTATTCCTAACCGTAAATTAATTAAGGCTTACAATTATTGTCCATTTTGTCTGCTGCAGATAGAGTCTGCGATTCATTCACATGGAGGAGAAGGCCTTTCCCATGCGCCTTTGCCGCTCTGCTGATATGATATCTTTCTTTGATTTCTTCTCAACAAGTGATTGCATGATTGACTCGCATGAACAAAAATAATCTTGCAAATTATTAGTAGTGATAATACATTCAACGACGGACAAGAAGATACTATTATTTTGCATTATGTGAAAATATTGAAATAATTGACTGACTAAAAATTACCGTAGTTAATCACTGTATGTATTTTTACTCACAATGTTATGTATAAGAAGTAATTAAATTCTAACTAATTATAAGGTTTATTAGTGTATGATAAATAGGATTCAAAAGGACATAGAAGAAGTACTTATATAAACATGGTGTTTTGACTAGAGGAAGTTTTCAAAAAAGTTTTGCAATAACATTTAGAGAAAGATGATGAGCCTTCCCTCATTATAGGATCTACTAGTAATGTGTGGTAAACACAAAAGTTGTTGATGAATGATGAGTTTGGTAACTCCATGCACATAATTACCGGGTTCAGCTCGGACGAGGCAAAACTATACTTTTAACTGAGTCTATTAGTATAACCTGTTAAACCTAACATCGTTTTCGTCATGCAAGTGTATTATAACGTAAGGAATAGATTAATTGCAGCAATTAAGTTCATGCTCTTTGGAATAGTGATTTTTCTCGTTCAACTGAATCCCGGCTGCGTATGTTAGGGGATGAATTATGCAGTTTTCCTCTATATCTTCTTCTTGCCGGAGGAGTTATTGATGGTGGCTTGACCAAGAAAAATAAAGAAGTGGACTCTCTAGAATCAGGCATGGATTTCCTCGGCAAGAAAATGAAGATGCAAGTTCGTCGCTAGAGACAAATTATCAGTTAATTTCAAGATTCCGAGTTTTCAACCTTAATTATTGCACTGGTCAAGGTCACAAAAACAAATCAACCCAGTGAATGTAGAAAGTAGAAACACATCCTCAGTCAAATTAGCATGGCACCAACATTATTAACAAGCTAGATTTTTTGAGGATCTTACTTCAAAGTTCAAACTATATTTTATATTTATTCAACCTTGACAAAACTGTCTAGTACACAAGAACTAGTTTTTTTTTAATTATCAATATCTCCATTATTATACACGTAGGCACAACCAAAAAAAAAAAAAAGCATTGATTTCCTTGGATTTACTTTTAATTTTGTTAAATGAAATGCATTATAGATTAAGAAGAAAATAATGGAAGCGGGAATAAGATAGTGGTATTGGATTTGGACAGATGGACAACAAGAAACCAACGATCCGAGTCAGATAGCAAGTGAATAATACGCTAATACGAAAACGATCCGTACGCAGAAGGTGGTGGAACGCCAGTTTGGGTTGTTAACTAAATGGGGGCAAAAATAGCATTATCAAATCCACCGACTCTTTCTTTAAAGCAGAAAAAGAAAAAACATTTTCTTATTTCCTGGGTTTATGTTCTTTGAAAAGTGCCCCCACCTGCTAAGACTTTTTGGTGGCTGTCGATTTTAGGCTTTCAGATGGAAGCATCATTGCTTGCGTTTAAAACTTAAAAAAGTGGTGAAAGGTGAGAGGAATTGTGTCATCTCCCCTAACTTCTTTCCTCCTTTTAACCATTTGTTGATTACTACTAGTCTACAACCGCTATCACAATCTCATATAAAACTATCAAGGTATAACAAGATTTTTCGTTTTTTTATAGTAAAAATAGAGACAGTAAATTCATCGAGCGAGATTTTTTTTGTTTTTATTTGATCAGTCACTATAATTATTCTTTTTTCAAGCCTTTATGATGTTTGCATCGATGAAGTGGTGCTTTATAATTAAAAGTTTGTTATACAAAAGCAAATAAAAGGAACGAGATAACGAGTGATGTTACATTATTTAGGGTGTATTAAAATTCAAAAATAAGATGCTAAATTAGACATAGTGAAGTTTAGTACGTAATTATGCAAATGATGGGGATGGTCCCACAAGAGAAAAATACAATAATGGAGCAAGTAGGTCGAAGGATCAATGCGGAATTTGACTAGGTGGTTGGGGCTAAAGGGGCAGAAACAGTTGAAAGCTTGCCGGTTCTATTCGTGGCACCGAGTTATGGTATCATTTCTTTTGTGGGTCCTTAGTTGGACACCAAATTGTAATTATTCGAATTAGCTCCAGATTAATATGCTAAGTAAAAAAAAAAAAAAAGGAATAAAAGTTTTACTCTAGTCCTCTATCCATTTCTTCTCGTTTGAGAGTGGACCGCAAGAGTTCTTTGACGTGTTCTCGCCAATCAGTTTTAAGAAGGGGCTTAAAAAAAAAAGTTTTAAGAAGGGCTTGGGTCGTAACCAAAAAAATAAAAATAATTAAAATGTAACACACAGTCAATACATGAGAAAATTTTGCGTACAATTATTATACTATGTAGAATTGTGTAACGAGACACAATAAATAAGATAAAATAGTAATTTTAGAAAAAAAGTGATAAAATTAAACGAGAGATTTAACAACAAAATAAGAAAGTACTAGTATTTGTGCACTAAAAACAAAGATACAATAATTGTACTTAATAATTTTTTCCAAACTATCTTACAAAATAAAGTTCGACGATGTAACATTTTTGTAATATGTTATGTATGTTCAATGACTTAAAAATAGATTGATGGACCATTGAGTTTGTATATCTTTCTCTCTAAGTAAAAGTTTATATAAACTCAATTAAGTCTCATGATTAAGCAAAAGCAATTGATGATTTACTAAGTGATGAATAATGAAATTTCATATTCAAATTTCTCAATGCTAGTATAAGAGATGTATAGTTTGTTATTCAATATTTGTTCGATTCTTGTATAAAAGGAAAAAAAAAAAAAAAAAAGAAGAAAAGATTGCATTGCTATTGGTGACTTGCAATTTTGTATTATTATTTTTTAAAATAAGGAGTTTAAATTCACTCCTGAAGCTTTTGTTTTTTTTCCCCCTCATATTATAGATAAGAAAAGTGGCTGGATTTTAATTTTTAATTGTAAAACGTTGGTATGAAACACTAACAATATCACATTTCATGTATGGATTTAAAATTGAAGGTGGTTTATCTACCACAATATCTCTTCAGGGGTACACAATGCTAAACTTGTTTGTAAGTTTTTTTTTTTTTGTTTTTTTTAATAAAAAAATAGATGGTCTCAGCGAAAATCGAACCCTCGACTTTCTGACAATAATCATCCCATATTTTAATCCCCTAACCATTCCACCTAACTCTCCGACCCCGTTTGTAAGTTTGCAACACAATTTTTCTCCCTATATATATATATATCCCATAGAACATCAGTAGGTGATAGGATCTAGCAATGCGCAAGTTGTCAATTCCGGCAATAACCCTTCAATGGTAATAACTTAGGTACTTCCTAAACAATAGGTGATAGGATCTAAAAGATACAAGCGGCAATAATTCTCTGATCCTGTGTTTTGAGTTAAAAGCATTACTTACTCCATTTTAAAATACAAGTCATTTTAGAATTTGCACGTAAACTAAGGAGACAATCATCAAACAATTAATTTATTTGGTAAATATTTGTTTACCCCTCATTAATTACATTGAAACTATAAACACGACTAAATAAAAATGTACTAACATCATTTATTGAGGGTACAGTTGGAAAAGTAGTTATTAATTTACCTATAATTTGTAAAATGATCTATATTTTGAAAAATCTATCTAAACCTAAAACGACCTATAGATTGAAATGGGAGGAGTAAGAGATAAAATGATGATCTCAACCCTCGAGACTTCCATTATAATCTCAGAAATAGAATTTGATGTATAATATATCCACTTTTGTTTGGGCTTGGCATTTGGGTCATCTGGCGTTGATAACTTTTGGCTTTAAAGAAACTTTATGCTCTATAATCAACCATAGTTGTTTCAGGTTTCGACCCAAATGTTTGAAGTGTAAGCTGATATACTGATAATCATTAACTGGACTACAAAATCCAATTTATGTAAGGGCTACTATACACGGACCTAAGCAAAGCTGTCCAGATAAAGCCTCATCGTACCTGTGAATTACATTCTCAGGAGTCAGGAGTAAAATTCAAAATAAACTCCCAAGGGATTTCATCACACTCCCTTCCTTTCTTAAAAAGTTGGGAAGTATACAATCTACATAGAGGAGGATTTTTGTAGTAGATTACGTTGTAATATTGGATTCTCAACTGGAGAGTTTAGATGTCGGATAACTCATGATATACTGAAGTAATAGTTTTGTTTTGATTTTTAATTGAGGGGAATAGATATCCAAAAATTATGTTCAGACTCATTCTTCCCTTGACTGTGGAAGAAAGCTGACGCAAAAATTCACATGGCCACTCCATTTCACGCCGCCGTCCTCCTTATCCTTCTATTCATCTCCGCCACCACCTCTTCAGCCTACAAAGCCCAGCACCACGTCCGATCGTCCATAAAAGCTCATCGGTTTCTTGGAAAATTCTCCCAATCCCACAACAAACCCTCTGGCCCAAACATTCAACAGTACGAATACGAGACCAGATATTTTGAGCAGCAGCTTGATCACTTCAGCTTTGCCAAGCTCCCATCTTTCCGGCAGCGTTACTTAATAAACACTAAGCACTGGGCTGGACCTTCCCGTTCGGGCCCCATCTTCTTCTACTGCGGGAACGAAGGCGATATTGAATGGTTTGCGGCCAACACCGGCTTCGTCTGGGAGCTCGCTCCTCAATTCGGTGCCATGGTCATTTTCCCTGAGGTTTGAACAAGCAAAAAATTCCGTTTCATTAGGATGACAATTGATGTGTAATGTGAAAGTACTAGACTACGAGAATTCTTGTAGTGTCTTAATGGTTATAAGAATATCTGATTTCTTTGTGTATCATTTACTCCTATCAGTTGGTCTTTAATAGGATTCTTTATGCACTGCTTTCATGCTTTATTTAACTTTAATCTTTCACTTGGGTCCGGTAAGTTTTGAATATCTTTTCGCTAATGCATATGGATTTTAGAGATAATAGCCTTCAGTCATTGGTTGGTCAATTTGATTCATTATTGGTTGTTGATTAGTATTATGGCATTTGGGTTTAGTTTCACAGTTTGTGTAGTGTTCTAAGATTGAGACTTTTGCTTGGCAGCATCGGTATTATGGGGAGTCAATGCCATATGGAAGTCGTGACATTGCGTATAAGAATGCCAGTACTTTATCATATCTAACATCAGAACAAGCGCTTGCGGACTTTGCAATTTTGATCACTGAGCTTAAACGGAACCTCTCTGCGCAAGCAAGCCCTGTTGTCTTGTTTGGGGGATCATATGGAGGAAGTGAGTAGATTTTTGGGGTTATTTTTTTCCTTTATTTTGGCCTGATTAAATTCTGCCGTAATGCATCTTTATTTAGTTATTTGTTGAATGTGGGGTCCAGTGTTAGCTGCATGGATGCGTCTCAAGTATCCGCACATAGCTATTGGGGCATTGGCTTCTTCAGCGCCAATACTTCAGTTTGAAGATATTGTGCCACCTGAAACATTCTATGATATTGTCTCCAATGGTTTTAAAGTATGTTGTGAGTTCTAAGAATTTTGAAGTTTATATGTCCATTTTAGTGCTGGACATTTTGACATGTTAAATCTTTCCATGCATAGCGCGAAAGCAAAAGCTGCTTCAACACAATCAAAGAGTCTTGGAATGCAATTGCATCAAAGGGTCAGGAGAATAATGGACTTCATGAGCTTACTAAGACATTTCATTTTTGTCGGTAAGATCCCTGCACATATGTGTTTTGATGTTCCTACGGATATTGTTAAGGAGTTATTCTTGGACTACTTTTGGGTCTGATGACTACTCATATGGTATTAGGGTGTAATCCTGTGATTATTATTTCCAGGAAACTGGAAAGCACCAATGATCTTTCTGATTGGCTGGAATCTGCTTATAGTTATCTAGCAATGACCAATTACCCATATCCTACTGATTTCTTGATGCCTTTGCCAGCTAATCCAATAAAAGAGGTTTGTAGAATGTTATTTACGCCTTACTTGAAGTTTAGTGCCCCTTGTCACTAACTACTGCTATCATTTCCAGTTATGCAGGAGGATAGACAGCTGTCCTGATGGTACTAGTATCTTTCAGCGTATTTTTGAAGGGGTGACTGTGTACTATAACTACACTGGAACAGTAGACTGCTTTAACATTGATGATGATCCTCATGGTATGAGCGGGTGGGACTGGCAAGTGAGTGAATTACGTGGAAAGTTTTTCTTTTGGTTTGCTAGTCAAATTTATATTGGTGTGCTGAAGTTCTTAAACCATGTATCTTACCTCTGCCTTTTGTAGGCTTGTACTGAGATGGTTATGCCTTTTGCTAGTAAGAACGGCACTAGCATGTTTCCAGTCTATGAGTATAATTATACTGCTGATGAAGAGTACTGTCTGCAAGCTTTTAATGTCAAACCAAGGCCCATGTGGATTTCTACTGAATTTGGTGGACATGTAAATATCCTCAACTTTTCTGTATATAGTTTTAAGTTTCAGTATCTCCTTAATTTGTTTTATCAAAGGGTACCTCATTCGTTTTATGCTGACGCTTCTTATACAACTGACTTTCTCTTCATTGCTTACATAAACTTTCGGAACAATTTATAAAAGAACTTTGTTGGGACATGATGCATGAGTCCTGCAAAATATAGCACTTCAAGTCTCTTTAAGTCTTGCTCTGCATTACGTGCAGGATTTCAAAAATGCTTTAAGAACATTTGGAAGTAATATCATTTTCTCAAATGGTCTGTTGGATCCCTGGAGTGGTGGAAGGTGACATGCGAAACCATTTTACTTTACAATGCTCTACTCTTTATGACGTGTCTTACGATCCATTCATTTGAATTTGATGGAATTTGCAGTGTTTTGGAGGATGTATCGGAAACCATTGTTGCCCTTGTTACAGAAAAAGGTAAAACCTCGTGCCCCCTTTGATACCATCACAAAAAGCTCCATTTGCTTTTATTAATGTCTACTTTTTTATACATTGGGTTCACAGCTGATCTTTTCTCATCTTTCAAAAATGCTTTAAAACTGTTTGCAAGTAATATCACGTTTGGTATTACAGTGCCAGGCTGCAAGCGTATTAGAATAGATGTTTGCATATGCAAGCTTCTTTTATTACGGATGAACTTGGTATTGGATAGCAGAAAATATCCAATTTCATTGAGGAGAAACTCTTTGTTGAGTTGTAGCTTCTTACTCTCTTCTGTTGCTGGCTTAATAGCTTGTTATTTCAAGGCTGTAAGCCTAGGTCTGATTGTGTTGCCTGTCTAGCAAGTGATAAATACTAGGTGAAATGCAACAAAATAAAGCTAAGTGAATAAAAGTAGCCTGCGGCGCTAAATCCCTCAATAATCTGAAAGGAGATACACAAAACTAAGTTAAATCCCCTCAAGTCTTTGATTTAGCTATAAAAACTAAAAGTCACTCTGAGTCTTTCGAATCACAGTTTTCTCTGCTTTTGCTTGTCTCAGGTGCTCATCATTTGGATTTACGAGCGGCAACAGATGAAGATCCTGATTGGTTGGTCGAGCAGAGGGAAACGGAAGTGAAGTTGATTAAGAGATGGTTGAAGGAATACTATGCGAAAATTGGAGGAGCGTTCTCCATGTAAACTAACTAATCAACAGTTGGCCATCATTCTAAACATGGTCCAATAAATGTGTAGTTTGAAAGACCTTCAGAAATTATGAGACCAATGTCCGACAATGTAGGTTTTAACTTCTTCACTTGCGTGGGAGCTATCCAGATGATTGGAGAGTATAATAATTAATTTATGATGTTGATTTGACAACCGCGTAAGGAACACATATATCCATACAAAAAAATATGAACAACCTGTAAAAATGTAAGCCTTCAAAACCACATTCATTTAGAAGTTGGAAAATTGTCAAGGAAAAGGCTGTTTGAAGCCAATGGAACTATATTTATTGATTTGGCTCTTTGATGCAGTAAAGCCAAAAGGCTGTTAGCTTTTAGCTCCCGTTTGTGTGTTGTCTCAGTGGCACCCCATACTTGCTCCACTTACAACAGGGTATATAGTACCAGGCTTCTTTGCAATAACAAATTCAATGGAAAGAAATTTTTCAGAAGATTTACTCCTCTACTTAATCTGGATCTCCCACATTATCCACTTACACGGTACACCTGAAAGACATTCCAACATTTCGTTCACTTGATCCTTTTTTTGGAAAGGAATTCTGTCCAGAGAATTAAACCACAGCATCAAACCAGATCAGGCATCCAAATACACTGATTTGACGAATACTATAGATGACTATCTTCATTTAGTAAACTTTTAATATCTAATGCTTCAAATGTTCTGCATAACAAAACTGAATAATTCATTGCGAAGCATCCAGAATTTCCAAGAGTAAAGATAACAATCACAGGAAAATCCCTATAGTCGACACAATTGAATGATCTGTATTTTTAAGCTAGAAATCTAAAAGTGATCTGCAAAGTGCAAAAGAAGAAGAACACTATTCAGACCAAAATTCTTATTGAAGTTGCAATATCTTTTTACCCTGTCTAATACGAAATTCCTAGGAAACATTAAAAATTCATCCTAATGACCAATTTAAACTCTCTGGAATAAAAATAAACACTTCACATGCGACCCAAACGCCATGACAAATGTGATTAAGAAAATTTCAAACCAAAATAGATATGAAAATTACATCATCCTTTATGATACTACCGACTCAGATGTCATGTCGAAACAACATCAATTGGCTAATATATGTCCTAAAGCCATACGAACAAAATCAAGGCTCCCAAACAGTACTTTGACATCTTTGCACCTAACCCTTATTTTTCAATCATTCCCACAAAAGCCAAGAGCTTTCATCTAACACTTCAAGACCATGGCAAGTTTTTATTAAAGTTATAAGGGTAGCAGACTAAACCAACATCATAAATTTGAAAATTCAAGAATTGGGAATATTTGAAAGGTTGTATTTCAATGTCCTACTTTGGTTTTGCCCAGAGTATCTTAAAATATAGCATCACAAATGCATAAACCAATCATTAATATTAGATTTGAATTCTATATTAATAAAATAATCTCATTTTTTACATCGAATGAAATTGATGAAATACAGTCACTCCTTATACATATTAATGTATAAATCATAGTTTGATTTGCCATAACACGAACAAACTATCATCTTCAGAAAAGTAATCATGTACTGAAACTAATTTGACAAGGGGAATTTTTGTTAAACTAATTTACATAAATTCATCTAAATAAAGAAAACTCCCTATGAGACATTTTAGCAAACACTTTGTAAACCTCTTAAAATTATACACACACGTACCAAACTGAAACCTTCCTAGATTTTCTAGTAGTGTTGTTTCTAAGCATAATTGACCTGTTTGTGAGCACAGATAATCATGCCTCTTGCCCCTTCTGGTTCAACTAAAATGGGAATTTTGAACCAAACGGTCAGCAATCAGTATCATCGCCATAAAAACTAAAGCCGTGTTTTCAATTGATTAACCTACACAAATTTAATTAAAGTGGAAAGAACAAAGATTGTTAAAGAATTCTCCCAAAATCATAACCTTTTTTTATGGAAAATTTGGTTGCGTTCAATCAAGAAGGAATTAAGTACAAATATTTGAAGATAACTCAAAATTCGGGAGGATTTAGAAGGTTGTAAAGGTTGACCACAAAAGTTGTCCGATGTAGCGACCAAACTTTCGATTCCCTTCCCGGTGCCAACGGTTACCCTCTCCTTCCTGAGAAATACGAACCTGAATTTTGGGGCAAGTTTTCTCTTGAAAGAATTCTTGCGCCGCTTTTTCTTCCAAGGGATTCGTTGCTCTACGACTAAAAATTGAACAAGGGGAAGCCGGAATCTTTTGGGGTGGGCGAAAAAGAAAGGATGAAAAGGCACGAAATGGCACCGCCGGAAACTTCAAAGTGGAACACGTACCAATACACTATAGAGAAGAGATAACCGAAGTTTCCGGTTCGCGTGGGGACAGGAATGAAGGGCACATGACACGTCAGCGGTTTTGGACGGGGAACCGGGCGTGACCAGGCCCATTTTTCCGAATCGAGCCTTTTATACATAACTAGGCTTGGTGGCTGCACCTCGTGCGGAAAGTGGTGAATGTTAGCCCAGATTTTGATTATAAAAAATTAATATCATTATCAGTTTAATTATTTTGTTAAAAACGATGAGTTTGAAATAAATTTCAAAGTTTTGCTAATATTACTTAGTAAATTCTTGTTTCTAAAGTTACTTTAGTTGCTGCATATTTGATACTAATCCTCTATTGACATTCAAAATCCTCTATTTATTAATTTTGAAACTAATAACTTATTGTTTGCATGACTTACCCATATAATCAAACGATTGTACATAGCAGTAACATGAAATGAAAAAGTAATATTTGATTGGGATTGAACAATTAGCACACAAGTATCATATAAATATATAATGATATTTCTTAATCTCTAACTCCCCAATCACTTAGAGATCACCTTATCCATTCTACTTAACAATGCTATCACACTACTTCTTCATTGTCATCATCACAGCTTTGCTCAGTCCGTATATGACTTGTTGTGCTCAATGAAGAAAGAGATCTATCGTCTGCAACTTAAAAAGCTTCTCTCAACTGTTCTCCTTCTAAGAGAAAAATACATTACTTCTGTTTTTCCAGTGATATTTTCCTGCCAGACAAATTAACATAGTTTAAGATACAGCCGGGTAAATGGGGATGCAAGGCATTAAAAAGGGGCTTTCAGGATAATTATACAAAGTTGACAGACATACAAATATGTTATGCAAGCATCTAAAGTTCAACTAAGATGTTTTATCAACACCTAAAAGTATCGTGAAATAAAGCATCCAAAATCATCTAAGCAACATAGTAGCGAAAAGAGTTGTTGTAGATATCAAAGCAACATAACTATGTATAGGAGTACGACTAATCAGTCTTAGTTATTGTACGAAGTTATGCTGTAAATTTTCAACTAAATGTAACCCGAGAAACAATCAAATAGTCATAATTATATCAATCTAAAACTCTACCAAAAAGAGTCCACATGTTTTCCATACATCTTGAAAATCACACATGTTTTCCATACATCCAAGTGAGGAAAGTTGTCCCTCCGAAAAAGAGTTCCAGGCTAAACACTATCAGGAAGGGAAGAAAGTGTTTTGTTCCTAACAATTTTATTTCCCCCGATGAGCAACAAAATCTAGGTGGCTCAAATAAACACGTTTTGCATGACGATATTCACAATGAAGTCTCAGGTAGTAAATCATGACAAGTTACTATATTATCTAATGGATCAACAATTACATATGGCTCTGCATTTTGTTAATAAAACTCAACCATTTTCCTCTCCTAATTGTTCATTTATCATTTTCCTCCGTTCTTCCAAAGAAGAATATTTTCTTTTGTGCTAATTAGAGGTTTCTCCTATTTCTATTAAGTCCTTTATCTGAGACATTTTTTTTATATAAAGAATATCACACAAATCAACCAAAGTACAAGAAAATATGAAACACAACTACTTTACAGCATAAACGTACCAAAAGAAAGTATTTATCACGAAGCAAACTATGTCGAAGACAAACATAAACAGTAGATTAAAGTTTTAGGTCATATCTTACTGGGCTCAAATCACCTGACTCTAATATTCACAATTGAGCAGGAACTACAGCACTGAAATGCCCAAAAAACAGTGTAAATATTTCTGCTTTTAGAGAATAAAACTTTTCGTAGTGTACAATAATAAATTAACTGGAGAATTAAACAATGATGACCCATTGTAAACCATATGTTGGCTTTGTTGGTTCAAGTTATTTGCTATTTCGTTAGGTGCAAGTTTTCATCCACAATGGGGAAGTTAACAAAATAATGAGTTTACAAATAGATGATCCCCAAATCTGAAGATGTGACATCAAAATATGAAATTATCAAATAAAGCTAAATTTCACACTTTCAAATTTTAAATTACCATTCTATGTACTTTTCAAAAGGATGACCAAGTTAAAACCTTCTTACCACATAATGAGAGAAAGTGAAAGTAAAAACCTTAACATGCAGGGACAATAGGAACACAATTTTAAAGCCATACAAAAAAACAAAAACTTTAGATACAACTCAAAAAGGCAATAGCTTCAAGGAAAACGAATCAATTTGGATACCCATGAATAGATGAAAATGTTCAGAAGTGTAGTTAATGTAAGCCGATGGAATTTATACCAATTAGTTTACACACCAATCCACATATCGTTTCATAGGGAAAAAACGAACACCTAAACTACAACTGAAATAAAGGCATACTTTTAACAGAAAAGATCTAGTTAACCGAAGGAAGTTAAAATTCAAAGGAAACACAATCACGTCTATTGGAAACTCAAACAAACCAACTAAAAATGGGGTTGATTACTAACGGAAAATCGAAGCTAACAAAGGAACAAAAGAGCGGGGGCTAACCTGACTTCCAACTCGAACGCGATATGTGCTTTCCCTGACAGAAATTACCACTTTGTCACCTCTGAGAACTTGTATTACTACAGAAATAATGACTGAAAAACGAAGAAATGAAAGGGAAGAAGATGTTAGTCTCGTTCGATGCAACATCGGAGTTATTTTTTTGCTATAGCAGGCCAAAAAAAGAGAAGGCGAATCCGGTTGAAGCATCAAACACGAAGTAAATCAGAGTTCGACTCTAAACTTTCAACACTCAGATTCAGCAGGAACACTCGTAGAAATAAAAAAAAAACACCTTAAGTGTACTTTAAACACTAAAACTGGGGATTACATATGATTTTCCTTAGTAGCCACAAACAACATGTTATTCTTTGTCTGTCCAATTCAAATCAAATCGAAACCGAAGCAAATCGGAACCCAAGTTTAAACCAAATTGAAGAGACACAGTCTATACCATAGGCACCAAAGAATAGGAACACGAGAAAACCAAAGGAAAACAAAAAAATCAAAGGGCAAAGAACATAAATATAATCCAACCTTCGGTGGATTCAATTTTCCACAAAAAGATCCAAACAGAAGGAGCAAAACGCCACCCAATTTCTTCTCTGTTACTACGTTACTGGAATGAGGATGCGAAGAGTTCTGAAAAATAATTTAGATTAAACCTTCGATCGACGGAATTGAGGGAAGGAAAAGAATCAACGGAGGTTAAGCCTTTGAGGGGAAGGTGAAAATTGACGGGAACGCACATCTGATGTTGCGTTGGAGACAATCGGCGCCCTCAATGAGACAATGTAAATAGTTGCTGAATTGCAAAATATGTGAACGACGGCAAACGGAAAGCACCAAAGGTAAACTAATTTCTACTCTATTATGGCCTTACTGGAGAGAAAACGAAACTTTGAGCAATTGGAGAATCACTGAATTTCTTTACTGTGAGAGAAGAGAAGAGAAGCACCGGAGGGATGCGCAGTGAAGGACAAGTGTGAAGGGGTCACCGGATTCAGCATTGCCACGTGTCCTTGACCGACCGGAAACGGTACACAAACTGGCGCTGACCCGGTGAACCGCGCCTTTATATTATATGGATATAGATATATAGATATAGATATAGACTAGACAGGTGCTAGACCGCACGAGGTGCGGTCGATGAGAATAACAGCCCGTAGTAATTTTTATGTAAGCACAAAAAGATTAATGAAGTAAAAAAAAAACTTTATAATATATTAATGTATATTAGGTATCTTTTGTACAAATGTATACAAATCCCATTTCAAAAAAAAAAGCACTCAAATATTTACATGGTGTTTCAATGAGAAATTCGAGCCAAGTGATTAAAAAAAAACTACATCCTTGAAGGCACTAAATTGATGATGATGAGCTATAGATTTCTGCCGTGGCAACCCAGACATCTCACTGCTTTTACAAATGTTGACTCCAAGATTAAAGTCACGTGCATCATTTGGGGTTGAAAGGAATGACTCCATCTAAGAAATTCCTGCTTAAATTCAAGTTATATGCACAATAAATTGCCGAAACTCACCGCTATTTCACGTCTTGAGAACCAAACAATGAAAAACTTGAAGTTACAATTTGGTTTAGAACCAAAAGACCAAGCTGCAAGTTGCGCAGCCGTACCATGAAGGAACTTGATTTTATCACCTTGCAGTGCCAAATTCAAAAGTTTCCAAAAGTCAAGATCAGTAACAAAGTTTTACAAGTACGTGTACAAGGAGGTAACGGAAATACTCTAAGAATATGAAATGCATAAGCCAATTGTTACAGTTTGCTTGAACTCACCTCTTTACAGGTAGCATTAGAGCTTTAAACAACTTATCTTAATTAACCAGGCTGACAGACAAATTATTAGAGCACCAATCAAGTTTCAACTCGATCAAAATATGGTTGTATTGAGAAGTAAACAATCTGCACGTAAAGAAGAAAACAGTAACCTAAATTCAATCATATCAATAGAAATCAAAACAAGCATAGGAGAGAATTAAGGCACTTGCTTGCTGACAGATGAAGTTGAGGAAGTTGCCATCTTTAACCAGGTTATTGAATCTCAAAACAGCTCACAAAACCCAACAAAAAGCACTTCTGACAAAGAAGATATAAAATTCATTGCAAATTTTCTTTCATACCAAGAATCAAACACCATGTATTATTAATTTCCTTTTTTCACAAATATAACAAAATGAAAAAAGAAAAAAAAAAAAGAACAATATGGAAGGCAATATTTTAACTTTAGATAGCCAAGTGATATTACATTGTAACTTTTTATTAGTTGAATCTTCAATCAACTTGGTAGCTTCAGATTTTTTACTTGGTTCCAAGACAAATATTATTTTTGCAGTTGTCCCTCGATGCAACAATGAGTTTACTGCAAATTAATTTTAATTTGAGACTGAAACATAAGAGTCAGTTTGTGACCTTTATTTTCCTTTGAAAAAACAGAAGAAAAAACTACACCGGCATACTTTAGAAGTACACCTCTTGACAATAGCTAAAACGGCATGGATTTAGCGACTAAAGATCCAAAGTAAAAACATCAGAAACTAAACAACACAAAAATTACAGATAATTTACCACCAATTACGTGCGATAATTTCATAAAGCTATCAATCATAGTCAGCCATCTTTTGATTTTCGTCATCTATAAGATGCATATAATCAAACACCTCACATGCAACCAAATGGTCTCCAACTTTTGACACCATTGAGCAACACTACTTCAACTCAAATTAAATTCAAAGCAAGACATATTCCTCTGATTCCATAATTGGTTTGAATTCCAGAGTATAACTTAGGAAAAATCCATATGAATCCTCTATCATTACAACCACATAAAGAAATTGAAAGAATCAATGTATATTCAGTGGTCCTACTGCAAATTAGACTTTCCAAAACTTCATTCAATTGAAACTTACAATAGTTCACTATTTAAATAGCTAAGACACTGTGATTCAATGTCAAAATCCTGAATTATAGACAATAACTCTACTCTACTGGAATAAAAAGCATCACATTACGGGAAAGTTTCATCGAGAAATAAAAATCCGAATTAAAACCTTTAACTTAGATTAAATAAAAACTTAACTTGGATTAAAAACTAATCTTGTGATTTCTTAAAGAACAGAGGTACAATCTATTGCTGTCCCTTTCCAAATAGATAGATAAACAGAGGGTAGTTAAAATCCAATTTCTTGGTGCAATTTCGAAATTCAGCAAAGGCAGTACAAATCATAGTTTTTTTTGGGTCCTTTTTTCTTTTTACAGCCACTGGAGTGCAAACACAGTGCAAATTTATAAAACAAACGAGAAGAAACAAACATCAAAATTAAATAGGGATAAACAAGCTACCAACCAAGGGCATTTTTGGAGATTTTTTCTTTTTATTAATTTCTGACAAGCGAGAGACAAATCTGGAAAACAAACGAAGAGGGAATGACTGAAAATTGAATAGATTTTCGTAGCAATTTTGAAATAGCCGAATAAAGAAAATAAAGTAGAATTCAATATAATAAAAAGAAGGTTTTGCTGGCACATTGAAGTGAAGACACATAGTTTCAAGAAACAGTTCTTAATTTTTACTTCATAACGGGCGACCGGAACTTCCAGGAAACCGGAAGAACAGGGGAAAAGAAAAGCCGGCATTATCCAATAAGCATGAAACACGTACAAAAAAGGCGTTGGCAACCGTCAGTATACCGTGCCATACCAACCTTTTATATTTGTAGATTTTCTGGAATTAAATAAAACCTTTAATTCAATCTTTTTTCAAAAAAAAAATATGTGCACATATTCAATGTACATACAAAATAAAAAAGTATAAAAGTGCAAAATAAAAAAAATCATATATTTTCCCTCCGACATCACAGAAATTTCACACCGCTATATTCCAATTTGAGGTAACAAAAAGGGAGAAAATCAAAGCCAACATAAACCTTCCCTTGAAAGAGAGGGTATTTACCAAAATTGGAAAAAGAAAAAGGTAAATTCAAAATTAAGAAAACCCCGAAAAACCCTGACCGTCTCACAGTAAGCTTCCACTGTATTATTCGGTGTATACTGCCAAACGAATATATTTTTAAAGTTGAGCTCAAAAATCCTTTTTGTTTTTTTTTAATAAAAATCTCTTCTCTGCCAATTTTTTCTTCCAACTCACAGTAGTTGTCAACACTCTGTATTCTCTCTGCTATTTCACTCAGTATCAGAAGATTTTGTCCAAAGAAGAGGAATACGGGATAAAAAGGAAAGGCAAAAGAAACTAGGAAAGTAGCCAATTTGTGGGTCACCACCACTTTGAAGTAGAACCCTTACTACTCAAGAGCCCCAACACTTTTTCTTGATCTAATTTTTGAAATAAAATCCAAAGGGCGGAAAAGAAGAGAAGGGAAAGCGAGGACGAACGATTAGGGTTGGAAGAATGGGGAGCCCTGAACCGGTCAAGACTCCGGCGATGACCTTAAGGACGCCGGAATCTCGGGGTTTGTTTGCCCGGAGCCCTTTAACTGAAGAAGCCATGTGGAAGAGGCTTAAAGAGGCTGGCTTTGATGAGGAGTCTATTAAACGCAGGGATAAAGCCGCCCTCATTGCTACTATTGCCAAGCTTGAAACTGAGGTCTTTCTTTAAATCCCTTTTTTGGGTTTTGTTCATTCTTTGATTGCATTGAATGCTCTTCTGTTCTTTTGTGTGTGTGTGTGTGTGTGTGTGTGTGTGTGTGTGTGTGTGTGTGTGTGTGTGTGTGTGTGTGTGTGTGTGTTATTGCTGTTGTTGTTGTTGACATCAGAAGATTAAGAATGCGAAATTCTCTTTTTAGATGGCTTTGTTGTTGGGTCAATACTTAATCACTTTATTTCTATGGTTGGCTTCCACGAGTTATAATTTGCTTCATGGGTTTTTTTGTGGTTCTTGAAACGTTTTTGTCATATAACCGTGGTTGGTATTTGCTAGTTCAAGTGTGTTTACTCTAGCAATAATATGTAAGAATATGCATTTAGAAAACTTTAGGAACGAGATTTAAATTCTTTTTTTGATAATTGCAGTCCATGGAAGATTTAATGTGCTGTGCCAAATTTATGTTTCTGCCATCCTAAGGAAAGTACTTCTTAGCTGCAATGCAAGAAGGGAAAATTGTTATCGCCTACTGTGTTTGTTGATTGATTGACATTCACACACTTTTGGGTTTTTCTTAATCGGATTTCGATTTGATTTATCTTTTACCAGAAATATGAGGTTGAACATCATTTGGGCCTTCTTCTGTTGGAACGAAAAGAATGGACTTCCAAGCATGAAGAATTGAAAGCTAGTGCTGAATCTGCCGAATCGAACTACAGAAGAGAACAGGCTGCGCATGCTTATGATTTGGCTGAAGCAAAGAAACGAGAAGATGCTTTGAAGAAAGCTCATAGCATTGAGAAGGAATGTGTTGCAAATGTACGGTGAAATTTTGAAGATTCTTGCTTTTCGGTTTGTTCACTTTTTATGTTTGATCCTGACTTCTTGTAACTGCAGCTTGAGAAGGCACTGCATGAGTTGCGAGCTGAATCTGCGGAAGCAAAAGTTGTAGCTGAGAGTAAATTAGCAGAAGCGAGAAGCATGATGGAAGAAGCTGAAAAGAAATTTACAGAGGCTGAGGTGAAAATCCATGCTGCAGAATCTTTGGAGCAAGAAGCCAGCAGGTACCACCGCACTGCCGAAAGAAAGTTGCGGGAAGTCGAAGAGCGTGAAGACGATCTTAGGAGACGGATAACTTCTTTCAAATCTGAGTATGTCAGATTCGTTGTGCTTATAGTGCCTAATGAGAATGCTATGGCTTCAATTATTTTATGTTTTCTTGTCGCTCCTGGGCTGTTCCCATGAAACTATTATTTATATTTTCTCTCTTTTGTTGGCCTTTATCCCTCTTATGACTGTCTTTTTGTGGTCTTGTATGTTGTTGATTAACTCATGAGTTTTCTCGTGTTTGTATGGCAGTTGTGATGCTAAAGAAAATGAAATCAACCTTGAGAAGCAATCTTTACGTGACAGGCAAAAAGTTTTGCAGCAGTCTCAAGAAAGATTGCTTGATGGGCAATCTTTACTTAATCAAAGGGAAGAGCACATTCTTAAGAGATCTCAAGAATTGGATGGCTTGCAAAAGGAATTAGAAGCCTCTAAGATGGATATGGAGAATGAACGTAAATCTCTTACTGAGAGAAAGCTAGAATTGGAGCTTCTCGCAACATCCTTATCGGCCAGAGAGGAGGTCATTTCATCAATTTTCTGACTTATTCTGCTTGCCAGGTTTTGGTTATTTCCGGCATCAATTTTTCTAATGCCTTTTTCAATTCTATTACGCCTGTGCAGGCTGTTATCAGCAAGGAGTGTGAAATCAAAAAGAAAGAGGAGGATCTATCCATTCTTCGTGCTAAACTTGAAACCAAAGAATTTGTAAGCTCTGATTAGGAAGAAGTTTAACCTCTTAGGATGCAAGTTCGATCTCTTCTAATGCCTTTTTGATGTTGCAGGAAGTAGTCCAACAAGCAATGGCCAGAAGTGAAGCTGAACTTGACCTGAAAAACTCTGCTTTTGAGGCAGAGATGGATAAGAGACGCAAATTGGTAGAAGAAGAAATTGAAGCCAAAAGGCGGGCTTGGGAACTGAAGGAAATTGACATGAAGCAAAAGGAGGATCTCCTTGTGGAGAAAGAGCATGAGTTCGAGATTCAATCTAGGGCAATTTCTGAAAAGGAAAAAGATTTGGAAGAAAGGTTCCAGTTGATTGAAGAAAAACAAAAGAAGCTCACTGATGATGAAGAAAAGCTCAAGTTGGATCTTTCCCTAATACAGAAAGAAAAGGAAGAGATGAGTATTACGAAGCTTGACCTTCAGAAGTCTTTGGATTCTTTGGAGGAAAAGAAGAAACAAGTCCATTATGCAGAAGCGAAGCTTGAGACAATGACATATGAAACAAATGAACTAATTGTCTTGGAAGCTAAACTGAAAGAGGAGATTGATATGATCAGAACGCAGAAACTGGAGCTTGCGGCTGAAGCAGAGCAATTGAAAGATGAAAAACTAAATTTTGAGATAAAGTATAATTCAATTGATGAGAAGTTAGAGGAGTTGAGAAAAGAAAAAGAATCTCTTGCTGAAGAGAAGATGGTTATTAACAAGTTTCTTAAGGATGAAAGAGAGAGCCTTCACTCGGAGAAAAATGCAATGCGTGAGCAATACCAGCGTGATCTGGAGTTGCTTTCTCGTGATCGTGAAGCCTTTATGGGTGAAGTAGAGCGTGAAAGGTCTGAGTGGTTCAATAAAATACAAAAAGAGCGCGAAGACTTGTTGCATGATGTCGAGATACAGAAGAATGAACTAGAGAATCGTGTTGAGAAGAGACGTGAAGAAATAGAAAGTTACCTTAAGGAAAAAGAGGAAGCTTTTAATGAAGAAAAGAAAAACGAGCTTATGCGAATTGCTTCCCTTAGAGAAACAGTGGAGAAGGAAATGGAATTTGTAAACTCAGAAATGAAAAGACTTGAGGCTGAGAGAGACCAGATCAACTTGGATCATCAAAAACGAAACAAGGAATGGGCTGAATTGAATGAATCGATAGAAGAACTTAAAATGCAAAGACAAAAATTGGAGAATCAGAGAGAACTGTTACACGCTGATAGGAAGGAAATTCTTGCTCAGATTGAGGAATTGAGGAAATTGGAGGACTTGAAATACATTCCAGATCGTATCACTCCACAAAAACTATTGCCAAAGAGCAGTGGTAATTCAGGTCAGAGAGTTGTTACCTTTAATGGCACTGGACAGAGTTTAATTGGCAGGAAAGAAACAGCTACTCCGCCTTCTCCTCTCTCTGCTCCCTTTTCATGGCTTAAACGCTGTGCTGATACATTGCTTGAGCAAAAGCAGAACAATAAAAGAAGGAAGCAAGAGAAAGATGTTACTGAACCATCGGATATTCTTTCTGCCAGGTACTGCTGTTTAACTGTTCCACAAACTTCTCTTTTGCTATAATATTGGCTTGGTACACTTTCGCTGATGTCCTGCTATATTTTTTTGTTGTAGTCCATTGGCAAAGGAAGCAAGTACTGCAGAAATCAATCATTCTGCAAGGCCTCTTAACGAAACACCAGTTGGTTCTAGGGAGACTACAGTGTACATTGACAAAGTAATAACCACGACGGAAGTAACTGTATTTGATATTGGTGCAGTTGCCGGGAATGGCAAGGTATGTTACCGATCCATCATAACCTCATTGAAATGCAGAGTGCTTTGGTGAATGTGTTAATTAGTATTACTTTCACTCTTATTAATGTTGTTGAGCGGTCATAATTGGCTGTGCAGGAATTGATGCCCCAGGAGAGTGATGAGAAACTGGAGAATAGCAATGGGGTGAAGGCAAATGGTAATGGGAAGGTTTGAGACTGAATTTAAGAAGACTAAGTAGAGAGGAAAGTATATAAAACTTGGTTTGTTCAGGTAGTTTGTTATGTTCGGATATTGATAGAAGGAGGGAGTTTGTCAGCTTTGTCCGTCTCGTAGGCAAATATTTGACCCAAAGTAGGTAGCTTTCATATGTATGTGGGAGTTAATCCCAGTCCGGTCTTGCACAAAAGGCTCAGGGTGAGCGCTTACAAGCTGGGCTGTTTTGCTAGCCAAAGTTGTAAATGGGCAGATGGAATCTGACTATGTACATGCACTCTAGGCTTGGTTTTGAGTTGATTTTGCTGTCAATAACTAATAGCCAGGATTGTATGCTATCTATTAGCTGGATGGAAGGGGGTGGCCTTTCATGTCATCATGTAGGTTTTATTCAATTATGTTCTTACATTGTGGTGGTGAATTTGTTTGCTATAACCAACATGCAGATTGCAGAGTATGGCGGCAGTTTCAGTTGATTTGATTGTCTTACATATATATCGTTGATCTACTCTGGTTTATCTGAACATATTCATTGTTTGAAATTTTGAGTACTCTTTAGTCACAGCAAAAATCGAAGACCTCTTATGTGTTGTTAGTGACGAACGTACATGCAACAACATAAGGATTTCACAGTCTGCAACAAATCCAACTTCTTTCTTGAGTTTGAGTCATGTCTTGGCAAATATCTGTTGTAGTTTATGAGAATATGTTTTGTTTTGGGAACCGTCAAGCATTATATGAGATTAAGAAACTATTTTGTTATCAGATGATGCTTGGCCCATACTCCCAGACCCAGATTAATAAAAGTTGCGTTGTCCTAGAGAGAATCTTTGAACCCATGAGCAGTTGGTTCTGATTCTTCTGAACTCAGAAGCCAGGAAAGTGCAAAGCAAATTTTCGTTTTGCATCGTATTGTAACAATGGTTAGAGTAAAGCTACCAAAATGGTACAAAGTGTATAACAATAATAAATTTTGTTTAGGACGGAAGGGGTATAGAAAGACAAATGTGGACGTCAAGTAACACAAACAACGTGCCCAAAATAAAAAATATTTTGTAAATGGTTCACAAAAGCCCCGGCCGCCTCTGACTCATCCCAAAGAGAGAGAAAGAGATTAAAAACTAAACTCAAAAACTGAAAGCAACGCATTACCCTAAACTAAAAGATTACTGCTTTATAAGCACTAAGCAGAGAGAGAGCATTAGAGTTAGTAGCTACTGTCACTTGCCTTTTGCCCCTTTTGTCAACGTCCAAAAACCATTGCTGTAACAGTGAGAGACGACTAATGGAGAAATGTGCAGTGTTTGCCGGCGGGCTTCACCCGACTCCTGCCCCGAATCAAATTTCGGGTCCTTCAAGAACCACCTCTGTGAAGCTTCTCCCTACTCCCTTTGCAGAACGAACTCACTTCTCCCCCTTTTCCCCCAAGGTATCATTAATAATCCCTTTCTTGTTTTTCTCCAATTAAGTTTTTTGTTCTTTCGATTGTTCAATTTGTTGTCTGCTTCTTTGATTTTTGATTACTCCCTCCCTGTAACTGTAATGCAGTTTCCAAAGTTGTCCTCCCATTCTGCAACTTATAGCAGCAGTAATATCAATGGAAACCCAATTCGTATGGCCTCTCCTCAGACTAGGTACCTTTTGCTTTTTACATTGAGTTTTTAACTAAACTGTTGATCATTCCTAAGTTGCGCTTGGTTTTCGTAATGGGTTTCCTTCTATTTTTAAGAAGGGGGAATGGGATTAAATCTTAGTTGCAATCCAGGTAGTTGGGAGAGTTTGGTTTGAGTTATTGAATTTTATGCATAAGATAATGCATGTACAGAATCAGGAGGATTCTATCCATTCTTTTTTTTTTCTTTTTTTTTTTTTCCCAGTTTCGCACTGAAATAAAGTTTTAGTTTGGAATGATGACATGGACTTTCTTGGTGGTGGCCACTTTCTAAGTCAGTTATCTTTGATTTTATTAATTACAGCAGTGTAACTTCTGAATTAGACGATATCGATTGGGACAATCTTGGCTTTGGCTTCATGTCAACTGATTATATGTACGTCATGAAATGCTCTCAAGGTGAAGAGTTTTCAAAAGGTGAATTGCAGCGGTTTGGGAACATAGAGTTGAGCCCGTCAGCTGGGATTTTGAACTATGGGCAGGTTAGCTTTGCAATGAAATCTGCTCTACATTTTTCTATGGTCTTCGACTGCTTTAGTGCTGCGCCAATGTTTAAAAGTGCAAGTATGGTGCCTATTGTTGTTTTATGTAGGGACTGTTTGAGGGTCTGAAAGCCTACAGAAAACATGATGGCAACATTTTACTCTTCCGTCCTGAAGAAAATGCTTCGAGGCTGAGGATGGGTGCTGAGCGCATGTGCATGCCCTCTCCGACTGTTGAACAATTTGTGGAGGCTGTAAAATTCACTGTTCTAGCTAACGAGAGATGGGTAATCACCATATAACCTTTTGACGGGGATAGTTTTTATATTACCTGTGCTAATCTGGTTGTTTTTCTGGGGTCTTGTTCTTCCTTTTTTTCCTCCTCCAATTTCCAGATTCCTCCACCTGGAAAAGGCTCCTTATACATCCGTCCACTGCTTATGGGAAGTGGGGCTGTTCTTGGTCTTGCACCAGCTCCAGAGTATACATTCTTAATATATGTATCACCTGTCGGTAACTACTTTAAGGTATCATTTTTGAGTCTTTTGCATACTTTTATACAGCCAAGAAGCTAGAGATAACAAAATATTTAGTAATCTCCATCCATGACAGCGGTATTACACTCACATTAAAATCTCTTGAAATTCAGGAATGAATAACTTCATCCCCATCCAGTCTATAAGAAAATGTGTATGTATGCAAAATGTGCAACTCGTAGGAGGAAATCAGACAAGTGTAAGATCACAAAATGGAAAATGGATATGGTTAAATAAGGAATTCCAAAGGTCTGATCTTTGAGTCGAAGGAACGTGAGTAACCATAGCAGTGATGGGAGAATGCAATATGAATTCTATTAGCAGAGAAATGTAGCACATGATAGGTTGAAGAAAAACTATGAACTTTTTATATTTGTTTTGTAATCAAGTGGAATGAAGGTGGTAAGACTGTTTGTTCTGGTCCTACGTGAATGATTTAGTATCTATTCCTCAATCTTTTCCCCTTGGCATCATTGCTAGCATATATTTCTTGTTTTTGTTTGTCCTTTGTGATTGCTGATACCAAATTTGCCAACCATTGCCTGTGTTTTCAGGAAGGCTTAGCACCAATAAACTTGATAGTTGAGACTGAGATGCATCGTGCAACTCCTGGTGGTACTGGAGGTGTAAAGACCATTGGTAACTATGCAGCGGTAAGCTAATATGCAGGTTTATATAAGAAGGCATTTTATACATGGTTAATAACATCAAGCTCTTAACACCGTCGGAAAAATAGGGAGTTAACTGTTAGAACAATTGTTGACATGCTTGCTTGTTTTGTGCAGGTGCTAAAGGCCCAGAGTGCTGCAAAAGCAAAAGGCTATTCTGATGTTCTGTATCTTGATAGTGTTCACAAAAAGTATCTAGAAGAGGTCTCCTCTTGTAATGTTTTTATCGTAAAGGTATGCCTTTACCTTTAGCTAAAATTTGATCAAATCCAGTTCCTTTATGTTCTTTTTGTAGATTGGAGATACAAAACTGATTTAGTTTTTATTTTTTATTTTATTTTTTTTAATATTTTAATTTAACCAAACTGATTTATGCGGTAAAACATTGATATGGAAATTATTAATATCTCCAATTGCCAAAACATTGATTAGCACTAAAACTAATTCATATGTGGAAGTCAATTCATCTAAAGGTTAGGAAACTTATGCTTTACATCTATCAATAATGTTTTCTGTTTGTGATGTACCACCTTTATTAGCAGTGATTTAACTCAGCTTATTGCTGAGTATTCAATGAATAAACTGCTCTGCTGATGATGTAAAATATATTGATGTATTGATGCCTACTTCTTTGGTAGTTTAGTAATAAATTGCTGATCTGTATCCAAAGATTCACAAAGCAAATATAATTGCATCTTCATCACTTAAGCAAATCCAGCACTATGTGATTGATATTCACGTCTCCGTTCTGCTAATTATTTATTTAAAACTATTTCTTTTCTCAACCATTATTTGCTTTTCTTGCTCTTGATCACTCAACTGATTCCTAATGCTTGTATCTCTTTATTTACTCAGAGCTCTATTACATTCAGCATTTTAAGTGTTTTGACATTATTCAAATTGCTCTTTTTCAGGGAAATGTCATTTCAACTCCTTCAATTAAAGGAACCATCCTACCTGGCATTACTCGAAAGAGCATAATTGATGTTGCTCTTAGTCAAGGCTTCCAGGTAAATCTACCAGTAATGTTACTATGATATATATGAAGAATTATGATTCACTTAATATGATCTGTTATAGCTTATTTATTTCCTCCCTAAATCATCATTGCCATAAAATTTGATTGGGGGAGTTGCTGTGGTCTCTTTCTTCTTGACTCATTGTAACATGCAGCATTACTGTACTGCTCTTCGAACTGTGAATCATTCTTTGTAATTCTATGTATTTAGGTTGAGGAACGTGAGGTAACTGTGGATGAGTTACTTAATGCTGACGAGGTTTTCTGCACGGGAACAGCTGTTGTTGTGTCTCCTGTAGGAAGCATAACTTATCTTGGTAAAAGGTAACTTTCTGTGCCACTTGTTTGTAAACACATTTATAGGGTTTCGGCTAAGTCTCCCCCCTCTATGTGGCTTCCTTGAAATTGGTCTTGAAGAGTTGGTTTGTTGTATTTAGGCGAACTTTGATAATGAATGTCTGTGATATTCTTCTGTAGGGTGACTTATGGGGAAGATGGAATTGGTCGTGTATCGCAACAACTCTACTCAGCTTTAACAAGCCTGCAGATGGGATTGACAGAGGATAAAATGGGTTGGATAATGGAGCTTAAGTAGTTGCTGTTGAGTTGTGTATGTGATGGAAGATAGGCGTTGCTGCTATAACTGATTTTATAGTCCACCTCTTGTTATAATCATAGTTGCAAGTTCTAAACCATCTCAACTCCTTAAAGATGTAGAAGAATCTATTGTACTGTGTTTCCCCATCATGCATTTTTCCAGTAAAGGATTTGCAGTTTTGCACCTTATTTCTGTTTCTGGGCCCATCATCTCATCCGATTTGATTTCTCGTTGGGCTGTTTTAAGGCCCGTTTGAGTTACCCGAATGGGGGCCCAAGCAATGTTTTATTAGTTCTGTACTTCGAAAGTCCAAACCTAGAGACGTTTCTTCGAAATGATTACGGGGTGGGGTGCAAGAGAGACTCTTGTGGGCTGAGAGTCTCAAGTCACGACTGACGTCGTCAATGATCTATGTTTGTAAATTGATTAATTTGAGTATATTTTTCAATTAATTTTGATTTGGCCATTTAATAATGAACTTTAAGTCTTTAACAACCTAAAAAAGGTGAATAAATCAAATTTTTTAAAAAAGGGCCCTAAACAGGTAAAGGGGACTGGCCGTAGACTGTGTCAAAAAGTTAGGCAGTAGGCCCAAAATACTGGATCACAAAAATCACAAGAAAACAAAATGGAGTTGAACACTAATCCGATGACCAAATATAAATAATTGAGCAACATATACGCAGCTGTGTGTGACTTAGGTTGAAAATTATTGCTAATTTTTTCTGCCAAAAATAAAAGAAAGTCAAAAGGATGGTAATAAAATAGAACTAATCTAGAGATTAGTTTTGAAGACTTTGATGAATGATGAGATTAATAAAATATTTTTTATAAAGTAGTAAAAAAAGCAGAAAGCAGATAATGGGATGGAAGAATTTCACACCAAAAATTTCAACGCGGAGAAAAGGAATTGGGGAAAAAAACAAAGCATAATTGGTAGTAGACGGATGAAGGGGGCTGGAGGCCACCAACATAATAAAATGATAAAGATTTGCTTCTCTTTTACTACCAGATTCAGTGCTTCTGTCTTTTGTAGGGAAACCACATTTTAACTAATTTTTCTTTTTTTAACTTGTTAAATTACTTTTCTCGTTTTATTGTACCTACTAGGAAGGGACATGACTTTGATTTTATAGTTTTATTTTTTGCTTTTGAGTTTGCTAATCTTTAGGTTTTGTGACTTTCAGTATTTAATTAATTTATATTATGATTACTTGTACTTTCTACTACATATATTCCCCGTTCTATAGAATAATTGTACACGTTGAGTTTTAAAATTTGTATTAAAACAATACAAATCTCAAGATTTAATTTGAACTATTTTTTTGGAACATAATTAGAACAAATATCAAAATTTAATTTAGACTATTTTTTTGGACCACGACAATATAACTTAAAGAATTCTTAATTATGTGAGTGTGTTTTCTTGAATATTTCATGGTGTCCCCTTACTGTTCTGTCCATGGAAGAATTAAAGAGTAATCAAGCTTTGGATGAACAAAGCTCACAGCAGTAGCAAGAGCATACTGTTTTCTGTCATGTGTTTCCAGGTTGTCATTCTGCCAGTTGGAAGATCACAAATCACGTGAACACAAGCAGGAAGATTATGATTCAGCAATTACGTAGAATATTCCAGTATAAATCCTCATTGTGTAAATAAAAAGTCTTCGTCGGTTATTGTTGACTAAGTCTTATATATGTATATACTTGAAACAGAAAATCGGATGAACGACAGTTTCATGTTTTCCAGACTTCCTTTGCTAAACTAAGCTTTGTTCTTCTCCCTCTCGTCTAATTCAACTTTACCTTCTTTTCAATTCAGAATAAATTTCTTGCTTAATGATCGATCCTTGCAGTTTCTTTATGGTATCAGAGAAGGTTTAATCCTGCTCTGTTCCTTCCGCCAAGCACTCTGATCGTAATTGCCGTATAAAGTTTGGGTTTTTTTGTTTTTAGGGTTTCAATTGAAGTTGGAGAAGCGTCAGAAGGATAATTCAAGACGAATGAAGCAATTCTTCGGCGAGAAGTTATGAACGAAGAAACAAGAAGAGAGCTGGATATATTAATTGAAGAGCAATTGCAGGTACATGGTTATGAAAATCCAGGAACTCCTCTTGTCTCAATTTTACTGAATGAAAAGAATTTTTTGCTCTGGAAGAATGCCATGATTCCTGCCTTAGAAGCAAAAATGAAACTGTCGTTCATCCCTTTTTCTGTTTCAAGTATATACATATATAAGACTTAGTCAACAATAACCGACTAAGACTTTTTATTTACACAATAAGGACTTATACTGGAATATTCTAGGTAATTACTGAATCATAATCTTCCTGCTTGTGGTCACGTGATTTGTGATCTTCCAAGCTGGCAGAATGACAACCTGGAAACACATGACAGAAAACAGTATGCTCTTGCTGCTGCTATGAGCTTTGTTCATCTAAAGCTTGATCACTTTTTACTGCAACTTCGACTGCAAGAGAAGAGATCTTGCAACCTGCAAAAGGTGACGATGTTTACGCTCAACAACCCCATTTTGCTGAGGCGTATAGGGACATGATCGCTGATGAATGATACCGGCATCAACAAAAAAAAAGGTACACTTAAGAGTATTAGATGGAATCGAGCTAACAGTTTGGTTTGTTCATGGATTAAGAGTTCAATGATGCCAGATCTAGCTAGAATGTTTATGTTTGTTCACGATGCAAGAAATTTATGGAGGCAGTTAGAAAAACGTTATGGCACAACTTCTGCGCCACAATTGTTTGAGTTGAAACGTGAAATAGCACTGATTAAGGAGGGAGATTCTTCAATCTCAAACTACTATGGTAGACTCAAACAGCTTTGGGATCAGTTTGAGCAACTCAGGCCAAATCCTGTTGTAGATGGAGAAATTGGAAACTTGTTGAGGGCTCGAGAAGAGGAAGATAGATCCATGGAATCGCTTATGGGACTGAATGAAATTTATGAGCATGAGAAGAACCAGATTCTTTTCATGGATCCTATTCCTAGTGAGGAAGAAGTGTATAACAGATTGTTGAAAGTAGAAACTCACAGGCAAGTCAATACCAATATGGTGGCACGTAAAGAGAATGTGGCTATGGTTGTTAGAATATCTAATTGGCTAAAGACTTCTGCTGCATCTACTAGTAAATTGCAGAAGGAAGATAAGAGTACTCTGCTATGCACATACTGTCACAGGACTGGACACATTAAAGATGGGTGTTTCAAGCTAATCGGGTACCCTAAGGATAAACCTGTCAAGAAAGGTTCATACTGTTAGAGAGAAGGACATGAGAAGAAGGATTGTTTTAAACTAAATGGTTATCCAGATAAGCCACTCAGAAGGCAAGGACAAGGTTTCAATGTGGCCAATGTAGTTGAAGATTCTCCTCTTGAAGCTGAAACAAGCATGATCAATACAGAACAACTGCAAGCAATGATGAGGATGATGATGCAACAGGAGTTTGAAAGGATCACTAAGGGCAAAGGAGTCACAGGAAATCTTCCGGAAAGTTCTTCTGTCAACATGGTTCACTTCCATGATTTTGCAGGTAGCACAACCATTACTAAACTTAGTTCAATTGCTTGTGATTATATTGGTTCTAGGGCATGGGTCACAGATACAGGAGCAACGGGTCATATGTGCACTGATTTGTCACTCATGAATAATATTACATCTGCTAATTGTTTAACCCCCATTTTATTGCCTGATAGAAGCATCAAATATGTGACACATTTTGGTGATGCTTTTGTTTCTGAACAACTTACTCTTACATCATGTATGCATGTTCCTGGATTCAAATACAATTTACTTTCCGTACGTAAACTAGCCAAAGCGTCAAACCTTTTCTTCCAATTTTATGCTGATTTTTCCTTGCTACAGGACCTTAAAACAGGAAGGGTCCTGGTAGCTGGCAAAGTCATCAGAGAATTATATGTTTTGGATGAAGCTTCATTTACTCCACAAGCTATTGTTAAGTCCCAGGAACTGTATGCATCATATATGTTACATAATGATTTTTCTTGTAAGCCTCAGTCTTCGTGTAAACAGGTGTTTGATGCCTGTAATGTGACTATAAGTCCTCAGCTTTTATATAGCAGATTAGGTCACCCTTCCTTACATGTAATGAAGCATATTATAGCTGATTCGACTATTTCATGCACATCTTTAGAAGCTGCAAAAACAGATGTAGAAAACTGTGGTATTTGTCCACTTGCAAAACAATGTTGAAATATTTTTCCTCTCAGTTCTATACAAACTAAAGCCTGTTTTGAAATGCTTCATGTTGATATATGGGGGCCTTATCGACATGAAACTCTCAGTGGTTGTCAATTTTTCCTGACTATTGTTGACGATCATAGTAGAAGTACTTGGACCATTCTTTTTTCTTCTAAGTCCATTGTTCCGTCTTTGTTAATCAATTTTCTGTAAATGATACAAACTCAATTTCAGGCCAAAGTAAAAGTCATTCGCAGTGACAATGGCACTGAATTTCTTAATACACAGTGTAACCTTTTTTTTGTTGATGCTGGTATCATTCAACAGCGATCATGTCCCTATACTCCTCATCAAAATAGGGTTGTTGAGCGTAAACATCGTCACCTTTTGCAGGTTGCAAGATCTCTTCTCTTGCAGTCGAAATTGCCAAAATTTTTTTGGGGGGAATCCTTATTTACAGCCACTTATCTCATAAATAGAATACCTACACCACTTTTACAATGGAAATCACCCTTTGAAATCCTTTATCAACAGAAACCATACTTGTCCCTATTACGTGTTTTTGGTTGTCAAGCTTATGCTGTAAATAATGGTCCATGTCGTGATAAATTTGATCCCAGATCTTTTTCTGGCATCTTTGTTGGTTATCCTCTAACACAGAGAGGTTACAAGATTTACTGTCCTTTGCTTGACAAAATCATCACTTCTCGTGATGTCCTCTTCCATGAAGATATTTTTCCTGGCATTGCCTCTGATTCACAAAACCCTATAACTCCAT